CATCCAACATGCATTGAGTTCTTGATTGTACCCTTCCAACATGCACACCCGATAGTCTTGTGAAATGGCCCCACACCTGGTCTGAGGTATACAAAATTCTTCCGCATGAGGATTCATTTGGAATCCCTCTTCACATGGGGGAGCTCTACACATGTACATCTGTATGTGCACAGGGCACAGAGCCCCCTTCACATGTCTGCTGAATGTGCATGACTTACGGCAGGAGGGCTTGGAGGACAGGTGCCTAGCGGCAGGGCTAAACACTGCAATCCCATGACCTTACTCATTCATTATTTCAATAGATGAGGAATCAAGTGATCTCCATGGACCATAATTGCAGGTCTCAAACTGTCACTATACCTGGCTATTGGCCCTGCTGGCTGGGGCTAATAGGAGTCCAGCAACATCTGGAGGGCCACAGGTTCCCCATCCACTGCCATAAAAAGACATTCTAAAGTGTGGAGGGAACAGTTTAATAAGCATGGGTCAACACTCTTCAGGCATTAAGTGGCAATTCACTTGAATGCATAATGGAACTGGATTTCGTGAACCATTAGTTTTTAAGGGATCCTCCTTAGATAGTGTTTGGTGTTGATTACTGTAGTATTTCATTTCTTTGTACCTTTTGGTTGGCTTATGATTATACCCTTGGTTTTATATTAAAGTAATTATTTTGTGAACAGGACACTGAAAATATTCACATGCACCCGAACAAATATATTTGATGCTGTTTCCAGCACCCACTTTCTTAATCTAATGTATTTTGGAACAGCAAAACCTGGCCCTCTGGTGCCCCTCCTCCCTCCAGGGCATGAAGAAGGTACATCACTTTGGTCTCCTGAAATCACTCTTGCCCCTAGGTTTGTCCTTCTCTTCCCAGAAAAGTAAGAGTAAGGCAGAGTAAGGTGGGGAACTGAATCCACTGCCCTCCTGCAGGCCAAGATTGACAAATGGGTGTCATGTGACCCATTTTGCCCATGCCAAGTACCAGTTGATCAGGAAGGGCTTCAAGAAAGAGGAGACAATGTCTTATTGCCTTCATGTGGTGGTGATACTGGAGAAGGAAAACTCACAAAAGACTTTAATCCCCAGAGAACCAATGTAGGATGTCTGAATGGTGGGAAGAGAGTCGGTGAAATTTATAGATGCCAGAATTCCATTCAAGGCTCAGGCCAAGGTAGAATTCTCCCACCTGCTCCATCAGGGGAACAAAAAGAGTGGAAGACAAACTGACAATCTGCTCTAGTACTAGGGTTAAATTAGACAACCTGAAAGGAACATTAGACACTCTCAATTTTCCGCCTTTGTGTCTGAACGTGTGGGAGAGAAAGCTGGACGGAGGTGTTGGCTGTCAAAATAATAGTCGCTCTGACAAAATAATGGGGCTGCACTTATTTTCCTCAAGAAAAGGCTTCGGGAAATACACTGCACTGATTGCCTTTGTTTCATGCTTGATGTATCCTGCATCATAATTATTTGGATTTTGCTCATTCCCCACCCAGGTCCTGCTGACATAATATTAATCGCTTCAGGACATCATGCAAGCCTGTTCCCCAAAAATATGGAGAATAGCCTTCCTCTTCTTCCTTTTCTTTTTGGAAAACAATTGCATTCTGAGTGGTTGACTTTGCTGTATGAGACGTCAGCACGGTAACATGTCCTGAGACCTTCAGATATGGCAAGCATGATAAATCTAAATGAATACTCTTATAGGTAACATAAGGTCACTGCTGTAGTGCATGAAGGATGGATGAGGGAAGCATAACTCCTCCACTGATTTATGCCCCTAGATGAAAAATACAAAGTGGAAATGTAAGGTGTGTGGCACTTCCTTGAAAGCTTCATTGAAATAAATGGGACTTGTGTGGGAGCAAGTCTTTGTGCCACTGTTCCTTTGGAAAGCAAAAAAGCAAGCTGCTTTTTAGAACATGGTAATCCAGCTGCACACGACCACAACCCTCCTGTACTCTAATGCCTTTTAAAGCCATATAATTATATCTGCCCCACTTCCCTCAGAAATGTGAATTAGAGGAAGGGGAATTTCCCTTCTGGAAAGCAGCCCCCTGCCTTTTGCTCTCTAACAAGGGCCATTTCCTCCTCTGTCCACCCTAATGTATGCACACACTTTCTTTCTCAAAAGGGCATGTTGTATTTCAGCAAGCTCATCCTTGATTATTATTTTTTTTAAATTGGACAGGTTTAGCATTTGCCTTGGTGAGCAAATGGCCTACATGTGTCTAGATTGGTTAAAGTCTCTTTTTAATTAGTATAATTAGTTTCACAGTAGATCTTTTGGTTTTGTATCTCTGCTGAATACTATACTTGGTATGCCATCACCTTCCCCTGCATTTTCTGGAGGCTGTTGATCACCTTTGTGTCACTTGTAGGTCATATTCTTTCATTCTGTTTTTCTTCCCTTGACAAAGTCCAATCTAAGGAACCAAGTTTGGCCACGTTCTTACAAATCACTGTTCTATCTCTTTTAAAAATTGTTCAACCTGTGTCAGGAAAAAAAAATCTACCAATCAGAATATGCCGTAATATATTGTACACTCATGGACATGTTAATGAGGTGCTTTTGCTGTGGCAGATTTTGCATACAGTGATGTAATTATTTAATAAGCCATCACCTGGACCAGTTAGATTAAATCACGTTATTTGGTACATGTGTTATTAGATAACATGGTGTGATGCAAATGTCCATGTATGACATTGTGTGGGATCAGTCAAAGATCAACGCCCCCAAAAGCACCTTGATTAGTACCTGGTTGGGCTAATTTTAGTGTGCACATGTTGTAGCATGTTATCTGGTATCTAATATCAGCTGATAACAACATAAAACAAGTATCTCCATCATCTTAAATGAATTCTGAAGCCACCCTAATTATAGATAATTATAGCAAGTGTGTCCTCAGATACAACAATAGACCAAGCCATAAGGAAAAGCAGAAGGCACTTTCTTTATACTGTGCAACAGTTGCAAAAAAGGCTTTACTTTTACAACAAACAGGAGTAATAATAATAATAATAATATTTTTTATTTATATGCTGCCCATCTGACTGGGTTGCCCCAGCCACTCTGGGCAGCTCCCAACAAGATATTAAAAACACAATAAAACATTTAAAACTTCTCTATACAGTGGTACCTCAGGTTAAGCACTTAATTCATTCTGGAGGTCCGTTCTTAACCTTAAACTGTTCTTAAGGTACCACTTTAGCTAATGGGGGCCTCCCGATGCTGCCGCGCCGCACGATTTCTGTTCTCATCCTGAAGCAAGATTCTTAACCCAAGGTATTATTTCTGGGTTAGCGGAGTCTGTAACCTGAAGCATCTGTAACCTGAGGTACAGGGCTGCATTCAGATCTCAATTGAACAAAGTAGACTTAAGCTCCAAGGAAGCAAGCACAGAATTGTGCTACAAACCTGCAGACCTATGTACACACATCTTATAAGAAGCCCTGCTGAATGAAGCAGGACTTCTGAGTAAACATACATAGGAACCTGATACACATTATACAACAGACCAAAGTAACAGGGTTGGGTTTATTTTCCCTAGGTAGTTTTCTCTCGCTCTCTTTTGAATGCCCATATGAATGGCTAGCTAAATAAACAGCCAAAAGATCCTTGGAGATGAGTCTGGAGGAGGTGCCCGTCCACATGACTATCACTGATGTGTATGCATAATACTGGGGTACCACCTAAGCTTATATTTTAATAAACCTATGGTGTTTAAGGGGTGGTGGTGGTTGTATAAAGAGAGCACAAAAGGCAACTTTCAACCTGTGATCCTATACATCAAGGTTTTTGTCTATGAGAATAATATGCACAGAATAGCCCCATATTGAGTGCAGTATAAATTCACAAAAAATATTGTACTTGTAGTATAATTGTGTTGCAGTCAGCCTTATGGATGGGTCGCAGAGCTTGGAGCACATTAGGCATCAAGCAGCTCCATGAAGTAAGAATGCTTGAAAATGGCAGCTACGTGTGTGCTTATACAAAACAGGAGAATCATTTCACAATGAACTCCTAAGAAACTCACATTTCAGGAGTAAACATCCTTGAAATTGACCTTACTAGGAATGACTCAAGAGAATAATAGAGGGGCAAAATTACCCTTGACTGAATAAAGGAAGCAGCAGGCTCATAGAAACACATACGCCACTGTGGTGTTAACTATTGCAGTAAAAAAACAACAACCTGTAAGGTTTGGGAGACTCTACATATGCCTAGATATTTTGTCACATTTTTAGAAGAAGACTAAAGTAGTAAGATCTGTTGTATAATCTGAGGCAGCTGAATAAAACGACTTCCCAGAGTATATTTTAATAGTCACAGTAGATACATTTGATTTTCTGGAATTAGAAGCCATTATTTTACCTAATGGTTGTGTAGCTTACATAATGTTCAGCCTTTCAAATCATCACCCAGCTGCCTAACAGGGAGCAGGAAACTTCTATCAGCTTTCAGCCTTTCTTAAATTCTACCCCTTTTGTATTCTTCATACTTAGTTCCACTGAAGAAAACTGTTCTTGCTATGCTTGTATACTAATTGTTTTACAAAGGTAGCTGCATTGCAGGGGGTTAGACTAGATGACCCTGGGGGTCCCTTGCAACTCTACAATTCTATGATTCTATGCCTCCCATAGGCATCTGGTTGGCCACTGTGAGAATATGATGCCAGACTAGGTGGATATAGGGCTGATCCAGCAGGACTAGTTATGTTCTTAAGGATTCCAATTCCTTAACATAATTTAAATTCCAATTCCAAACTGAGAGGATGAGCATTAAAAAAGCAAATGGGCTTTGATATGCAAGTATTGTAAAGGGATGCACAATACCAACTCCCCCAAAATACATTTTGGGGAAGGTCTGAGCTGGTGGCATTGACCAGGAAAGAGACCTTGGTGCTGTGGTGAGCTGTAGGTTGGTGGATATGCTGACACAGTGTGCAGCAGGAAAATTCCAAGTTGGGAATAATTAAGAAAGGGATCTGAAATCAAACTGCCAATATTGTAATACCCCAATACAAAATCTGTGGTGCATCCACACCTGATGTACAGTTGTGGTCAACGATGAAGCAAGTGAGATCCACCTGTCACCAACCATTCTGAGCTTCTGGCAACCACAGCCAGAATTGTGTTGCAGAATCGCAAAGCGGATTCTCTCCTGCAGACGTCGACGCGTTGTTTGTATATCGCATGCAGTAGGGGGCGGGGGATCACAAGGTTAGCAAGGACCACGTGGGTAGCATTTAGCGGGGCGAAGGCTCAGGTGTGCTTAAAGAGCACACCTACGCTGGCGGGATGGAGGGTTGCAGCGCGTTGTAGAAGCGCCCTAAAGCTGGCGTCCTAGCCACGAGCTTCGGTAAGGAGGTGTAGTCGAAATGTACAAAGTGGGCTGCTGACGCTGATCCAGCCTCAGGGATGCGGGTGGGCTGGGTGACCTCTGAGCACATTCCAGCTCTCAGCCATTCTACCATTGCTTTTGGCTTCGAAGCCATTCACAGTGCACTGCCTCTCCCCCTCGACGCCTTCCACCTGCCTCCCACATAACATATATCCGTAGTTTGGGGGGGGTGCAATTCTCCTTTTCACTTGCTTTGAAGCGGGCTGCCCCTACCCGCAAGCAGGGCCCCAGCCCGCTTTAGAGGGCCACTCGTGGGCATGCTCCTCTGCCCGGACCCGCTGCCGCCGCCGCCGCGCGCATTGTGACGGCACAGGCGCCCCCGCTGCCTGCCTCCCTCCAGCGTCGCCGCCCCCGCCCTCAATCCCGCCTTACGTAGGCTGGGCAGGCCGGCCGGCTGGCTGGCTGCTGCCAACTTTCAAACAATGCGTGCATGGCGGGCTCCGCCCCGGCTGGGCGGAGACGAGGGCTGGGCTCCGAGCCCTCGGCCAACCCTCCGGAGGCGGCCCCGGCCGCGGGGAGCTGGGGGCGCTGCTGACTCGCCGGGGCTGCTTCAGTGCCTGGTTCGGGGTTAAGCGCAGGGGAGACTCGCGAGCCCCAGCCGAGCCAGCGGAGCTGGCGGCGGCCCCCCTCCCTCTCCGCCCCGGTCAATGGCCCCTCGGAGCGCCGCCGCGCAGCTCCGGGCTCCGAGAGCGCCTTGCCCCGCCGAGCAGCCCCTCCGCGTGGCGTGAGTGCATGAAGCAGTGATGGGCAACACGGTGCACAAGACCCTGGCAGGTAAGCGCGGCTGCCGGGGGGGGGGGGCGTCGAAGGGCGGTTGCCGCTGCCTCCGAAAATCCCTGCCGAGGTCGCGGAGCCGGAGACGCGCGGGCGGGCTCCGGGTTTCCTCGCGCGTCTTCGGAGGAGAGCTTTCTCACTGAGCCGTTAGACAAGGATGACCTCCTCCTCCTCCTCCTCCGCTCGGTCGCCGGTGGGGACCTGCTCCCGCGTGTCTTCTGGGGAAAGGCGGGGGCGAGCTCGCTGTCCCCCGGCACCTTCTTTTGCCTTGGGGGGGGGGGGGGCGTGTGTGTGAGAGAGAGCGGGGAAACTGCCCCACCTCCTGGGAAGCAGCTTATCTGTGTGTGCCCTGGTCCCATTGCCCCGGCTGCTTTTGCAGCTCTCTTTTGTTAGTGCAAACAGCAATGGCAGTTTCTATGTCTCTTCTCTCTTTTTCTTTCTCTACCTCGCCCCCTCCCCTCCCTTCCTGCACGTGCTGCTTTCTGTCACTCCCTGTTTTCTGCTGCTGCTGCTGCTGCTGCCGGAGGACAAGATACCTCTGACATACCGGTCCATCCTCCGCTCTGATTGTGGCAAGCTGTCAAATCCGGGTGGTATTGCTGAATTAAGTATGGGAGGTTTTAACTGAAGATATGGGGGCTTAGGAGAGGAGAACTTGTTTCTGCGGATTCCCCATTTCCCTCTTCATTTCTCTTAAAAAGAATATCTGTTTCAGTAATGATCCCCCCTCAGCTCAAAATTCGAATCTTATTTCATGGTAAGGATTTGAGCCTAATGATTCATAGCGACATTTCGATTCTCTGCAGCTTATGGTTCTGGGGAGGAGGACCTTGTAATGAACGAAGGTGGGGCTATGAGGTGCTCAGAGGCAATCCCTTTTTGGTCAGACAAGGAAATGGCAAAAAAAGAAAAGAAAAAATGCGTGTGCAGCCGGATGTATTATTGCACACTTACCTGGTGCTTAAAGTGGGCATAGGACAACAGCGTCAGAAAGGGGAGGAGTGGCCATAGCACAATAGTAGAGAAGCTCTTTGCATGCATGTGGCTTCTCTCTCTCTCCCATGTTCTGTCCCCACCATTTCCAGTTAAAACTTAGGGGTTTGTAGGGCAGGGAAAGAACCTTCTGCTGCTCACAATAGGCAGTGCAGGGCGAAAAAGGCACCCGTGGTCTGAACTGGTGTGTAAGGTGAAGCTGCTCTTTCGGTGGAAAGAGCTGTGCATTTAAAATGTTGACATGAAACATCTGAGTCTGATTTGATGGGAATTAAAAATCTGTATCCCGTGAATTTATTCCACTTTGTGCACTGTGGTATGCAAATGTGTAGGAAACACAGGGTGCATGCATTTCAAGAGCTGTGATCCTGAGTAAGTCTCAAGTGGTCAGTCAGTGGGATTTCCAAATGTAAAATGTTTGGAATTGAATGAGGAAGAACTTTGACAAGCTGAGGGCTGGGGATGCAGAGAAGAGGAGGACCTGTTGCCTTTTTAGTGGGCACGGTTGGCAGACCAGGCATGAGTGAGAGGAGACAGATGCAGGAACGGATGGCTTTTGTTCCATAGCCAAGTGGCATGCTGGCGGTAGAACCAGTCCGTTTCGAAGCAGACTGTTTTCTTACGAAGAATGGTTCTGCTCCCTCTTTTAACCCCTGTTTCTGTGGGAGGGAAAGAATATGCTTTTCAAAACTCAGGCCCTTTCAGGATCTGCTGTGCCCCCCTCCCCCAGAAATTGAAATAAAAACAATGAACTTGAGCAGCAGCTGGGATGTCTTTTGGTCCCCTGCAAGTACAACAAAAGAAGGCAAAACTCTGTTTCTGGCTGAAAAAGCCATTTATGTGACTGAATTGAAGAGACGCCGCTGCCTCTCATTGTGAAATTTCCGAGTGTATTGGCCTTTATTTTTGCTTTTTGAAGACTTCGTATGTAGTTTCTTCTTTGTGATTCAAAAAGGGGGGAAATTGAAACCACATCTGAAACCTGTTTGGTGCATTCAATGACTTAATTTAAAATAAAGGTGCCCTCCCCAGCCAGCATTGTTCTGATACAATGAGAATAAAATCCACCACCCCCTCTTTTTGCTTGCAAGTTTGTAATTGCGACTCCTCCCTTCAACCCTGTCAGTGGGCAATGAGAACAGTTGGTTGATGAAGAATTAACGGTATTGAATTACTGCTCAGAGCTCCTGTGAGCTTGTGTCTTCAGCTGTCTCCCTTTTCTCTCTCTTGCTCTTCCTTATACCGTATGTCGTATTTAGTATACTTGGCTGCCTTATAAAGCCTGGGAGGCACGCTGCTGAACTGTGGCTGTCCTACAACACAATTATGAAGTTCCCTTTCTATAATGAGGAGCATAAAAGCCCTAGTCTGAAATTCTCTTTGCAGCCCTACAAAACCTTTGAAAGTGGGCTTAATTTTGCTCGTTGGAGTTAAAAAGTGATGCTTTATTTCTACTTTACAGTTTATTTCTATTCTTCTTTCATCTTAGGGACTTGATTAGACATCCAAATAAATTACTTATTTTATCAGTCAAGCACTTGATTTTACAAAGATGAAATTTCACCTGTATAGCAATTCATCTGTATAGTAGCTGCCCCACTGGAATATGTACCAGACCTCAGAACCCTGCATGAAATACTGGGACAAGAGAGAGAAGCTTTTGTCTGAAAACTGTAGCTGCAGCCATGCTTATATGCATCACAGAAATATGTGCACCTTGGGCTAGTCACTGTCTCTCCACCCAGCCTCCCTCACAGGGTCACTGAGGGGTTAAAGGTTGGAGGAGGCCCATGCATGTCACCCAAAACATCTGGAGAGAGGGCAAGATATAAATGTATATATATTTAAAACACATACCTGTATTTCTACTATCCAAAGGGTCAAATTCATTTTCACCTTGCTCTACATTATTTGCCTCAGTTTGTAGAGTTTACAAAATAGCCAAAAAGCAAGATCACAATCCATTCTAGGTACAGACTTGATGGAAACTTCAAGTCCACCAACTGAAAGAGCCACAGACAACCTGATAGGCATCTCTGCAGCCATTGAAAACATAGGATCTGCAAACTGTTTGTCAGGTTGATCTAGACATGTTATTGTCATGTGGGAGGGAGGATGATTATACCCGTTAAATAAGAGAGACTCAGTAGGGTGATGGGCTCCTCATCTTCTGATGTGGAAAGCAACGAGAAGCAGCTTTGTGCCATGCAGAAAGGTTAAGAGGTTATTAAGGCTACTTCTGTCATTTTGCTAAGCTAAGCTGCTTAACTTTATCAAGCAAGCTTTCGACTAGAGCAACCTACACAAACATTAATGTTAATAGCTGGGAGTTTGACTCATGAAGGACCTGTGCTCTTATCTAGCACAGAGTCTTCTCATGCTCCCACACTTTACAGAGTGCAATTGGAATTGCACAGAACCACTTTTGCAATTACAAAAGCTCATTACTTGTACACATTGGTATTTAATTGGATTCTGCTCTGAGTCTGAGTGTTTTGGTGTAACATACACATCAGTTTTCTTCCTTGCCAATAGCCACTTAAACGGTAAAGGGGCCCCTGACCATTAGGTCCAGTCGTGGCCGACTCTGGGGTTGCGGCGCTCGTCTCACTTTATTGGCCGAGGGAGCTGGCGTACAGCTTCCGGGTCATGTGGCTAGCATGACTAAGCCGCTTCTGGCGAACCAGAGCAGCGCATGGAAACGCCGTTTACATTCCCGCCAGAGCGGTACCTATTTATCTACTTGTACTTTGACGTGCTTTCGAACTGCTAGGTTGGCAGGAGCAGGGACCGAGCAATGGGAGCTCACCCTGTCACAGGGATTCGAACCGCCAACCTTCTGATTGGCAAGCCCTAGGCTCTGTGGTTTAACCCACAGCGCTATGTGTGTGTGTGTGTTTTTTTACTAGAACGAACATGGTATATTAATAATGAGCAGGAAGTTACATAAAACTTTTATTTAGGTATGAGCAGTTCCTAGTAGTAAAAAATCTATTTTCCTCACTTTGCTGTGGGGAAGTTGTAGAATTTATAAAATATAGAGTGAAAAATGTGGTATGTTATTTTGTTATGGGTCTTTTAAAAACATTTGCATCATTAAAGCTCCATTCAACTTGAAATTGCATTGTGCCAGGATTGCTGTTAAAAACATATTTTTCAAGCTATATATACTCTTAGGAGTAAGATATGGAGAAATAGAGAACATATTACTACATACAGTATTTAAAATTGTGGAGAAAGAGGTTGATTTACATTGAAATGATAGAATCTTTAAAGCTTGAAATGTGGCAATTATGTCGCACGTTCTGTGGATATGTAGGATTATGCCTATATTATATTTTGTTGCACAAGTGATGTTCCTCCATTCTGGAACATGGAATGTCTTAATATTCTTCCACAACAGTTGCTGGAGAACTAAAGATTCTTCTGTGCATATTTAAATTCTTGGGCTAATTCCCATTTGAAAATGCCAGGGGTGTTTAGGGTGATCATATAACTGTCCCAGTATCTTTAGGAATCTTTCATCTCCCCATCTACAGAAGCTTGAAGAGCTCTTCTTTATATTGTGTCAGCAGATGCTTTCTTGTTTAAGCAAAAGAAAATTCTTTTGCCCAGTCATCACAGTAGCAACAGTTGTAGCAAAGCTGGGATAAACCAGACTAATATTCACCCAGCACTTAAGTGAAATGTTTATTTGATGCATCAAAGCTCCTTGCTGACTTTACTTTCTGTTTGTTTTCTTGAATTCTACATTAGAACTTTTTTGAAGTTGCAGAAGAGAGAGTTTTATTCTGATCCCATGCAGAGAAAGTCCAGACAGACCATTCTCACTTACATCATGGAAAAAGCCCAAATAATCAACATTCCTCTGTATTCCTTAGATACTGTAGCTTTTAATGAGAAATATTGGGGGGGAATTGAAGTTCAATTTCTGCCTTTTAAGGCATTCTGCAGTGCAGTCTTACACATTGCTACTAAATATAAAGCTCAGTTTTCAGTGATGGCTTACTCCTAGGTAGGTGGGTATAGGATTTCAATCTTGGGTCTTAAACCACAGTCCTTTATCAATTTACTTGGGAGTAAGCCACCAATGAACTCACTGGGGTTTACTTATGGGTGGACAGGATTGCACTGTTAAGCCTTAAATTATAAAGCTATTATTCCCATTCTGCTCTTAACATTCAGAAAAGCTTTTAGGAAGCATCTTATTTTGTTATCATGGCTAGCATTTTGATAGTTAACACAGCAAAGATACAGACATTGAACATGTTAAGGACATTGCCACCGTACTGGAATGAGTAATACAGCAGGGCTAATGAAATACCATTTTTATACATGTATTGAGAAATCACTATGAAAGGTTTGAATGCAAGAGTTAATGTGCTACTTAAACATTTTTTTTAACCCTCTGTAGTGGTAAAAATTGCTTTTATCTAAAAGCTTGCAGGTATAATCCTTTCCACTTGCCAAAGAAACTTCTCGTATTATGCATCTCTTGAGCCACAGTCCTTACATAGCACACTAACAAATTGGGGCTTGGCTAGGATAACTCACCCAAAGATTGAACTCTATATTAGATTATACTTTCTTTTGATCTCCAAAGAAGCTACTGCCATTCCTTAATCATCTATTTTTGTTCCTGTTTTATATTGACCTGTCATTCCACAGAGATCATCTGCAGAAGCTCTCTTCCAAATATCTCGCCATGTGAAGCAAAGTGGGTGGCAACCCAAGAGATGGTTGTGATGCCATAACTTTAGCATTCCCCCTGCAGAGAGGTTGGCTTGGTTGATGCCTACATTGAACCAGCTCAGATATCCCAGTAGGCCATGATTTATTGTGATGGATGTGAGCCACAGGGAGCATTAGGCTCACATGCTCCCTCTCCTCCTCTGGCATGGCTGTGAGAAGGAGATAAAAAAACAAACCCTGTGGTTTTGGTTAACCACAGTTTAGCATTGTTTCTGAACATGAGAGTTCATTGTTGGTCTTAATTATGGTTTGTTCAGCTTCAAAGCCCAATGCTTGAAGTTGACTGATTTTAAGCAAACCATTGTTAATATTAGGGACAGTTTGTTGGGTCTGAATGAAACAACAAAGGGCAGGTAATAACAGATTAAAACAAAAACTTCTAATCGCCTTCTCATGGCTGAGCTGGAGGAGAAGTGGGGCGGAGTACATGAGCCCAAAGCTTTATCCATTTGTTCCTATCACAATAAACTATATATTAGTTTAATATGACAGCTGATTCAGCTCACTGCTGTATGATTCCCATTCCATCCTTTTGGAAAACCCATGGGGCTAGGATGTTTTCCCTAGTGGGGGGGGGGAGAGTGGTGAAAAACCATTGTGGGATGACCATATTAATGCATCTTAATAGCTTTTTCACCTGGGAATAGATAAAATATGCTGCCATAGTTAAATTATAATAAAAATGGGTTTAAGCTTGCATTGTAAGGAAGTCTGCTATATGTTTGGGCTCAGCCATTTCACTGTAATGACTTACATATCGTTTACAGCATTGTACTTCCTACAGCTGATAAACTTGGTGTGCAACATTGCAATGAATGGGTAAGACTTGTTTTGACTTAAAAAGCTGGCTGAGAGTCAGAATTGACGTTGCTGGATTATAAGCAACATGCCAGCCTATCATTTTGTGATGTTTCAGTGGCTTTGTAGATAATGATACCCCTTTATGGTTTGGAGCTAATTTCCCCTTATCTAAATTAGCTGATTGCTTGCTCTTCATTGACAGGTGGATCTTGTCTCACTATGCTCTGAGATTCCCCTTTGACATTCATTTCACCTTTTCTTCCTTAAAGCTTTTTGGTCCCCCTCAATGAGCTATCTTAGTGCACGTTTAATTATCACCTTCTCTGCTTTGCCACTTAAATATGGTACTTATATTGTGTTTCATAACCAGACAACAGGATATCATCCTAAAGATATTGTGTGTGTGTTAAATGTTCCTTGGGGATTGCTATTGCAACAAAAGAATCCAGACACTTCTTTCCGTGATTAGACTTCAAAGCAGCTATATTAGGTCATGTGCATAACATAACATTGGGCATCAAAACACAACTTCAGTACTTAAGATTTCTTCTCTTTTATTTATTGAATGTTTCAAAGAATTCCCAACTATTTCTTGCAATCCACCTAAAACTGATCAAGACCATACCGAATCATCTTGAGGATAATCCACAGAATATGTCTCTTCTGATTTCATGGCCAATATTATCTTTAGTTATTGCTCAATATTGCTCATAATTTATTAGCCATCTGTTCTTTGTGGCGCAAGTTCACACACCATCTACCAATCTGTTATCCTCCTCATCCCTCATCCATCGTCCTTTGTGGCATCATCTATGGTTGACAGTAGATAGCACTCATTTTCTGACTTGTTCATTCAGACTAATTGTTCCTCTCATCTCCTTATTAGGTAGCCTGAGAGAGAGTGTTCTGGATTTCCAGAAGGAGCTGAAATACTTGCCAGTTTGCATGGGGTGGGTTAGAGAAACATTTGTTGAATAATCCCCTATACTGAACCTCATTCAAAAAGGAGGCCCATAATATATAGGCAGAGCGTATGTACTTGAGGTGCCCTGTTTTGGATAGCTTGAAAGTCAGTGGGATAGGTGGTACTGAACAGCTCTAGAGAATAAAGGGAAGGCATGCAGGTATAATCTGAGCAGCTGTCCCAAGCACAAACTGCAAAATGTACTAGTTGACCTCTCAGCTAATGTTTGGACTTCGAGATTTGTTTTATGGTATAAGATACGTACTGGTATAAATCAGGGAAGAGTGCTGCAAACTATTGGAGACAGGAGCATACACAATTCCTTTAATTTGTTTGGATAAAGTGGTTAACTTCAATCAGGAAAATGGAGGGGGCAGTGGTGGGGACTCAAGACGTCAGACTGAATCAACCGTACAGCTTTATGGGGAAATGTTTGGAACTGAACGTGTCACTGCATTTTGAAAAGAACACCAATAAATTACACACATGTGAATCCACCTCAGTTGATTCTGGAATGTAGCATGTGTGGGGTTTTGTGTTTTTTTTAATATGGTAAGGGTACCTGATTACAAAATGTGTGAGAAGATGCCATGAGTTGGCTAATACCTTGAATACATGGTTTTCTTTCTGATGTACGTAGTTGTTCAGTCTTCAGTCTGTTTTGTAGCCTGTGTGCCTATTACCAGCTAAAAACATAGCTTCTCAATTTGGATTAAAGCTGGTTTGGAGCAAAATGCAATGTTTCTTAAGAAACAACACAATAAATAACCACCCATGGCAGTGCGCTGGATGCAGAGTATACAGGAGTGTGTACACAGCCTTGCTCACTGGTTGGATGTTCCCTTTTTACACCCAAGTTCTCGCAGCATGCAAATTATTCTAGCCCATTGATTATTCATACATTTAAAAATGTTTTCTGAAATTGACATTGTAATGTTGATATCAAGAGTCCTCAAATACTTAGATAATGTTAGGTCTCTGCATTTTTTTGTTTGTTTGAAAATGTAAACCCTAATGTGACTGGTGATGATGATTCATTTGGAAGATTATATAACATCCCTGTTCGTATTCTAAAAATCTGCCTGCAAATCAGTTCCAATCAAAGTTTCCAATCAAAGATGGAAATGAACATTTTGCTATTTGGCAGCACTCATGAATTAAACTAGTTCTGTGTCAGCAGGGCCTGTTGCATCATTGCCAAAAAGGCGAGGGGCTCTCCGCTCCATACTTCCCATTGTGTCTCTGTTTGGTGTTTTAGTTGCCTGAGTCCAGATTCATAATTAGAATAAGAGGCTGGTATGATTGGGAGCACAAGGTGGCAAGGTATGTGATGGGTGTGAGTCATGATGAAAAAAAAGCTGCCCCAATATTCATTATTATTTATTATCCAATAGGACAGGGCAAAAAGGAGAGGGGGCACTATTCATGGAACACTTGTGAGTTTGCAGCCTTTATATTTTTAGATGATTATCCACACTGTATTTTGCCGCTGCCAGTTTCCCTCACCCCCAAATGCCTTCCTTAATTTTCAGAGAATTTTTACCTTGAGGGGACACACATCTTTGGGGTGAACCAGATGCAGAGGAGGGCAGTGACCTATGACCTTTCATGGCTGTGTAAAAGAGGCAGTTTTATCAGGATCTGTTTTCTCAGCAAGTCTCACCTGCTGAAGTCTGTCTTACAATCATGAAAGACTGAAGGAGCCCAGTCTCCTTTCGCATGTGGTTTCCCTGAAAGAGGCATGTAACTCAATGTCAAATTTCAATCTATCCTTACAGCTCACCCCCCCCCCCATAGTCTTTTGCTTCCTATTCGTTCTCTGAATGAGCGGATTACTTCCTCCTCCTCTTTTTGGGACTCCTAAATGGAATCTGATTGTGTCAAGACCTTTTTCCTAGACTGCTTCAATATGGGTTACAGCCACCCAGGAGAAATCCCCACCCCAATACCATGATAATTTAGCAGATTACAGTTGGAGGAAGCTTTTTTTGCAGGATTGTGTGAGATCAGGTTCATATACTGGATAAAACTATACCTTACTGTAGAAAGGTCATTCAGAATGCTTCCATTTTAGTGTTGTCTAAAGCATCAGCTTCTTTAGTTTCATAATTGGATTTATCTATTTACTGCTTTTGTTCTGCTTCTTTCTGCCAGGATTACGTAGTTGTGGTTTTATTTTATTTCTGCAAGCGCCAGTCTGCTGATCAGTTGTCCTCTTGCTGCAGTGTTGCAATCTCTGTCGGGGAATGTTCTGCAAGAAGGCAGCCTTCCACTCACAAGCTGTTCATTGTCCACTTGTTGCATCTCATGAAGCTGGCTCCTGGTTAAGCCTCGTGCCACAATCCATTTGCCAGCCTTTAAGGTGCTCTTCAAGGACTCTTATGTTGGTATTTGTCACAAAAGGAACCACACAAAAACCTTACATTCTCCCATTTCTCATTTTATTCTTAACCTGAAAACGAAGGCCTAATTTCAAAGCAATGTGTAATGCTAATGAGATCACAATTGGTTTCGTCACAAAATCTAAGACGATAGCATAGGCCCAAAGAAGTGAATTACTCTCAAGAAATGCAGATGCTGTAACAGTGGACGTAATCCTATTACAATCTCCAGGCAGAATAATTTCCATTGTGTCTCAGTTTTTGGAAAATATAAATTGCTTTACTTTGCCTCTGAGTACCTGTTGAATGTGAGTTTGACAAGCTAAAGATTAATGAAAAAATACCCAAGGTTTTAAACTGGAAAGAAGGGCACAATGAAGTAATTCTACCCATGTTTATCTTCCTTGCCTGATATTTAAACAGTGTGGTTACAAGGCCATTTTTTAAAGTTTGTGATTTGTGTCTGTTTTGTACGCAAGGCCCTGACTCTAATCTTAATCAATTACTCAATTTACAGGGGACGAACAGAAAGTTACCCTTGATCTTTCAATAAAAGGGGCACTACCACACTTCAAAAAGTTGGCTCCATATTAGTAAGGACAGAGAGGCTTGAACTTGGTGAAGTGGTGTAGTGGAGAATGGGGAAGACTAAGATAAATACAGTGGTGCCTCGCAAGACGAAATTAATTCGTTCCGCAAGTCTCTTCGTCTTGCGAGTTTTTCGTCTTGCGATGCACGGTTTCCCATAGGAATGCATTGAAAATCAATTAATGCGTTCCTAGGAAACCGCCTTCAGACCAGGTCCGGGGACAGTCTGTCCCCGGACCTCTTCTGAAGGCTGGGGGGGGGGGAGGGCTTTTCTTCCCACCCCCAGCATTTTAAAACCCCGGGACAGCGGAGGACTTCTCCGCTGTCCGGGCGATCTTAAAATGCTGGCGGGCGGCATTTTAAAATCACCCCGGGACAGCGGAGGACTTCTCCGCTGTCCGGGGCAATTAAAAGCCCCTGGGAAGGCAGGCAGGGGGACAAAGACTTTGCCCCCGCCAGCCTTCAGAAGAGGTCCTGGACCTCTTCTGAAGGCGGCGGGGGCGAAAGTCTTGCTCCCCGCCTTCAAAAGCCCTCCGGGACAGGCAGGCAGGGGGAGCAAAGACTTTCGCCCCCGCCCGCCTTCAGAAGGTCTTCCCTCCCCCGCCCGGCTCGGAGCACCGTTCCGAGCCGGGCGGCGGCGGGAGGTCTTCCCTCCCCCGCCCGGCTCGGAGCACCGTTCCGAGCCGGGCGGCGGGGAGGTCTTCCTCCCCACCGCCCGGCTCGGAGCACCGTTCCGGGCCGGGCGGCGGGGAGGTCTTCCCTCCCCCGCCCGGCTCGGAGCACCGTTCCGGAGCCGGGCAGAGGCGGGAGGTCTTCCCTCCCCCCGCCCGGCTCGGAGCACCGTTCCGGCCGGGCGGCGGCGGCAGGTGTTCCCTCCCCGCCCGGCTCGGAGCACCGTTCCGGGCCGGGCGGCGGCGGCAGGTGTTCCCTCCCCCCGCCCGGCTCGGAGGAGCCTTCCGAGCCCGGCGGCGGCGGGAGGAGGTGTCCCCGCCCCGCCGCCAGGCTTCGGAGGAGGTCCGAGGACAGTGGGGAAGACGCGCTGCGCTTCCCCGCTGTCCCTGAGATTTCCCTATGGGCTGTCGTCTTGCGAAGCAAGCCCATAGGAAATTGCTTTATGAGCGCCTCCAAAACGGAAAACCCTTTCGTCTAGCGGGTTTTCCGTCTTGCGAGGCGTTCGTCTTGCGAGGTACCACTGTACACAGTTCAGTAGTTGGCATGGACAAGGGGAACCTATTTTAAGTTTTCCTGTGCAAACGTTTAAGGAGTTACTATTTCACCCTTGCTGGCATACAGAAACAAACAAATGGGTTGGGGGATGGGACATCACACTTGTAGAACACATGTCTCACAGTATCCCATTCTCATTTTGCTATAAAGTGAAAGGCTGCAGAGCAGCTTTGCCAGCCATAATCGCAACCGTATTCTCACTTGTTGTCTTTGCCAATACCACATATCACATCTCAGCCAATAAATTTCTGTATAAAGCCTTACTAAGCTTCTTGAGGACCATTCCTGAGACTGCCCCTGCTCCTCAACCTTACCTGTAAACCCTTCTACCCTATAGCCCCACTGATGAACTAGCAACTGGGGAGTTGCTCATGAGGACTCCTTTATTGTTTGGCTTTGGTGTGAGAGGAAAGCAGGAGCTAAATTGTGAGTGGGTATAAGACTAGAATGTGTGTGTGTGTGTGTGTGTGTGTGTATGTTTGCTGGGAGATGGAATAACCTTTAACCTACTGTCCAGCAGTTTGAATGGCTGAGGTGGTTTTGGGAAAAACTAGGGCAGTTGTATTGAACGATTTTCAGCATCTACTCTGAGAGAATCCCCTTCCCATTGGCTGAGCTGGCTTGGGACTTTTTGGCTGCTATTGCAATCATGGGGTTGTTGACATATCACTGACCAAATAATCCATGAGGAAGGACATACGCTTAAGCTGGTCTTTTCTAGCAGGTGGCTGGTTGATGGTTTGGTGGTGTTTAATTACCTTGTTATCATGGACTGGTCATTTCCTGGTGAGGTTTAACGTTTGTGGTGCTTGGTGCTCATTGCTCCCTGCAGGGGTGGAGGACCAGTTAGGACCATCCAATCGTGGAAGGTTTTTGTTTTGTTTTAATTAGGAAGATTCCTGAACGCTTTGGGAAATTGGGCAGTTGGCATGGCTGGCACCCCTATCAAAGCCCTGGTGTCACTGTGGAATAGTGAGATGAAAAGGGCCAGTGGCACAGTTGTTCACGAGTGCTCTCTCCAGCATTGTGGATCCTGGATGGCTCTGTGGTCCCCAGGAAGGCTCTGAGTGATGGAGTAAGCCAAGTGACTGCTGGAGTACAGGTGGCACAAGTATTACAGTGAAAACAGCTGAACACATAATCATGCCACCTGTGGGGCAGTGAAGAAAGTTTTCTTAACTATTACTTGAGTAGCTTTCTAGCACAGCTTTGTGGGCTTGTGGGAATGTGGGATCTTCCCCTAAGGGGAGTAGCCTAGAATGCACAAAAGCCTGCTGTGACTAATTTGCAAGGCACCTTGAAAAGTCCCTCACGTTCTGCTGGAGCTTAATGCCACAGATATTGTGGATCAGCTGGAGATGTCAAGTCTGGTTGTTTGGGATCAATTTCAGTAGCTAAAGCTAGATAACTGTGGACAAGGTGTTTGAATTTTTTTGGCCTACCACATGCAATCCTGACCTTCCTGTCATATAAGGGTTGGGGGTTGCCTGGGTTAGGCTCAAGAGCTGTAAATGCCATTTTTGTGAGAGACAACTGTAATTTGCCTTTAAAGGAAGTGGTGGTGTGTCCCCTTTTCAAGACACCTTCTCTGGATCCAGAAGCAAGTGACAACTACTGCCAGTTGCAAACATTTCCTTTTGGGGAATGGTTATTATCAAGAGAGTGGTGTCTGTGCAGCGTCAGGAGTCTTTGGAGGAAGCCGATTATCTAGATCCATTTCAGTCTGGCTCCAGGCCAGATTTTGGCATTGAAATGACTTTGGTGGCCTGTATCAGGGAGGACAAAGAGAGTTTGAGCTTGCTTAATTCTCCTTGAGTTCTTGGCAGCTTTTGATACCATCAATTATAACATCCTCCTGAACCATCTCAGTGGATGGGAGTAGGGAGCACACTGTTATAGTTGTTCCATTTCTACCTGCAGGACTGGTACCAGAAAGTAGTAATGGGCGACTTTAGCTTAGCCCCATGGCAGTTGTGCTGCCTGTCCCCCCCCCCATGCCGATTAAACTCTTATTCTTTAGTTATTAGATTTCTAGTCTAACTTTCTTATCTAAGGAACTGTTGAGAACATTTGTTAAGGGGTTTGGAGTGAAGTTTCACCATTATGCAGATGACACCCAGCTCTGTTTCCCTTGTCATCTGAACGGGGGGAAGATGTGCAGTTGCTTGGTCAGTGTTTGGCCTCTTGTTGTGGTGTTTACCTCTGTTCAAGAGAAGGCCTCATTAGTTCAGTAGGCCCTAACTGTTTAACTAAGGTAGCCCCCCTTTTGAGTTGTGACTCATTGGGTCTTCTGCCTCTTGACTTGGAAATGTCTTGATTCAACACATGTGGACATCTATACCCCGGGCACTTTTTCATATTATCTTCCCTTCCCTTACACTGATTCATCCTTCTGATCCAACTTTGGAAGTAACTTTTTAAGGGTTCTGAGAGTGATTTATGTATTTTATATGCAAAGTCTTTGTTCAGTTGGCCATGCAAACAAAGAATGACAGCTGCAAAGTAGGCAATTTTTAAGTAAACAAGTGCATATTAATTTTCATGAACTTCTGAGAAGATCTCTCTCTGTGTAGAACTATCATAATTGAGGATAATTGTCCTCACACTGCGTTGCACTTCTGGTATTTTGTGTTATTGTACAATGTGACAAGACTTGTAGTGGTGGTAATGAGGGGAGGTTTCAACTAATGTACAAAACCTCTAGAAAAATGTAATTTCCTCAGCATACCTGTGCATAGATGTAGATTCTGGGTGTTCTGGCTCAATAAGAAATAGTATAAGCACCTCTGCATTTGAAGAAGAAGAAAAAAGCTAATCAAGAGCTCACTTTTAAAGATTTTGTCCTTTGAATAAAGCATGTACCAAATTACTATGCTCTCCGTTGGCTTCCTTGCACAATCTCTCCTCCTCTCCGCCCCCATCACTGCCTCATGAATTATGGGATCAGCCTATGCCTTCTGGAACTGGAGCTAGGAGGTAGTCACAGGATTTTTGTATGCCTCTTGTTTGAGATTCCTATTTCACATGCTTGCTTAGGTGCATGTTTATACAGTGCAAAGCAACAGGCACCAAAGCTATTGCTTGTATACTGTCTTATATTTGGGGCAGCTGAGTGTGGGGAAAGTACATATTTTCTAAGAAAGGTGAATTTAGCCTACAAAGCGTCCCCTATATTGAGTCAGAGGCCATTAATCCCTCTAGCTCACTTTTGTCTATTTATTTGATGCCTGTAAAATGTCTAAAAGTGATTTCCCAGCAAGAACATCAGGAATGAAACAATTTAAAACAATTCCATATGCAAAAAACAAACTCATATGTAAAAACGATTAAAAACCATTCCATGCATAAAACAATTTAATATGTAAAACCATTTTCAAACCCACTACAGATTTAACCTGGGAGAAATATCTCCATGTAAAAGGCTTGTTGAAAACCCCAGAAGCACAATAGCAACAGCACCTGTCTGATGTGTAATGGGAAGGAGTTCTAAGGGGCAGGTGCCACCACAAGCCCAGTTCTCCTATCCAACAGAATGCAACTACTGATAGGATGGTATCTGCAGGAGGACTCTCCTGCAGAGTGCAGCAGTTGTTTTTTTTTTATGAAAAATACCCATTCTTCCACTGAGAAGAGCACACAAATGCTGCAGAAAAGGTGAAAGAGAAGACAGATCAGTTTTATGGAAGGCAAAGGAGCCTTTGAGACCTGCATTCAGTAGTAGTGGTCAATACACTGGGGAACATTCTATCCTTACACTCCCTCCCTGCTGTAGGCACACAACTAAGTCCTCCCAGTGGTGTGGAGCCAGTGGGACCAATTGTTCCTTAGCTCTGGTATTTTAAGCCCTGTATACATTTGACTGTAAGCTGTGCATTCCTTAATAAGAGAATTTTTTGCTGAGGATATTAGCAGCATTTGGGGGATGACGTAAGTGAAGTATGTTACTAGAACATTTCTTAGCCTCTGAAGTATATTCTGTTCCTTATGTTTTCCTGTGCCTCTTGCAGAGCCTGCCAGGATCTCCCACTTATCTTCTGCTCAATGTATCATCTGTCCTTGTAAATGCTTATCAGAGCTTTTGATCCTTCAAGGACACTTTGATTAGGTTTTTGTGTACAGATAACTCAGGCCATAATTTTCCAAATGAAAGTTTTCACTCCCTTTTAAACACTGACAGAGATGTTATTTCCTGATGGGCAGGTGATGGTTTTGTGAACTCTGAACTCCTCCACCTTCAGCTAATGATGGTGTGGTGTAGCCAGTCATAAAGATAGGTATTAGATGAGAGGATAAGGTGGCTGATGCTCTCATTCTGCTTGGCTTGAGGACAGAGCAGCAGTTCTTAACAGTGCAATCCTGCAAATGTTTGTTCAGAAGTAAGTCCTGTTGTTTTCATGAGTGCTGGATTAAACCCTGTGGAGGACCGACTCTAGGCAGTTCAAATCTCGGGGGGGGGGGGGGGGGGGGGCTCGCAAATTATCTCAAAGCTTCTACTTGGCTACTTGCGAATATTCTACTAGGATCTGGAGTTGGTGGGAACTCGCGACACACACAGAAAGGTTTGTATCTGGAGGTTTCTCATGCGTGTGCTCTAGTTGGATAACATTGAACTAAGAAAGTTTGATTGTAATTTTCTTTCAAGATCAAATCAATACTATTTTGATCCGTTGTTGCAGTGCCTCTAGAAAGGCGTGGGGCCGGTGCCTACTCTGCCTTTTTGGTAATCCAGCACTGGTTTTCATTGAGGCTTACCCTCAGGTAAACGGCTTTAGGATTGTAACCTCTATTCTTTTTCTAAAATTGAAGTAGCCACCCACCTGATGTCATTGTGATGTCAGGTTACAAATTTTCTCTTGCCTGCACACATCCTACCTGACGTTGCATACAGGGAAGATGGGCGTAGGGAATTAGGACCTTGGAATTAAGGCTGTGGGTTGGAGGTTCCCCATTGCTGTTCTAAACTAATCCCCCGCAAATATTACAACAATTCCTCATAGGAAAGTTTTTCCAGCCCCCTGATAATTTTGGTTGTCCTTTTCCAGTTCCGCAATGTCTTCTTTGAGGTGCAGCAACCAGAATAAACTAAAAGCACAATAAACCAAGTGGGATTACACCATAGATTTGTATGAAGAGTGGTTTTGTTTTCAGTTCCTTTCCTAATGATCCCTGGTATGAAAACTGTTCTTTGTCACTGGGAACTTGCAACCAGAATCCTCTATAGAAACTAAAGCCAGACAAAGTAAACCAGAAGTGAAACTTTTAAAGAAAGAGTGGAAATGGCTCTTGGTGTGACACAGGGATACTGTAGTTTCTTTTACAGCAGAAAGATTTCCTTAGTGTGGTAAACATTTGGACACACAAATATAGCCACGTTTACATCCTTCCTTTTTTTACATACTTAAGAGAGGTAGGTTGAAAAACCCCCCCAAAACCTTTTCAAACCTTTACTTCCTGCTTCTCTGTGTGGTTAGAAATGGTTTGTGGAAGCCTTTAAAGTTTCTGCATATATATATTTTTCTTAATACAAATCAGCAACTTAACTTAATGTTCTTTCAAACTCTCAGTTGCTAGTGATCTGCATCTCAGAAACTTTTTCTCGAATTGTTCCCCGAGCTTAATTCTTGATATATTAAAGACTGAAACCCCCTTCATTCCTGATCATCTTGTACTGTTGTACTGTCGTGTGTGATTCATTTTTATTGTCTGCTCTTTAAACTTTATTTCTGCAGTTACTGAGCATTTGGGGTGTTTTGTTTTTGTGTGTGTGGTGCTTACCAAAAAGTCTTGTCATACAGTTTGTGTATGTGTGTTTTTCAAAGGTAGAGAGATGCCATTTTCTGCATGACTGTCAGGACTCATTAGACTCTGCTCATCTGCCTAATAGGCTTCTGAGAAGCAAGTTAGCACGTGGGTTGAATGTGGCAAAAAAATTAGCTTTGGTTTGTTTCCTAAATGTGAAGCATTTTGCTCTAAATTTGAATAATTTTCTGTACATAGACCAGCTTACAGTAAGTAATTTAATCTCTAAAACTATTAGTAATGTAGAAGTCTTGTTTCTCCATAAAGTTCCCCATATAGCTAACTTTTATTTATATCAAATGGCAAATCACTCTGCTTATGTTTTAATAGTTTGTTGTGGCGTTTTGAGTTGCAAGATGAATAGATGATTAAAAAGAACTGAAATTAAGCAAATAAAAGCAGTTTATATATTGGCTGTGTTAATTTAGACTACATAGTATGCTATTTATGAACAGATGCACTCTGTTAGCTGCAGAGGAATAATAAATTTGTACATCGTTTAGAAGAACTGGTGCAGTGCTGAGAGGAAAAACAGGCTGGTGGAGTAGAAAAATTTCATACAGTAGTTCCATCTCCTCCAGTTTCTTGAGGACTACTGTAGACATTATGCTTACTGCATGTTTGAGGGTAGCAGAGATAGCCTCTTTGTGACTGGAGCAACTCATTATGTGACTTTCCTTAATTGTGTGGAGTGTTTTACCACACCAGCAGCCCCTAGGAATAGACAGTGTTGGCGTGAGAGCTCTCCACACATTGGGGAGACTCATGGGATTAGTGGTTCCAAACATTACAGATGCACAATGGGAACCGGCAATCTTGAACACCTGATTCAATCTTCCCGTGCTCTCTGTATGGGTAAGTTTTTATGTGTCTCTAGCTTGGCCCTTTGTCCTTTCAATGACAGGGAGACTTCTGACAGGATTAACTTGTATTTGTTGTATTTGTGTCCTGCCTTTCTTCCAGCAAAGCCAAAGAAGCACTCTAGTTTGAAAACAACCTTGGGCGTGAGAGTAATTTTGCCAAAGCCACACACCCAGTGAGCTTCATAGAAGAGCAAGGAAAGATTTGAGTTTCTGACATCCTTACCCAGCCCTCTTTATTTGCCCCAGCTCTCTCTCCCATGCAGCTACCCGCCCTGGGAACCTATGGTGGTAAGAAATCTTATAAATGAATGAATCTGATGAAGCATGCCTCTAAAACTTGCTGGGCTGTTAAAATACAGGCACAGTCCTCAAGGCCAGTTCTCGGAAAGAGGCTTAGTAACATCAGTGGGATTGCCAGGGAAAGTGCTCTGAATGCACAGGATGTGACATAAGCAATGCTGAAAAGCCTGTGTGGGTGCATTTAAACAGCTTGATCCCACTGATGTCAAAGGCATAAATACATTAGGTGTGTAAATAAAAGCCTTGTTGAAGACGATGGCAATGGCCTCCACTGCTGGTTGAAGATAGGGTGATTTGTAAGTGCTATACAGAACAAGCTTCAAAATCAATGCCTTGGTTTGTCAGCGTCACACTGAGAAACCAGAACCAGGGTTACTGACCTCAAGAAGGAACAACATCTCCTATTGATCATTCATGACATTTTATCCAGCCCTTTAAGGTAAACTGCTAGGACTCTTACGTTACACCCCCTCTCTGCACTGACTGTCTCTCTCCCTTGAGACAGGAAGATTGAACCTGAGACCTTCTGCTCTACCACTGAGCCATGACCTTTCCCCATAGTCTACACTGGCATTTTAAAATGAGTGGGACAATTAAAATAAATATCCACCACTGTGTCCTGGTAGCAGCATAGCAATACCATACTCGGTAGGTAATACATTGGAAAATTCCACTCCCAGGGAAGGAATTAAACAAACCTTTTAGTGTTCAAGGGGTACAGCTTGGCTAGCAGAGTATATTTTCTAAGAGAAGAAAATATATAGCAATCTGCATAATACGTACAGGTCTCAGAGGTTTGCAGCAGTAGAAGCAGAGATCGGGGTTTCTGTACCTAAAAGTTAGACACAAACAATCACATTCCCAAGCTCCTCTAAATGGTTACATCTGGTTCTGTTGCGCTGTGACTCTTCCCTTACTGAGATCAGCAGAGGCACTTCATTTTCCTTTAGAGGCCCTGATGCATTTTGTCTGAACAGTATAAATGTTTGTCAGTAGTTCATGGTTTGTTTTATTAATTCTAAGAGGGAACAGCTGAACTCTCACGTCCCAGAGGTGCAACAGCTGTGTGTTATTGCCTAATAACCTTCATCTCAAAATTGGCAGTTTTCTCAAGAAACGCCTTTCCTTTGGGCACTTATCTTTAGACTCATTAATGCATGAATATGTTTCAGAAGCAGTCTTATTGTATTAAGTGTACTAAAACTGACTAAAATCTAAAACAACCACCCCATGTGTGGTGCTCTGTCTTTTGACTGTTAGCCTTGCACTTGCCTGTTCATGAATGTGGAGCTAGAACAAAACATGGCATGGTTCTACTTAGCTATGCAGACCAGCTGTAGAAACATGAACAATCCCCTCTAAAGTTAATCAGACTTCCAGCATGCCACAGTCTGACGCAAGCAAAAGTAATGGGGTTGCCATACCTAAATGACACTATATGAGGTTGGGCCAAATTGACCCAAAGGTCTTTACATCTGTTGGCTTTTTCTCCCATTGTGGCGTCAGCAGTTTGGTCATGTTCACTTGGAAATAAGTCCTGTTAACTCATTGGGACTAAGAAACAGAGGTTTACATCCTGAGTTGCTCTGATGGAAGAGGGTTGGCAGAAGATGACTTAACCATCCCTCCTATCTTCTGCAGGCCCCTGCAAAACTGCTCATAGAAGGTTCCTCCACCTGATTTTTAATTGTCTCCCCCTTTCCATTACCACCTCACATGCCACAGACCACTCCATTCAGGAGGACCCTTAAATCCTCAAAAGAGGCTTTTCAGTGGGAGGAATTGATGGAAAATCCCCATCTTATGCCAACCTTCTGGCTGTGCTTCTCAGGATCCAATCCAGGCTATAAATCAGTAGGTATTGGCAATATTTAATAGGAACATGACAGGAAAATGTTTGCACCCAGCCAAGAAATGAAAATTAGAACTCATTGAGCATCATTTAAATTGCTTAGATTTTTAAACTTCATTTGTCATTAAAAATAACATTTGAGTGGAAGTCATATAATGTTTCCCAGAAAGATTATTAATCAGTAAAGAGGAAATATGGCAGCATGCTAATTTCACACGAGAACTTCATAGTTGAACTGAGATTTTAACCACGGGCTTCAGGTTTAGAGCATAAGAATCTTCAACCTCTATAATATTTCATATGTAGCAGAAATATGTCAAAGATTTTACCGTTCCGTTGGGGATACTGAAATGATAGACAAGGGTTTTTTGTTTTTGTTTTTAAGAAGCAAGACATTATGACACATAAGCGGATCAGTGGTAACCAGCAGAGCCAAATATGGGGTGTAGAGCTGTGTTCACATTTCTTGCCCACTGACCACCGAAAGCTGAATCTGAATGAGATAAGTTAAGTCTGATTCTTGCCCTTTCAATGGGGCTTCTCCAGGTGACATTTGTGACACAATGGGGGTGTATTTCCACAACCTCTAAACGCCCTTCGGGGAGGGGGGGAGAATAGGCACTGCTTGCATCCACCCACAGAACTCTAGCCTGCCCTCTTCCCCCTGCTGCTCCTTTCAATTAAGCTTTAATGAGGCCAGGGTTCTAGTGTAAGACGAGCCACCTTTTTTCCCTTTGGCAAAGTAGGCATTCCTAATAGGTGTTTTGTAAGAGAGCCATTTCAGCGAATTGCTTTCTTTAGCAAAGGCGTAACTTGTGCTTGAAACTTCAGCAGCTTTTGTATTTTTTTGTTTGCTTGCTTTTTCTGGTGACAAAGGATGATTGTTTTTACGTCAAAAGGACGGCTGTCTGTCCCTGCACTCTGGAATAACGTTAATTTTGAGTTTGATTAAAGTGAAGTATTTCCCCCCCACCGTCTCCTATAAGAACACACAAAAACCCCTGCTGGATTTGAGGCCTAACTAATTTGGCATTCTGTTCCCACAGTAGCCAGTCAGATGCCTCTGGGAAGCCCAAAATGGGACTTGAGCACAGTAGCCCTGTCCTGCTGTTTGCCCCCCACCTGCTGGTATTGAGCTTCTTCTCTTCTTCTTTGGTGACCACTTGTGGCAGAGTAAGATTGTCTTCCATGAACACGGTCTTAACAGTGAGTCTGTAAGTGACTGTGGAGGCCAATTCTGGATCCACATGTCCTTCCACAGTGTGGACATAGGTTTCTGGGTGGGAGTTGATCATGGTGAGGGTTTGCCAAACATGCCTTCCTCTTAGGACGCATACTGTGGTATAGTGATCATGATCAGTAGCCACTGGTAGCATTATCCTCCAGAAATCTTTTTCCATTTTGTACAAATAGAGGTCTGAAAAGGAGTTACTTTTGCATCATGCCGTGAAGACTGAACAGCTGAGCTTATTTAGATGCAAGATAAAGGATTCTAAAACTGCAATCCTTTTGCACCCTTAGGTGAAAGAAAGCTCCATTCAACACAGTGGGACTTACGTCCAAACAAATACGTATAGGATTTTGCTGCAAAAGAACTATTGCACCCAACAAGTCTATTTATAGTGGGAGGAATTCCACTTTGCATTATGCCAAACATTCCAACAACACAAATATTTCAGCTTGCTGGATGGAATGACCCCCCCTCCTGCTGTGTGTTGTTCTGCAGGGGGTTATCCTGACCCACCCCCAGCTAATTTTGGGGGGTGCAGTGGAGGAGAGAAGGGAAATCCCTTTTGTGCAGGGCTTAAGAATTAAGAAGAATTGCTTACGGTTATTCCACATTTTGAACTATTCCCATGTATGCTACTAGCAAATTCAAGAGCAATAAATTCAACAGAAGAAGCTGTATCACTCTGTTGCAACAAATCCCAAAAAGTCTCAGTATAGTAAGAGAAATTATGGGTGAATTTGAGTTATAAGCTTTTGTGAACTAGAGCCCACTTGTATTTATTTGCCTTTGAAGTGTCACAAGACTTTGTTGTTGGGGAGGAGAGGCTGTAGTTTTGTGTGTGTTTTGCTCCATATACTTGGCAGAGCTGAGGCTGCACACATTTAATCCTTGTCCTAGATCCAGCTTTCCAAATTGCATTTCAGTAGTTCTGGTTTGTATGTCTACAAAGACACCACTATTCCATTCTTGAATAATGTATGCACATTATAATTTGCCATATGGTGAGATGCAAGACAGCCTGGAGAAGGAGCACTTTTGGTCCATTTGACAGGGCAAGGATAGCTGTGTTGCAAGTCTGTTGCAGCAAAATTCTTGTGGTACTGACAAAGCTTATTATGGCATAAGCTTTCATCTGAAGCATCTGGTGAAGTGGGCTCTAGTCCATGAAAGCTTATGGCACAATACAATTTGTTAGCCTTCAAGGTGCAACAAGACTTTATGTTCTTGTTCTCAATGCATCCTCTTTTGCTGTTTCTTGCAGCATGTGTAACCATATGGTACTATTTCTTAATTCTTCACGTGGGTGCCATAAATGGACATAGTGATTTGGCCTAAATAACAATACTTATTTCTTCTTCTTAGCTTTTGCAGAGAGGCCCAGCTGAATTGTGTACTGAATTGCATTTGCTAAACTCCATTTTATCTCTGCCTGAAATCCTATGACCCATGGACGTTTTCTAGGGAAAGAATCCTCTTCTGAACTATAGATATGACAAATATGATATGTTGTTGAGATATTAACCTTTTGCTGTATTTTATTGTTTGAATTTTGGGATTGCCTTTGCTAGTTCTTGTGAGAGCCTTTTGGGACAAAAGGTGGCACAGAAATAAACTAACATAACAAGGAGGAAAGCTATGTATCTCCCCGCCCCCTCGCCAAATTAACTATAAACAGTCACTGTTCTACACTCCCCCCCCCTTCTCTTCTGCTCTGGATTTCATGGATTTCATCTTTGAGAAGTGCAGTTGAATTATATACAGTCCTGATAGCTGTTAAAAAGAAAATAATTGAAGAGCAGTCCACTCATTATTTACCTTTCTCACTCAATGCATTCCTTCCAAAGCATTTTTCTCCTTTATGCCAGAGCCTTGTTTAAACTGTGTGTAAATAAAAAGTGAAGCACCAGATTGCAATCCAGCAGCATACTGGGAGCAGGGATGTTGAAAGCAGCTGCTTCCTAGAAGCCACAGTTTCTTGCTCGCTCTGAGATTTGTGGCTGTCTCGGAAAAGACCAGAAGCCCTGAATGCATGGCCCTTGTTAAGTCTGCTGCTAACTGGGTTGCCATCTTGCTTACGTGAATTTAAACATCCCTGTGATTTCTTATTCCCCACCCCAATTTTTCTGTAGCACAATGGTGGTTAATAAACACTATTTCGTAGTACAATCCTATCAGGGCTGGCAAAGTGAGGCCTTGGGCAGCGGATGTTGGGGCCATTCTCCTGGCACAGCCCATCCTACCACAAATTAGCCCCCAACCCAAGTGTTGTGGAGGTTGCTATCCCTTTACTAGGGTGATTCAGCTGTCAGTCCGGTTGTCTTCCATATGTAGAAGGGGGAAAGAGTTTCATCTTGCCCTTGACCTCAAGCAGCAAAATGCCTTAGGCCTGAACTCCATGCATTCTTACTCTGAAGTAATTCTCGCTATGTTCAGAGGTAAAGGTCCATAGGATTTGCAGCCTTAACGTCTCATTTACTTTGTGGTCTTTAACTTTGACCTTGCAGAATTTTCATGAAGTAGCTATTGCCCACCAAGGAGGAACTGACCCATTGACCTGGCTTTCACAACACTGTGGGCTCCTGGAAAGGAATGTGCAGCTTCTTTTACTCCTCTTTTTTTTAAAACAACAACAACAACTGTGCTGTGTTAAACAAAGGTTTCGCTTACTGTGTTGCCTATGAGCCCCGAGCTTGCGATTAAGCTCTCTTCTTGCTAATCATGACCTTAAGCAGGAGTTCCAGTTCAGATGACATGCTAAGCAAAATCATGACTTAGTTCAGCACAGTTCATCAGAAAGAAAAACAGACTGGGGAGAAGCAAAAGTGGCCATGAGCAAACTTCAGGAGCTCCTACAGTCAACGCTGGTTTCCTCAGCCAAAATTCAGCATGTGTTATGGGAGCCAGCTCTTCAAAAAGGAGGCACGTTAACTCAAAACCCCCTGAAAGCCTTATGGCCATGGCAGCTTCTTCCCAGTATACTTTGAGAAATGTACCCTTGTTAGGGTGCTTGGAGTGGTCTGTTAGTATTAGGAAGATGGCAGGCAGGAAGCTAATAAATTCCCTGCAGGAATTTGTTGCATTTACACAACATTGTCATTGTTAATCACAGTACGCGAAGCACTTTGTATAAATGGTAAATATTAACCCATTTAACTGGTTGGAGACTAAGGGTGAGAGACAGTGACATGGAGAATCCATAACCGCAGTAGAATTTAAACCCATCTCTTTCAGTTATTCTACATGGTGTTCAATGGCCATTTTGAATATCAGACAAAACTGTCACCCATGCTGAGCTGCAGTTGCTTTGTTTTAAAGCCTTTCATTTTCCTTTTTTTTTTTTTTTTGGTAATTATTTAGCAATTAGTCTTCTGGTGTAACACGGTGACCCTTTGTGCCTATAGGGGATGGGATGGATTTCCTGCCTTCCACAGACAACGATTCCACCCCTCACCTTGTTCCTGCTTATGTAGAAAACAACCAGCATGTGAATAGTGTTCAAGTTAGCACACCCTTTCCATGACCCCAATACATCTGGGTGATGGGACAGAGTGAAACATGTTGTTACCCAATATTTTTTATGAGTGCAGTGTGGGGGCAGGGGAGAAAAGATAATTGCATCTAATTTAAAACCAGATATTCCGTAGATGCTCCTGCAAGCTTAGTGACATAAAACGTTACTGCTAGTTATTACACTATACTGTTGTTTTGGTATTTGCACATGCAAAAGCAGAAGTCTATCTGCTCATCTACCTTATAATGTTGTAGTGTTACTATGGCCTTCTGAAAAATATATTTAATATTCTGGGAAATGGAGGCTAGATGGAATTATATTTCTGTATAATTTTAGTTAGCTTTTATAATAGAAATGAATTGTAGAACTCGGGTATGATGCTAGCTGGTAAGAGAGAACTGGGGAGGAATCGTATAGTTTTAGTCATTCTGCAAGAAAGGAAAAATTGATAAGATAGGTTTATGTAAGGCAACAGGATTGTAGCATCAGCAATTTGAGCTGAGGTCTGTCTTTTATTATGTGTTGTGCAATACGTTGACACATAATTTTTAGATGCTAATACAACTATCATATTTAGCACTTAATATAATATCTTTGGACATACTTCTGTTGTGGAATACTGAAAACTGATACTAGAGCCAGTTTTTAGAAGATTGACAGTTTTTGGAATACTATTTTTTCCTTGATCTTTTGAGTTCAGACCATGGCAGGCTCTTGGGAAAGGCACAACATAACAGTGGCTAATGAACTGGGCATCTGTTGTTTTGGAACACTTCTCATATGGAAAACTAGCAACCCACTCCTGTGCGTGCTTACTCAGAAGTCCCACCACGTTCAGTGGGGCTCACTCCCAAATAAGCCTTCATAGGCTTGCAGGCTAAATGTCAAAGGGATAGTATAGTGTCCAAGCCAAAACCCCACCTTGGAATAAAATCAAATTGAAATTGGGGGTGGTCAGGAAAATTGTGTGTTTCAAATTTATTCACTGTGGGTCACACCAGCCTCCATTAGTAGATTCTAGTGGTCCACAGTGCTGCAACATGTTTGCAGAGCATATTAATGAGTATAGTCTAGAAACTGACAGGCAGATTTAAATGTAGTGAGATTAATTGCCTGGCTTGGTGACAGCACATTTTTCTTTGGCTATGGCTTGAAGGTGTGACCCAATGCTACCTCCTTTATTTTCATACTTCTGATTCCTTGCACATGGACGATATTTCAAAAAGCTTTACTGTTGCAGTAAATGTAAGGGGAAAGGAACTTGGGTGTCAAATGACTATGATCAATTGCAGCAATCTGAACAGCTTCCAAGGCTTCCATCTATCTATCAGGCAGTAGCTTTTATACTATTTTGGGGGGATGAGGGAATTGTAGCAGACTAAACGTGACTTAGACACTATGCCTTCTCTGTCCATCTTTTAACTCTCACCTACCAGATTCTAAAAACATGGTATTAAAGATGGAGGCCTCTTGACCCAAACTGAAGGCCACTTGATGCTCTCTTTTTTCAAAAACAAAGCAAAACACCTGACCTTACAAAGATTCATTAAAAAAAACCACAGAACCTAAACATAACCAATGTTATGTGATGCTTACAAATTGTTTGGATGTTACACAAAATGGCAGTTGAGGGTGCACAGCCCCTTCTTCCATCCATCCTATGTTGTTCCCAAAGCCATCTTAAGATTCTCTGGCGAGCTACTGCAAGCCATAGGAGGCTGAGATGGAAATTGGCCTGACTCATTGCAAAAGACCTTCTCATAGCTGTACAGGAAATACTTGTCAGCGGTTCTGGTTTAAATGCTGTTTAACTTGCAGATGAGAGAAGCAAAACCTTCAGTTAAATTAAAGAGCTACCTCCCAAGAGAACTTGAATCGTAGTACATATTGCTGAGGAAAAATAAAGCACAGGCTAGAAAGCTGTATTCTATAAACTCTCCTGTTAGCTGTATCGCTGATAGTTATAATGTACCATTACAATATTATTTTGTGACTGACTAGCTTTGACGGCCAGTGAAAGTACATAATCTAAAACCAAGTATCAGCCGATAGTCACATAAAAGTGGAATGTCATAATCACTATTGCTAGCTACACTTTACTTGTTAGTTTGGGGTAGCTTGTGAGGTGGAAGTGAGAGAGCTGGGAAGAGAAGTGGGGGGAAACAATAGGAACCAACAAATGCTGAAGGACAAGCAGTTTTTTATTCAAATTATTTATAGAAACATATTACTTGCTTAAGTGAGTGGCAGATGGACCAGCCTCTGTGCTTTGTGTTTCTAATATTCTGTTCATCAGAAGTTAGAGCTGTTCTCTACTGCAGTGTCAATTTTGTTTGATAGACTCCAAAAGCTTTGTAGAGCAGGGGGTGACAACTTTTTTGAATTCATGCACACATCTGATAATTTGTGGGGGAAAGCAGCACAAAACCTCTTGTAGGCACCACCACAAAATGGCTGCTGTGGGATCATGGTTAATAATGAAGGACAAGTAACTTGCCTATGTAACTGAGTACAAGGCAGAGCTGGTGACCGAGCCCCTGAATTCGTTAGTTTGATAAGTCTGGTGCAGAAAGGAACCCCCTGGTGCTCATGAACACTGTGTTGTCTTAGAGCTGCATCTCACCCCCACATTCTTTTTCTCTGATATGGGCAATGGGCGGGGAGGAATTGTTACCGTCCCTTATCAAGAATTATGTCACAGACTGATGGAACTTGTAGTCTAAAACATCTAGAGGGCCCCAGGTTGGGAGAGGCTGGTTTAAGGTTTAAATTAATTATAATTCATGGTTAAAAACAGAAATTATTCTATTTAAATTTAAAACAGAAATTATGAAATCTCATTGCAGCTGCACCAGAGGAGCAGAAGGAAAGGAGAAATATACAAGGTTAAGTCTTGCTTTTGTTTTTTCATGTAGCAGTAAACTGTGGTATAGCATTATGCCTGAAACAGCCCTATGTAAGCCCTTGAGAATGGACACTGCCAAGACTGTATCTTAGACATCTGAAAATACTCATTTTATTATAAATAATCTGCATTACTCAAGGTGGGTGGGGAGCAGAAATGATTATCATGGAATATTTTATCTCTACCATTGCCTCTAATTTAGTGAGGATTTTTATCGCTCATTGTTAAAAGAAGGCTTCCCTCATTATGAATTTTTGTTAGCAAACATGAGGGGCTTTTGAGACTAGCTCAATGAATCGGCTTTTCATTCTTTTTTGTGGTTTGTCTTGTGACACTATCATGGCTAAAGGATGCTCAGTTAACCAGGATGACATGGCCTTGCGGTTATTTTCCCTTTCAAGGTAACAGTTCTATTGTGTGCAGCTTTTTAATGATGTGGCTGAACTCTGGCTTTGTTAGAAGCGCTCGCATTTCAGAGAATGTAGTCATTTTATTTTTAGAGAAACTGCCCTGCTCAAAGATCCATTGCACTAAGGATATGTCATGGGATAGATGATTAAGTTGCTTTTCGGGGTGGGGGTGGGGATCAAGTCACAAGCTAAAGTCATGAAATTTTCTCTGGAAACAACACAGTTTACTGTTTCAGCTATTCTAAAGTAGCTGTGAGATGAATCTACGAGAAGGAAATGGGCTCCTTTGTCTTTCCATGCCAGATTGATAATGATTTAGTAACAATATTAGTCCTAATTACATGTTTTTCAAGTGACAATAACGAGTTGTTGTAGGATGGGAATAGCAGAAAGATTGTGTGTAATAGGAATTTTGGTGCAGTTTCTGTGAACTTTATGCTGTTTGTAAAGTTTCATTTCCTTACCCCCCCTCACTTCGTTCCTTGGCCTAGATTCTATGGAATTCACTTTCTCTGGGAATGTAGCTCATACTCATTTGGTAATGAAACTCTGCTTTTTCTTCTAGGGATTCTTCTTTCCAGACAGCTGGCTATGAGAAAAATAGAGTGGCTTGTCTGATTAAAGACACCCCTTGCCCCCTCAAAACAACTAAACCATACATTTCACATATTGCAATACTGTATAGATCAGGGTTCAAAATGCAAAAACAAAACTGTTCCCCGTTTGCTATATTGGACAGTTGAAGTTTCTCTCTTTTAGAAGCAGCAGCAGCACACACAGAGGAAATGCTTGCATTTGAATCTGTGGCTGTTCTAACACTGCCTAGTCTATTTCCTATTCAGAAATCCTTTTGAAGTGTTTTAGAGCTTTCTGGATAGGGAGGAGGTCGGTCAAAAATTCAGCCGCCACCCAGCTCTCACAATGGATTCACATCATTTGAACAATAGGATCTCAAAATAAAATGGTTACTTATAGGATGCATTCATTGAAAGGTCTCTCTCTCTGTCTCTCTGTCTCTCTCTTTCTCTCTCCCCCCCCCCCCGTTTCAGTAACATCCATACAGTTGAGTGTACATAAAATAATGATAGGTTCTATTCCTTGTTTCGCAGATAAGAATTAAGTAAGTTAAACCACAGAGCCTAGGGCTTGCCGATCAAAAGGTTGGTGGTTTGAATCCCCATGACGGGGTGAGCTCCCGTTGCTCGGTCTCTGCTCCTGCCAACCTAGCAGTTTGAAAGCATGTCAAAGTGCAAGTAGATAAATAGGTACCGCTCTGGCGGGAAGGTAAACAGCATTTCCGTGCGCTGCTCTGGTTCGCCAGAAGTGGCTTAGTCATGCTGGCCCCATGACCCGGAAGCTGTACGCCGGCTCCCTCGGCCAATAAAGCGAGATGAGTGCCGCAACCCCAGAGTCGGCCACGACTGGACCTAATGGTCAGGGGTCCCTTTACCTTTTATTCCACCTCAGAAAAAGTTTCAGCTAAGTTTGTGTGTTCATTCTCTCTGAATATTTAGAGCATACAAGCTCCACACTTGGAAGTCTGTCTTCATAGCTATGGGCTAAAAACTGGCCTTTTCAAAGTGTGAAAGTTGAAGCTTTTGTAATGCATCCAGTATCCAGATCTCTTCCTTTTCTTTGCGTCTTCGCAACTGGGACATGTACACCTACTGATGTATTGTGACTAGACAGGGCTGAAGTGCAGCATCTAAAACATCTCCCTGAACACAATAGGAGAGGGAATAAACATTTTTCTTGCAATAATCTATCATTCCCTTTAGGCCCGTCTTAAATGCCTTGAACACCATCTTTTCAACAACCCACTTCGTTCCCCTTTATCGTTAGTCTTCCATTGTTTTGATGTCTGTTAGATTCCAGTAACCCAGAGTTGGGACAAATTCTGATTCATCATCAGGTATCTTGGGTTTCATCCTATAGAAGGGCTGTGTTTTCAGAGGCAAGGGATGTGCTGCTCCAAGCTGTGAGCTACTAACTTATTTTGCACTGAATAATCATAGCATAGCATTTCCTGTGTCTGGAATTCTGCTACATTGCCCTTTTCCACAGTTGCATCTTTGTTGTGGGACAAGAATGAACAATTAGGAGCAGTTTGGTAACACATTTTAAGTAGTGCTTATCTACACATATACTGTTTGCCCTAACACTGTCTCCAATGTTAAGAGGGTTTTTATTTGTTTTTGTTTCACCTTTCTGCGTTTCTGATACTAAATCATTAAGGGCTTATCTTCACAGGTTTGCATTTCTGAGTTTAAACTAGAGCAGTTGCTTGCTACCAAAGTGGGAGCCTTCAGTTCTCAATTCTTCTTGTTTAGATTGGCCAAACACTCTCACCTGCACTTCAAAGGTTCATGCATGTGCATCGTGCATGGGACAAAATACTAATGTGGTGATGTTTGTGTCACAGGGAAGAGGGGACCATTGCAGGAGATACTGTTGACAAAACTGTTTTTCAGAATGGCTCTGTAATGATAACCTTACTCATTAAAACTTCTCTCTCTCATATATTCTGACTTTATTAAAACCTTCACAGCATATTCACAAAGGGACTATGGGTTTCCTCTTGAAACACAATTTTTAAATGCCCAGGAGAGGACAAAGCTGAATGAAAAAGCATTAAGCAATAATTGATTTGTGAGAGCAAGCTCTGAGACTTGTTGCTATGGCTCTCTGGCGTACTTGTCTCATGTTCTTTAGAGATTTTAGTACAATTGCTCCTGCTTTCCATCTGTGCAAATGAAACCAGGTGGCCTGCCTCAGGGCTTTAAGTGGCCATTAGCTGATTAGGATTTAGGTTATGGCTCTGTTGGCTTAGGGAAAGTATTACTGTGGCCTTGGACAAAGCTATAACTTTAAAAAAAAATGGTTTGATTTTTAATTGTGTTTTAAGATTGTTTAATCTGGTGCCTCTATTCTTGTGGACTCATTGTGGTGAAAGAAAAAATATTTTCTACATTCAATATAGTTGGGTTCTCCCCCATCCCCATTTCTTTGGAGGTACTAAGTCCTCCTACATCTTGAAAGAGGTTGGATGTAGTGTCCCTGTTTAAAATGACTTTTGGGGAGAGTCTGTGGATGGTTTTCTTCTTGGCTTAAGTCTCACATAATGTCATATTTGAATTTAGGAAGTTTTCTCCTAGATTAAAAGTCTGTTTGTCTCAGATAGTGGTACTGAAAACCACCACCACCACATTTTCCTGTAGTGTGTGGTTCTTTTATTGTTTGGTACTATCTGTTCTGTGGGCATTTTGAGCGGTTCTCCTCTCTGCTGCCCTCTGCTTGTGAGATGTTATAGTCTGCATTATGTAGGTCAATTCAAGATGAGTCGTTAGGTAGCAGGACTGCCTTGATGTAAGTCACTGGGCTAGGTTATCTTCTGGCCTTTTCAGCCATATGAGTCATTGAAGCCAAATAGTCTTTCGTTCTTCCAGTGCACGTTTTAGGAGAAGTGTGTCCTGTATAAACATGTCTTTTAATTTCAGCATTTTCTCCAGTTTGGATCATTGCCATTACCCTCCAGAGACACCAAATAATTTAAGCCGCCGGAGTGTTCAAGAGATGAACATTGTGTGGTTGTAATGCTGATATGTGTGGCTGAGAAGAAAGACACAGAATATATAATGCTTTGTACAAGATGATGCAAACTGTAGTGTGTGTGTGTGTCTTGGGGAATCTTTGTTGGTTTAAGTATTGTTCACAATAAGAGTTTTGTTCTAAAATGGAATTTTAAAGGCTTCAGTGAGGTTAGTACAATGTACATTAAAGAAAAGGGTTTGTGTGTCCTTCCATTTACAAAGCCAAACAATACCAGAAATAACTGGTGTTGGGGTTTTTTATTTAAAAAAAACGCATGTTGAAAAGAATACCAAACCCATGATTTAAGGATGTATTACAGATTTTTTTTTAAAAAATCAACTGAAATCCCCATGAGATTGGCAGCTAAGAGCTTTTCTAAAACTAGCAGTGAGGGATACACTGTGGGCCCCAATTCCATTCCAGTCAGGTTTCTCCAAATCCTCATGTGTCTGGATTAAATCACTAAATTAAATTAAAAGATATATAAATAAGTGTGATTTAAACTGTGTGAGGGGCTGCAGTATGAGTGGGGAATGACTTGGATTGTTTGCAAACTAGTCTTCTGAAAAAAGCTAAAAATATAATCACTGCAACAGATGTGTTGCTGGTTACCAATACAGCTACCACTGCCACCACTTTCTCCAACCTCAGGATGGTGATACAGTGGTGCCCCGCAAGACGAATGCCTCGCAAGACGGAAAAACCGCTAGACGAAAGGGTTTTCCGTTTTGAAGTTGCTTCGCAGGACGAATTCCCCTATGGGCTTGCTTCGCAAGACGAAAATACCTTGCGAGTCTTGAGATTTTTTTTCGCTTTCCCCCCCCTTTATCTAATCTGCTAAGCCTTTAATAGCCTTTAATAGCCTTTTAGCAGCTAATCCCCTAAGCCTTTAAGCCTTTAATAGCCGCTAAACCGCTAATAGCGCTAATAGCGCTAATCCGTCAATGGGCTTGCTTCGCAAGACGAAAAAACCGCTAGACGAAGACTCTCGCGGAACGGATTAATTTCGTCTTGCGAGGCACCACTGTATTATGTGAGCTGAGACATCTCGTATTCCATTTTGAATAGTCCATATTCTCCTTTCATTTCCTATGAGCTGCTTCTTCAATCTCACATTCTCTATTTCTATCAGCTGCACCAAAGATTGACCAATCAATGTAAAATAGTTGAGGTAATTACAGCCAATAACATGCTAACTTATCATATGTCAATTTATGACAATATTTTACCACTGTCATTTTGGGGTGTACATGTACGCCATTGGTCCACCACTCACAGATTGACAAGGCTGGTTACTGAAATGCTAGAGATATTTCCCCATACACTGTCCAAAACACTTTCGTGATCAGAAGTATCTGGAAATAGGATACGATTACTTAGGTACCAATTGAAGCTATCCTTTGCTGTGGACTTCAGAATGGTAGAGAATGAGGCACCCACTGGAATGCGAATGTGTTGTCAGACAAGGTTGATGTCTGGTGCATGGAAAATGCTTTTTGCCACTCTTTCCTCTGCATCTCTTGTGGAAGATGCTGGTTTTACGCTTGCAAAATATCTTGTCAAAAATGATGCTTGCTATGGGGCAACTATATTTACAGTGCTCTTTCATTGTCCCAATCCCGCTAAAGAAAAAGTGCTGTATGTTTTAAAAGGGTAACTGACAGGTGTCCGTTCTAGTAAAGGATAACATGACCCATTCATTTCCTTCAGGATAATTCCCTATTGTATAATCGCAACATGCTTTCCTGTTTGTTTTGTTTTTTCAATAACCCCTGGCCTAAACTTCCTGTTCATCAGCTTGGAATGATGGTAGCGTTTTGGCTATACAACTGCTTTTCCATCTTTTGACATTACTCATCAACCTCTTAAAATTCTCCGGATTTATCCAATGCATAATAAAATTCCTATCATCCATCTATCTATCTATCTATCTATCTATCTATCTATCTATCTTTCTAATTTCTTGGCTTGATATTCTTCTCTGCTTGTACATTCAAGGAATGGGATAGGGATTATATAAAATGTAGATGCGTGTGTGTGTGTGTGTGTGTGTGTGTACACACACACACACACACACACACACACACACACACACACACACTCTTTGTATACCTTAAGATCATAAACTATGTGAAGGTGTGCTGAAGAATGTGTTTGAAGATAGTGAAACAGTTTGTTGCTGTACAACAGGATGTACAGTAAGCAGGCAGCTTATGCAGGGGTTATGTTCCGGCGGATTGTGCCTAAAGCCAAATTATGCATAGTCAAAATCTATTGAGCTCAATGGTAAGTGGGATTCCCAAATCATTTCCCCCAGAACCTCACACCCTTTCTATTTTTATTTATTTATTTTGCCCGCACATGAAGCTGAATGTGCAAAAGTTAAATGCACATACGTTGTGGGCTTGCTGTATTTATTGAAATATTCCTCTCTCCACCACTCCTTATGGCAGCCATTCCTGGACAAGGCAGTTGAGTTATGGTCTGACTGTGGCTGTTGCCAACTATATAATTAGTCAACTAAGAAGAATGAAACAATGACTATTTTGGAGGAAGGGACACCCATTAAAAACTCAATAAGCAGATACTAAGAATGGTTTTCTTGGCAGTTAGTGCCAATATATCTAGATCAGATTGTGCAGAAACTGCGCTATTGTACTGACTATAAGTAGATGGAGAGTTTTCCCATTCACAAGGCAAGTTGTACAGTGTATTGGATAGGCCAATAGTGATAAGTGGGAGCAGTTTGCCGCTTAATCACAAAAGTGTATGTGTCACAGGCCTTAATGCATTTGTGCCTGGCGGTCTTTGATTCTGTTCTCTGGCCTTATCGTGCTCTTATTGAAGGTGGCGATAAAGCTTCCGCTATTGGTGTAAACAACGCTGCCCTGAATGCCTGAGAACGTTTACCCCGTTGGGGCTATCTATAACTCGCTATTCATTATGTGTACCGCTATTATGTGCCTCTCCATGCTTTCCCGTATATCTCCATTCTTAAGATAAGTGTAATGAAAAGAAATATCTTAAGAGTTCAGTTTCTGTTTCTAGTTCTCATATAAAGATAAACTTGTTTGCATGTGCTCTTCCATGTAACTCCTGAAACACCTTATGTTTCCCACCTCTTCATGGCTGCCACGTACTTAGGTGTTACTGTAACAGAAGTGATGCTCCCAGGACGCTCTGGCCAGAAACACTTATTTTCACCTTCAGCAAGTTGCTAGTCTCTCAGTTCTTCCAGCTGAATCTCTTGCACCAGAGAGTGGTTCATTGCCCATGTGGTTCACTTGGGAAGTGCAAGTACTTCCCTCCCAGTTGTTTATTTAGATTTGCTAGTCATCTTGGTTCTCTCCTTTTGGAAAATTTTTCTTAAAACATATCTGTCATCCTTTGGCAGGATGTTTACATTACAAACAGGCTTGTATAACCTCCTGAGAGGCACTGCTGCTGCTAAGGATTTGGCCTGCTAAAGATATCATTCAAGAGGTATTGTTGCCAGCTTTGTTCCTTTATCATTATTATTCTACTGGCACGTTTTCTAAACCCTTTGCAAGCTTGTACTGCAGACATTGGGAGGTGAGAATGCTTAGCTCCATACCATAAAAACCTCCATCTGCTGATTTCTGCAGATAAAAAGCAGGGAAGCAGGGCAGTCCTAAGGGGGAGGTAAAAAAAAAAAAATCTCACCAAAACTGACAGGATGCCTGTCTTGCTGCCCTGTCCTGTGCATGTTTACTTGTACATAAACACCACTTAACACAGTGGGATGTGTTTGCAGGCTGGAATGGGTTGGATTGCATTCTTGAGCTCCTTCCATAGAAAGGTCTGTAGAGACGGAGAGACCCTGTGAAATGCTTTCAGAATCTGCAACTATTAGGCTGCATTCATACCACACATTTAAAGCACTATGATACACTTCAAACAGCCTTGGCCTCCGAAGAATTCTGGGAGCTGTAGTTTGTTAGGAGACCCCTCTTCCTCACAGAGAGCTACAATACCTAGAGTTCTTGTGAAGAGGGATTGATTGTTTAACCACTCTGGAAAATGGCAGCTCTGTGAATTCCCAGGATTATTTGGAGGAAGCCATGACTGTTTAAAGCGGTATCATAATGCTTTAAATGTATGGTGTGGATGTGGCTTAGGAGTGCAACACCTGACTGGGCTTTTTCTGAATGCACTTTTATACAATCAAAAGAGCCTGTCTGGCTGTTGGGAGGGAAATAATGGGAGAGAATTGGCAGGAATGAATTGTGAAGTAGAGTGCTTCTGGGCTGTTTAGTGTGTGGCTGCTGAGGTCAGCTAATACTTTTTGGTATGCATTTTAATTACTGTTAAGTAAAAGAAGTAAGTCACAAATGTTAGGAATGTGTTGTTTGTTTTTAAGGAGAGGTGTTGCCATTATTTGAAACAATTGTCACTTGCACAATATCAATTCAAAAATATTGAAGCTCCTGCTGTGAAGGTATTTTAAAATATATTTAAACAAATCCCTATTCCTCCCAAGTATAAAGTGCCAAGCAGGAACTTAGTGCAGTTTTGTTTTCCAGCTATGTTAATATTTTGGCATGTGGCTACTTGCAATTACAATAAAACTGTTTTGACATTTGTGTTTGAGGTTTATTAGGGTGGAAGCTTTAATCTTGTCTCACTGAGCTATTTTGTGTGTGTGTCGTTCATTAAAAATAAGGGAAATGATTACTGAATATTTGCCATGACACTGTTCCTGCCATAAGGGGAAGTCATAGGACAGACTTACAAAAACAGTTTCATTAGGAGCCAATTTCCCCCACCTCCCCCCTAGGGCTGCTTCATTTAGCTTTGGGGGTTTCTGACGGCCCTATTTTATCTTGTAGTTCAGTGTAATAAAGATTGGATAAGGGAAAATGCATGCTGCTTATGCTAAAACACAATTATGATGCCCCAAATGGATTTTCAGAATTTAAGCCATCAGCAGCCAACATTTGAAGCAACATACAATTGAAAACTAGTTCTTAGAGCTACAAAGCATGTTGTGGATACTAAGCAGGCCAAAGATAGCACTTAGAGCTCAGAACCAGGGGCCTTTTAGGGATGGTTAAATGCTTGGTTGCCTGGGGTGGTCCAACAGTTGATTGCAGATTAGTTACTAACTTGGTGACTCACTTTCTCTTCTTAAATGATGGGCAGGTCATCTTGGAGGTGTTCAGTGCCACTAAGATAAATCTGCCACCTCCTTTTGTTGATATGCTGCCATTGTTTCAAACATACAATCTACCTGTCTGCTTCTGAGTTCATGGGTAGAGGGGGGCACTGTTGCTTCAAGTCACTTCCAACAGGACATGTACTGGGGACCAAGTAGAGGCAGAAGGGTGGCAGCAAGTAATATTATCACATATTGGCAGCTTCTCTTTATGTCAGTCTTCCTCTCTGCTCTCACGTAGCACACATAGGCTGTCTGGGGTACAGGGCTCCAGACTGGCTGCTTTCTCTCTTCTGGGATGCCTACTTAACAATTGCCCCAAGTTTTAGATCAGGGGTCAGCAAACTTTTTCAGGAGACCTTGTGGGGGGGCCGAACTGTATTTTGAAAAAAATAATAATGAATGAATTCCTACGCCCCACAAATAACCCAGAGATGCATTTTAAATAAAAGGACACATTCTACTCAGGTAAAAACGGGCTGATTCCCAGACCGTCCATGGGCTGGTTTAGAAGGCTATTGGGCCGGCTCTGGCTCCCGGACCTTAGTTTGCCTACCCATGTTTTAAATTATAGAAGCAGTTGTTGAGCAAATCTGTTTATGTCAGCAATGAAATTGTCTAGTCAGTTCCTCTTTTGGCCCCAAATGTAGCAGTGTGACTACTGCAGTTTGGATCTCCCCACCTCAACCTAGTGTGCTAAGGTTTTTTTGTGTGTGTGTTTCTATTGAGGTGTCAGTTGTGTCTAGCAATGTATTCATTTAAAAACTAGTTCCAGCTGAACACTGGCTGAGAGACAGAATTTTTCTCCACTGGAAAAATGTCATTCTTACTAGGATTACAAGAACAGGGAGCAGAGGAACTTTGTCCAAATAAGGAGTGTGTTTGTATCTGATTAGTCTGTTAAAATCTAGCCTAGAATCTGCACATATCAGTAGCTGGGGGGAGGGGCGAGCAGTTTTCTTAGCATTGCAACCTAAATTAGCAAATTCCTAACAATGTCTCTTCTTCCTGTTTTTTTTATTATTATTTGCAGACACCAGTCAACAGGCTCGCTCTGTATCCCACAGGCCTTATTACACACTGCCTAACAGTAGCCATGAGAGGCGGTCTGTCCTCACCATTACTGAACCTCCGCGATTCCATTTCCAGGCCAAAGGAAAAAACATACGCCTGGATGCCCATTCCCGCAAAGCCACTCGGAGGAACAGTTTCTGCAACGGCGTCACTTTCACCAACCGGCCCATCCACCTCTACGAGAAAGTGCGTCTCAAGCTGGTGTCCGTGCACCACGGGTGGAGCGGGGCCCTGCGCTTTGGCTTCACCACTCACGATCCATCGCAGATGAGCGCAGACGACATACCAAAATACGCCTGCCCAGACCTGGTGACACGGCCAGGCTTCTGGGCCAAAGCCCTGCCAGAGAGGTTTGCACTAAGAGACAACATCTTGGCGTTCTGGGTCGACCGCCATGGGAGAGTTTTCTATAGCGTTAATGACGAAGAGCCAATTCTGTTTCACTGTGGCGTCAAAGTCTCCGGGCCTCTCTGGGCACTGATAGATGTCTATGGAATCACTCATGAAGTGCAAATACTAGGTAGGTGTATATGGTCTGTTAAAAAAATCTCCTTCTGTATAGACCCTTTCGTCATGTCTCCCTTCTCTCAGAACAAGCTGTGTGAGGTAGGTAGCGGTGCTTATGTTGTAAAGTGTAAAGCCCGGATACTAAGCTTGCATTTTCATTTTCATCCAGTCACTGTTACTGGGTAAAGGTAAAGGGACTCCTGACCATTAGGTCCAGTCGTGGCCAACTCTGGGGTTGCGGCACTCATCTCGCTTTGGCCGAGGAAGCCGGCGTACAGCTTCCGGGTCATGTGGCTAGCATGACTAAGCCGCTTCTGGCGAACCAGAGCAGCACATGGAAACGCCGTTTACATTCCCGCCACAGCGGTACCTATTTATCTACCTGCACTTTGAGGTGCTTTCGAACTGCTAGGTTGGCAGGAGCAAGGACTGAGCAACGGGAACTCATCCTGTCACAGGGATTCGAACCGCCGACCTTCTGATCAGCAAGTCCTAGGCTCTGTGGTTTAACCCACAGCACCACCTGTGTCCCTAACACTGTTACTGGGACTCGGGTTCAAATCCCTACTTAGGTATGAAGCTTACTGTCTCTCTGCCAAGCCTACCTCACAGGCTTGCTGTGAGGATAATAATGGAGAAGGAAAGAACCAGATGTGCCACCAAGAGCTCTTGGAGGAAAGGTGGAATGTAAATGTAATAAATAAATGAAATAAGCAAGCCCCTGCTTGCAAATGTGAGATCTTCAGGTGGGCATTCAGCTCCCTCGTGGTTAAATTGGATTGCACCATGGGGCAGATAAGCTGGCAACAGATATTTTTTCCCCAATTACAGTTGCCTAAATTAATACGCCAACACTTCAGAAATTTAAAACCAATGCCAGAAACTGCTCATAGTATTTATATTGGTAGCCTGTTCCTATTACATAAACTCACTTGATAAAACTGCAGGTGTATTTGTTGCATTGGTGCCCTTGGTGTGAGATAGCTTTTAACTTTTGGATCTGTGAGCCCCACAACCAAGGAGACCAAGCCAATGACATGAGGCCTCTTCCCCTTGCATTGGCTCCACAGATTGCCAGCTGTGTGTACCATGCAGTGCCATGACTCATCCTCCCTCTCCAGCTCAGGCTTTATAACCATTATCTCCTGTGACGGCCACTTAGAGCCTCTCATGTGGCATTCCTGCCCTATCGGGGTTTTTTAGAAAGCACAGCACCTTGACACAAGAGAAACGCCAGCTTCTCTGCTTATCAGAGGACTCCAGCGAGGGCAGCAATGTTGTAATTCTCTTTCCAAGAGTTTGGAAGCTTTTCCAAAGCATTGGGTTTTTCCTCTTCTTGAATCTATTCCGTCCAGGCAAGAGATTCCTCACTCTTGATTTATCACCTTGTCCTGTAGAGTTCAGGTGATAGCTTGGCTTCAGTTGGCGTACCTAGAAGTACAGCTCAATGAGCCATGATTGTGGACTTATTTTTGTCCTTATAGACAAGCCTGATAGTATGTGTTTACAAAGCACTAGGGATCTTGGATGCTGCCTGTGATGTAATCTGCTGCCTCCAGTGTTCTCAGAACATGAGCACTAATACATGCGTCTAATGACAGCTTTATCTGAATAAAGCTGTCACAACCCCCTCCCCCCTTTCTGGTATTGGTTTACTGCACATATCTGCAGCTCTACAGTTGACTTCAAAGGACAGATTTGGCATTCCTGTCATCTTAATTGTGGACATGATTGTTAAAGATAACGTAGCTTCAGCACTAATGACATAATGAATGCATTAATGGAGAATAGTTCAAATCATTCTTAAATAGGCACAGTTTAAATTGGGGCTCTTAAAATTTTGAAAACCACCACCACAACCTCTCCCCATCTCCCCAAATTCTAAAGCCCCCTTTCCATGTCCTTCCACACCCCAAACAAGGGACACTTTTCCTGCTTAAAATTAAACAATCACCTAGGAATAGTTAAGTGCCTTGCCAAAAGGCTATTGAAATTTATTCTGTGCCTTGCATAAGTTGGTATTTATGCCATACCAAGACCTAGCGTGATTCTGAAAATTGTCTTTACATTTTCACTGTGCCCTACTAAGCCTTGTCAGAAAGCTATGGTCTGTGGTGTGTTAGATCCTGCATTATGACCCGGGGTAGAGTTGAAGGAGCACAGCTCCTATGAAGTGAATTATACAATGGCTAGCTTGTCAGTGGAGGCAGCAGGTAGAAGCCAGGCCATTTCTCTCTCCCCCTGTAGTCTGTGGAACTATAGTTTACAATGTGCTATAGCACTTGTTGGCCACAGTCAATTAATTTGGACTGTGTGCCAAAAGCCCATAAAAATAAATGAGCATAACAGCACTTAACTCTTGCTGAATTTTGATCAGAGCCTTCAAAAGTGCTTGGCCGCCTCTTTCCCTTCAGAGCATCCATATGAAATAGATCACTATTATTACCATTTTATAGTTCACTATTATTACCATTTTACAGGTAGAAATGTAAGAGAAAGTGAGGGCCAAGTTGGATCACTTTTGTAGTGTCAGTAATTGGGGAGTGGCTGGAAGACGGGAACAGAGGGTACCCCAAATATAGAACTGTAGATGCTTCACAAAGCAGGATGCACTATGTACAAATTCATTATATCAACTCTTAAGATTGTAGATGTGAAGCTTTTATGACTTAAGCAATTAGAGAAAGCCACTCCTTTGAAATATTGAACTGGCTACTTGAGATCCTGAGGAGGAAGACAGGCTTTACTTTAACACCCCCTCCCAGATTCCTTCTGTCAAGAAAAGCTATGTGGCTAATCAAAATTGAAAGCTGTTTATACATTTGATTTTTCCATATATTGCATTGATAATCAACTTTAAGCACTTCAGATAAATTTTCAATACATTTCCACTTTTAAGGAGGCTAAAATGCATGCAAATGCAGCAGAGTTATGTGTAACTTAAAATCAAGTTTAACAGTGTAAACCTGTGTACGTTTTCCCAGAAGTAAATCCCACTTAATTCAGTGTGTTTTATTCCTAAGTAAGCACGCACAGTACTGCAGCCTTAAGCTGCCATCCACAAGTCATGCCATGAATTACTGTCTAGGTAGTGGCCACCAGATTATAGATCTAAGATTTTGGGGAAATAATCTTATGATGATTCTTCCTTTTAGAAATCTGAATGTCCTAAATCAAAATTTGCCGAAGTATCTTGCCCTTTGCTTTCCTCATACCCATTCTTTTTCTCGTTATCAACTCTCAATAACTATACAGGGGAATGGTTCATATGGAGTGATGTGCTTCTAGTTTTATGCTTTGGGGCTAGAAATGTTTGTGGTTTTTTTTTGTTTTTTTGTTTACATTGGGCACTATCAGATGGGATGTTGTGCTGGGAGAGAGTTTGTCGCTTGTTCACATAGTCTGTCAGTAACAAATAGTCTAGTGTGCTTTGAAACATTTTTTTAAAGGTCACTACTGCTATTTTAGCATGCAAGTACATTACACACAATTTATTATTAATGGTCTAAAGTGATTAAAAGAGACTCTTTCCAGTCTCTCTTACATGAATTAAATTGGCAAGGACGGGGTGGGGGTGCGGAGGTATGAGAGAGATGAGACGAGGAAGGAATATTTATTCTCTCAAGTAGGTAGTGTAGTTTGCAGAATCTGCTTTTCTGCAATTAAGTGAGGCAGTGAACAGAAACAGGTCTCTTTTTGTGAGCACCAAATACAAGTCTGCAAGGAATAGAGGCCCCTGCATCGGGCAACCAGCTTGTAGTACGGTGTTCCATTGGACAGCGCTCCCGTAGAATAGCAAATATTCGTGGAGCTTTGTTTGATGGAAGAATTCCTAACTGCCTTGAAAATTCTGTGTTTCCAGATATTTTTCTTTATGTTCCTTTTTCCCACTTTAATTGGAAACACAGTTGGACTAGGAAAAGTATCATATTTGATGTTTTAAGTATGATGAAGGAGTGGCCAAAAAGCAACGATCAAGCCAGGGTAAGCTGCCATTTTCAGCTTGCCTCTAATACAGCTTTTCCTTCTCGTTGCCTCACAGACAGCATGTTTGCCGAGACGATGACCTCTACCCGTCTCAGCAACGCACGACTCAGCACTTGCCTTCCACAGAGCAGCCACGACTCAGCCAACTTCAACAACAACGAACTGGAGAACAACCAGGTGGTGGCCAAAATTGCTAATCTGAACTTGAGCCGTATGCCTGCGCTGCCAACAGATAATCACACCATCCCTTGCTGTCCAAGCAGGCGGCAGCTTGCCCAAGTGGTGCCTGCCTTTCTCGATACAGATCTGCGTTTCCACCCTACTCGTGGGCCCGACATTAACTTTTCTCAGGACCGGATGTCTGCCTGCACCAACTGGCAAGAGAGCAATAGGACTTTGGTGTTTTCCGACCGGCCTTTGCACATTGGCGAAAGCCTCTTTGTGGAAGTTGGACACCTGGGGCTGCCGTACTATGGAGCCCTCACGTTTGGCATCACTTCTTGTGATCCTGGTACTTTACGAACAAATGAGCTCCCAGCGGATCCAGACTTCCTTCTGGATCGCAAGGAATACTGGGTGGTTTGCCGAGGTTTCCCAGTCCTCAACAATGGGGACATCCTCAGCTTTGTGGTCTTGCCAAATGGAGAAGTGCACCATGGAATAAACGGGATCAACCGTGGGATGCTGATGTGCGTTGATACCTCGCAGTCACTGTGGGTATTTTTCACGATCCATGGTGTAATCAATCAACTCAAAATATTAGGTAAGTGCAGCTCAAAAATATGGGTGTAGTGTAGTGTAACGCTGAGATTTCTTTACAGCTTTGAAGAGGCATTGCATTCTCCCTGGCTTCAGTGGGCTGTTGCCTCTCTCTCTGGCATTTTATAGGCCAGCTAAACCCTTGTTGCCACCAGCTGTGCCTTGCATTGGCATTGCTGAAGCATGATCTTATATTTGGGGAGATATTCAAAACCAGATGACTCTGCCGCTTGTCTGGCAACTTGCATGTACTTTTTCATAAACTGAAGCTGGTAAATGTGCATACTGTTCTACAGTGGTACCTCAAGTTACAAACACCTCAGGTTACAAACTCCACTAACCTGCTAGAGTTACCTCGAGCTGAGAACTTTGCCCCAGGATGAGAACGGAAATTGTGTGCCAGCGGCGCAGCGGCAGCAAGAGGCCCCATTAGCGAAAGCACACCTCTAGTTAAGAACAGTTTCAGGTTAAGAATGCACCTGCGGAATGAATTAGGGTCGTAACTAGATGTACCACTGTATACTGTTTCTACAAGCCTATGTGATCCATGCGATAGAGCAGAGAGGGATCTCGGTCACATCTGACTAGAACACTCAGGTAGGCCCTGGTGTATGGATCAATGTTACGCCAGTGCTGTAAGCTGCTGTAAGCAGCTTCAGTGGCCCTAGCACAGTTGCAAAGATGCAGACTGCCCTCTTGTACCACCACCAGTCCCCTTTTTGGTCACATACCAGTTTATGGGCCGTTTTGCCAATACAGAGGTCAGATCACTACTTGAGTTTTATATTCCTGGCTGAAAACTAGCATTGCTTTGGAATAGGGCTGATTGTAGTCCCATAATTCAGAACATCAGAATTGCCTTGCACAATCAGCCCAAGATTCCTCTGCTCCAGCATTCTCTTGCCAAAAAGCAGCCAAGCAGGGCATGAGGATTATGGCTACATTCCACTCTCACTTTGTTCTCAGCTTCTGGTCTGGATACATGTACCACTTCTGAGCAGGGAAGTTCCATTTAGCTATCCTGACTTAGAAGGCATCACTCTCAGTTGGCTGCACCCTTTTGGCTAGGTGGGGGTAGGCTGTATTTTAGTAACTTGACATCTTTCTTGGGGTCCTAAGTTCCTGTTTACAAGGTCCTTTGTAAGTGGAATTCACAGGACCTCTTTTCCTTTTCTTCAGACTGGTGATGCCCGCAAACCCTGCTTTGGACCAAACCACATACCCCACATGTATGGTGTCAGGTGTAGGGGCAGGTGGGTGTGGCTTGGTCAAAACAGTCTCATGGGCCCATGTTCTAGACATTCTCCACCACTGGTCTTCAACCTCCTGGTTGGATCTTGCCAGTAAGATTTTTGCCCCTATCTGAATTGGGTGGGAATAGAGTGAGCTTTAACGAGGCAGTTAAGGCAAGCTTGGAACCAGAGGAAGCTCATTGTCTTTAAACAAATCAACCTGCTAATAAGTATTACAAAATACCAAGTTCCCAATTACACAGTAAGTCTGTTGTGGAGATGAAATGGATGGTGTTGTCCCAGGGTAGACTCAGTTCAGCACTGCATGCCTGAGAGATTCCTGCCCCACCCCTGAAGCTGACGGAACCTGTTATTTTGTATTTTCAGGCACTGTGCAGTCCAGCCCTGTGACAGTCTCTCCCTCAGGATCCCCTGGAGGCTCCCAATATGACAGTGACTCAGATATGGCTTTCAGCGTGAACAGGTCTTCTTCCGCTTCTGAGTCATCCCTAGGTAAGGGACCCTTTCGCTTTGTGCCTCCTGCACTCTTGTTGTTTGAATACACACATTTCACCCTGCCCAAAAGTTACGAGCCAGACCTTACAAGTTGAGTCTTGCTTTGCCTGAACGAGGCATGTTGCAATTTGCACAGTGTGTGCCAAACTTCCTCTTTCTTCCTGTGACAGAGGAGCGTCCAGATTTCCTAAAGCTGCTGTTGGGGTTGTGTTAGACTTTAATGCAAGCAGATGGAAGCCCTGAGAGTAACAAATGAGGTGACACCTGTTGCTGTCTGTAGGAAATATCTGTTACATCTTCCTACCTGAGGGATGGCTCAGTTGGTAGAGCATGGGACTATTAAGCTCAGGGTTGTGGGTTTGAGCCCCACATAGAGCAAAATATTCCAGCACTGCAGAGGGTTGGACTAGATGATACTCATGGTCCCTTCTAACTCTACAATTCTGTGAAGCCTAGAGAAACTAAAGCTACTTTACAAATCTGTCACACCCAGAACTCCATGGCATGATAAGTAAGAAGAGGAGTTTGGACTTGATATCCCGCCTTTCACTCCCCTTAATCTCCTTTTCCCTTCTGTGAGGTGAGGCTGAGATACTTCAGATAAGTGTGACTAGCCCAAGGTCACCCAGTGGCTGCATGTGGAGGAGCGGGGAAGCGAACCCAGTTCACCAGATTATGAGTCCACCGCTCTTAACCACTACACCACACTGGCTCCCAAGAGTAGATGCCCCACTTTACCTGAACAGGAAAACCCATTGCATGGCAGCCTGTTCTAGGGGAAGGGGAGCAAGGTGCTGCCCCAGTGCCCCCACAGAGCCATTGTTTGTCTATCTCAAGGGTGGGGAATCTTTGGTGGATGCCAACTCTCATCAGTCCCAGCAGGCATGGCCAATGAGTGGGAATCATGGAAATGGTCATGAGTCCAACATCAGGAGGGCCGCAGGTTTCTCAGCCCTGGTCTATTCCCACAGTGGTTTCATGAACTGCTCCAGAAGGGGCTCCCTTGGTTGGGGTCATATGATCCCCATGTGACATTCGTAACAAGAAATGACCTTGTGTATGAAGAGCTGTCCTATGCTATGTAACGTGTGTTTTCTGCAGAACCAGGGTAGATAGAACATGAAATGCAATACAAAATCATTTGTATTAAAAACCAACAACAACCCAAAATTCACACAAATGTCACTCCACATGGCGCTACTGAAATCCTGCAAGGAATAAAGTTCCTATTGATGAGTGAAATATGGACTTCACAACCACTGAACCACAGCTGGATGAAAGCCAATACAGCATAATCCATCATCATGAGCTACTCTGCTCCAGAAATATTAAGAGCTGGTAAAACATCCTTTGCTGGTTCAAAGCTCATGCTATAGGATTCTATTAATGGAGCTTTAGAATACAAAGTATATGATTGAAAACATTTTCTTAGTACTTTTATACTTTTATTTATTGAATTCGTTATTAAATCTCCGACCATACAAATATTAACGCCAGGTAGCTACGAACAGCCCCAAATCCCATTCATTAAATGCAGAGCTGCTGTGCCAGTTACTGTAAATAATTTTTAAAGAAGCCAGCTTGTTTCTGTGATAAGTTTTATGTGCTGCTATATAAAATTCAGCTGAATATTCTGCTATGCACTTTAGAAATGGACTTTTAAAGAAAGTACCCCACCCCTTGCAAATACCAGATTCGGAAAGTTGCCGCAGCCGGTATGACTGCCAGGCAGCGAAACAGAATGGATAAGTGGTTCCTGCAACAGCCACAGCAGGGACAAATTATGATAGACAAAGTCTATGTAGCAGCACCCCATGCAAGTCATACTGCATGGCTTTGGTCTTTTAAAACCTAAGTGACAACTGTTTGAAACTGTAGTTTTTATGAATGTGGAAACAGGATTGATAGAGGTTTTGCTTCCCACAAAGGGTATATATGCAAACATTTCTTGAGTTCTTCTGTTCCCTCTCTGTGTCAAAGTGTTGCTGGTTTTAAAACATCCCCCAGACCTTTTTGTTCACAGGACGTTTGTCTAAAGGAAGCAGCCCTTTGCGTTCCCCATTTTTCTTTGCAGCCTGACATAAGAGGCTCAGATTAAAGGGAAGTGGTTCTGACTCGAGGTTTCTCTGTTCCCCATTCCTTGCAGTGACTGCTCCAAGTTCACCTCTGAGCCCTCCAGTGTCTCCCGTGTTCCCACCTCCGGAGCCGTCAAGCAGCAAGAATGGCGAGTGCACCGTTTGCTTTGACAACGAGGTGGACGTGGTGATCTACACCTGTGGACACATGTGCCTCTGCAACACCTGTGGTCTTAAGCTGAAGAAACAACTCAATGCCTGCTGCCCAATCTGCCGACGGGTCATCAAAGACATTATTAAAATCTACCGCCCTTAAACCCCATTTCCAGCCGTCCTGAGGGTGTGTGTGGAGGGGGCGAGGGGGCAGGAGGAAGAATGTTGTTACTCATTGCCACAACTTACCGTCACCGCTTATGGGTTATTGTGCTGGTTACAGAGTGGCTCTTTTGTCTATATTTCCGTGTTTTGACCAGTAGGAACCAATCAGGGATAATTAAGTGATCTGGGAAACACTCTGGTCCTTGTAGATGCTGAAGGTACAGCTGCTGAGTGGGAAGAGCTTCATCAAGATGCTGCTCTGCTGGGTTAAGGTGGGGGTGGGGGCAGGGGCTGAGCTGTAAGTACCTTTGCCATGAGGAGTCTCTCCCCACCCAGCAAAAGAAAATAAGACAGTGAACCCCACTTTGGGGGAAAGTACTGGAGAAAACAATTGTTTGAATTAATAATAATAATTCTGGGCACATCCCCCCACCATAATCATGGGATATTTACTGAATTAGGCAGTTTAATTACTGAAACAGCACTCTGGCGATTTCAAACAGGGATGAATATATGGGGAAGATTTAACAGAGGCACTGTGGAGTGAAATGACTCCTGTCATCTTGTAAAAATTGTGGGGAATAGGCAATGGATGACATTTGCTTCCTTCAAGGCACTTTTTCTCATTTATGGTTCAACAGGGGAAGCAGGTATGAGGAATAGGGAAGAAAAAGCTATCGATGTCCTTGGAACACAGCAAGTAAACAATCCCACTTTCCTCCTTTGTAAGTCACAGATTGAAGCTTCCTGTTGCACTGAGCAACTGTGAAGCACTTCTGTAGCTGGAGAGTGTTAACGTATTGGTAGGAGTAAGCCTCTGCATGCACAAGAGAAGCAGATTCTTGCATGGCGGTTCTGAATCGTCACAGAAAGTAACCATGCTTAGAACCAAGCTACAAAGAAAGAAAGCTGATGGGGGGACTGTTAGGTTTCAAATGTCCAGAGTTCCCTCTCTTGAAATTTGTGCAAACAGCTGATGGATGTTTTCCTCTATTACTCCCCAGAGATTTTGTCAGTAAAGTATGCAGCCATGTGGAATCTCTCATTTCTTCCTCTCCAGGAAGTTGTCATCTACTCCACAATAGAGGCATCTTACTGAAATTTAAAAGCCCTTTTCTTGGCATTGTTTGTTGGAAAAAGAATTTGCAAGCTATTATTAGATGCTCCGGCTTTTAAGATAAATGCATTTTGATTGTGGTTATAGGAACCTCTGAACTCTACACTAGCCTGAATGGGATGTGAAATGTCTTGGGGCTTTAGGGGAGAGGTGCCATGCAAGCAATAAAGCAACTTTGCTTGACCTATCCGCCGACCTATCTCTTTCCTTGCTCAGTCTTTGTGTGGCAGCATCCTGCTACAGTGCACACAACTGTAGTTGCCCATAGGCAACCTGTCCCATTGCCATCTAAAAGCAGTAGAATTTATTCAGAGCAGGCTTTTTGCTGCTTCCACCTCAATAGAGGCATTCCATTCCATTGTGCAACAGATGCTCTAAAGCTGTGATCCTGATGTTTTATCTGATTTATGACGAGATCCTAGGATCTACTGTGGTAGAGCAGCTTGTAGGTCTTTCCAGGGCAGAAATGCTTACTTGGAAGCCTGCTAGGAGCCATTCTCAGCCCCAATATATGGCTGCATTCTTTTCCATAAAACAGCTATTCTGAGCCTATGGGGCCCTTCTAGCAGGAAGAAGGCAGTTTTCCTTTTGGACAGCATACTTTGATATGCTGTGCTGTCAATAAGGGAAATGTAAGCCAGTGCAAATTTTGGCCATAAATGCCAAGGCATGTGGATCCCTTAGTGTGGAAAATAATACATAGTTTAAGGTGGAAGACAGCAATGGCTTTAGAGGGACAAATTATGTTTAGGGAATACGGAGTGCTTTGTAGACAAAAATGTGTGGACTAAGCTTCTCATAGTCCTTTGAGCAACATGGTAGCTGTACCTCATTGGGTAGCTGAGCCTCTCTTCTCCTCTGTCTTTAGTTTAAATGCTTTTCTAACCTTTAGCTCCTGGCAAAGTTGCTGTACTAGCATCGTTTGTGGGCTGCACTGGAAGCCAATGAATGCCAATGACACAATCCTAGCAGTCTTAAATTGCCACTGGCTACAGTTACATATTGCATAAGGAAAGGCATCAAACAAGACAGATAAGTTTCCATTTTCTTTAAGGTGCAGATAATATCTTTGTCAACAGGAAAGCCTGTTTCTTTTCCATTTTAGAGTGGTTTGGGACAACACTGTGGTGCGTGATCACTTCCAGTAACTTTACAATAGTTTTGAGTATCCTAATTACCATACGGAAATGTGAAGGGCAGCGAGGTTAGTTTAAAAATGCCATCAGTTACTCTATAAACAACTTTTGCCTACATGGAATGCAACTGCTTTGTGATGAGATGAGTAACTGAGGCCTCCTAAAACCAAACAGGAGTCCTAGTCAGTGATTAAGAATCTCCATGAGCATTTACATTTAATTTTTGCACCGTCAGCTGTAGTCTATAACCATGGAGGAGACAATTAATAAGGTGATTCCAGGTTCTTGAATCCACTTTAAAGAGTGGATCTTTGCATTTCTTGACCTCCACAATCAGCTTTTGCTGGTGTCAGCTTCTGACCCTGTTGTGCATGTTAATGATGGACAGCTGAAAAGTTTAGCGGGCAAAGGAGATGCGATGCTTGAATTGAGAAAGGGAGCAGATTTAACTTGGGCTACTAGTTGCACAATAATATGTTAAAAAGCAGAGAGAAAGGGCAAAGCCACTCAGCTGATTGCAATTATTTAATCACCTGCTAAGTTAATTGCCATTGTTGGCACTGCTGTCAAGCTCTGTGCACGAAAGGCAGATCCTCCAAAAGTTATTTTTCACCATGCAGCTGTCTATTTGCTGTTAATACTTCATAGAGATACTTGTGTAAAGCAAAACTTCTTACCTTCTTATTATGAAGCTGAGTCAAGCCAGCAACATGGAAGGGGCTGCCCACTTACTGACATGTGTTCCAAGGGGGTCTTTCCGCTCACTCTATTTCAGGTGCTGCTAGCTGCGCATGACCACAGTGCCAGATGTTTGCTGGGGACAAGGCATGAATATATTCCTAGCATTTCAATTCCATCCTCAATTCCATCCTGCTTACTTAAGATGCCACTGAGCGACATAACTATGAATCAGAGTTAATTTGAATGAAATTATTTGTCGTAGCTGCCATCACTGCAGCTAGAGTTAAGCTCTGGAGAAGCTTACCAGAAAGAAGTCAACAAATTTACATTTTTGCAGAGATGTAATTCTAAGGAAGGGTGACCATTTTTGTAGTCAGTGGGTTTGCTGATCAGTACTGATCACTACCTTCCATTCTACTCCCAACTCCCTGTGTAACGGGATTGGATTGTTCCCACCCCCTTTTAAAGTGCTGTAATTTTGGTAAAACTCTGCCAGCTGCTGTGTCATAGCAAAGCGCCCCTGAGCATTGCCCTTAGATACCTTTGGGCTAGAACTAGTTTCCAAACAGCAAGCCTATACACCACATACACCTGGCAGTAAGTCCCAATAGTCTCAATGGAGCTTACTTCTGCATTGACAAGTTGTGCTACAAGCGATCTTGGAAAGGTGTGCCTTTTTACTTTACTAGCTTCCAACTGCAATGGTATTTTGAAAAAGAAATTTGTAGACCTATGATAGTTCAAAATAAGTGGAGGAAAAGACATACGGTGTTTAATCTTTTCTGTTGGGAACAGACTGACCAAAAGGAGCAGCATCTGACATGGGCTTCATTAGGCAGAGTTAAGTCCACAGCCTAAGTGTTGCTGTGAAGCAAGCTGGGGAAGCAGCGTTAATGGACATGCAGCTTTACTTATTCCAGTCTCACAAGGAATTCTCAAACTCTGACAGACAACTTTTAGGAAGTAGAGGCTATTTAGCAACTTGTTCTTGCTATTGCTTTTTTTGTTTTGTTTTGAGAAAAGTATCTGTTCAGAAGATCTGTTTGTGCCTTATAAGGTGTCTGTGCACTTTTTATCCTTTTTAATGCTACTTTTAAAAATGGAGAGAAAAAAAGACCCTAATCGATGGTTGGTAGTTTTTATAGAATTTTATGTGTTCACCAAGAACTTTGCTCTTTTTTTATATTGGAGTGAAAATTTTATGTTTTAATTGAAACTTTGCTGCCGTCCTCCTCCCCATCTCCTCTTTGTATAAAAGCTTTTTAAAAAGTTTTGAGATTTCTGAAACTTCTTGATATTTTTCTGGTTCATGACAGTGATCTGTATATCACATTCTCAAACAAGCCAGATTTTAATCTCTCTGTAATAGAACTTTCAATGCAGATTCTTTGGGGAGGGAAGTTTGCACTTCTCTACATGTTAATACTCTCTAGCATTGTGATCTGTAGTGTGTGTGTATGTTTTTTATTTTGTTCTGTTTTACATTAATATAAAATTTTACCTGTTTTATGAAACAAAATGTTGGCTTGTAAAATATTCCCACCGGCCTGAAGTGGAAAAAATGGTAAAAGCAGAGAGCATGTCTGTTATAGGCTTTAGAAGCAGGTCCTTGCAACCTGAAACTTCTTTGATGGCTCTTGCCCAGACCTTTCACCTTCAATAAACAGGGATTTGCTGCTTAAGTTTGCCTGCACCTGTAGTACCCTTTGTTGCCTCTGGTAAAAATCCAATTTATATGCAGGACTACCACTGGTCCTGTTGTTAAGGTGACTTGTTAAAAGTTGGGGTGAAAATGAGAACAAATCAAAAGATCAATGGATCCAGGCCAGCATTCAGATGACCATGCCTCATGACTTTAGCCTGTTCATGTGAGCTGTGGTTAAACCAGGAAGCCACAAATGAAACAGTTTACAATTTTTGTCCAAACTGGAACAATATGGTTACCTGCTTTAGAACAACCCAGCATCTGGGTTGAAGCTGATTTGAGATCCTTGATGTTTAGGAGACTTCCTAGTTTAACCACAGCTCGCACAAAGGGACTCCATACAGATTCAATGGGCTCATTCATATCAGATCACTGTGTAAATTTTGCAAAGAAGTCAATGATCAAGTTGTCAAGTGGTGTTCATAGTTCGAATTACATTCTGTGAAAGGGCCTCTCTCTGCACACTAAGGTAATTTTGACCATGAATTGACATACCAACTATAGAAACTAACCGTAAGTATAAGAGTGACAGGTTTCCTTCTGTCTTTACAAGCCTATGTTACTAGGCTAAGCCTTGCAAAGAAAAGCTTTTATTTATTTTTTTGGAAGAGAATTATCAGAATGAGGGATTGTTGTGGATCTGCATACACAACCATCTGTTTTTGAACGAAATGGGATATGAATGACACACAGTAGCCTGCTAATAAACTGACTACTGGGAAATGTACACAGGCTGTACCTGAGAAGGGTGATAAGCAAAATGTTGGCTAGTGTTCAATATCTGAAATTTGTGAAGCAACCCATACTGCTTAGTGTTGCCAATGCAGAGTAAACCACCTTTTCACTCTACTCTCACGCACAAAGGTGTTATGTGCAAAGCCAGTATGGAAAATTAGCAGGAATTAGCCCCAAAAGGGGATCCAACATATCCTCCAAACTCAATGTTTATTTACCATGTCAACAATGAGAGCTGAAAAGACTATATTCTGGTTCCACCACTGCAAAGTACACTAACAAGAGTGACTTTACCACTTGTATCACTACACTCTGCTCCTGCGCAAGAGTCCTAACTCCTCTACATATGACACAGACAGTGGGGCCACAGACACTAACAATATCAGAATGCAAGACAGCTAAATGGATAGTTCAGGGGTTTCCAAGACAGCTTGCCTTTTTTTAAAAAAAGAGAAGCTATCAATTCAGCATCTTTCAACTCTAAAAGGAGTCATGGTCCCTTGCCTACCTGTAGCTGTCGGCAAATCCTCCCAGGCTTACGTTAAGCTAGGTTGTCACATCATTTTCCATTTCACTGTAGATAATTTGACAGATTCTAATGCTTGTGACATGGAAGGATGGCGAGAGGCCCTGGAAGGTTACAAAAAGCATACAGTAGAGACAACTCCCAAACCATTTTTGCTTGACATTCAGTCACTTCAATAACTGGGCGCCGTCTCTTTGCATTAGCATATTTCTTGCAAAGAGTGAAAATACCAAGACTTAACTGTAACATCTTAGGCTAACTAATTACCTGAAGGTGCAAAAGGTTTTTAATTGATATTACTTTTCTGTCCTTCAGTTAATAAGTAATATTTATTTATTTAATAAAATTATATACCACTTGGTTGTAATAAAACCTCTAGGCAGTTTCCAAGAAATATTAAAGTTATCAATAAAAAGCATTTTAAAACAACTGAAAAGTCAGCAGACAAAAAACATGTCAACATTTAAGCAACCCTATCAGGACACGTAAACAATCAGGCCCTGAAAGCAGGATACCATCTTAGATGCTAATATCAGAGGAGATTGCTCATAAGAATGTAACACGAGTTCTGTGTACACTTGTGCTGCCTTATATCCCATTAACTGAAGCATACAATTGCTACTCACATGGTCACCTCTGCCAAAATGAATTTTCACAAATTTGCCATGCTGTCTATTACTGGGTTTATACACTTTTCAGACATTAAGCTAATCATGGAAGGCTTCCACTTTAAGAGCAGTTATGTGTGGAAACAAGTGAGACGTGCGACTTGGACTTCCTGTACATATTTCAACAACTCTTGGGAGCAAATAAAAGACCAATGATGGGCAAGCAACCAGAAAAAGTGTGTCTCTGTCACAATTAATGTAATTGAGAATACGGCTTGAAAAGCACAATACTTCCATCATTTCCATCCCACTGTGCTGTTGCTCATTTAGGTGGCCCTTCCAGGTCTTAGTTTCTCAGAGAGAGAAACAAACAAACAATGGAAGTAAATAATCTAAAACCACTTCTAATGCAACCTGCTTGGTTATTTGGACACAAGCATGGCAGTTAATGCTGTCTGGAAATGGTGAATGCATTTGAATTTCAGTTTAATTATTATAACAGGTCAAAGTCCCAAGTTGCTGCCAAGAACCTTCTCTTTATCAGGGCTCCAGGGAATTCTGGGTGTGGTGCAATCTGCTCCATGTGCCTCTCCATTGGGAAGGAAGCCAGTGTTGAGACTTGATGGGTTTTTGGGTTATTAACACTGTAAGGTTGGCTGCCACCCACAGTGCAACTTGGACTACAGTGAACAGAACACAATGGCTCCCCATCAATCAATTCAAGCCCAAGATACTTCCTTGCCATGTGCTTTGCTGTCTGTCAAGCCCAAGCACAATTTAGGAACAAGGCAAAAGTGAGAGACATTCAACCAAGTAAAATTTGCAACTGGAGTGCTAGGACAACTGAAGGTGGGGGTTGGTATGGGAAGCCATCCTGCAGTCAGTTGATAATACTAGCCCTCTGGTCTTCACCGTGACTTTCACCTCATATACTACAATAAGAAGCCTTTATCTCCTACAATATAAGATGGGTCTGGGCTGCTAAATGCCAAGTAGCACTGCCATTCCTTTGGCTCCTAACAGCACAAGGGCAGGATTGTTGAGAGTCAGGCACCCCATACGTAATTATAACCAAGCCTTAAGGCACATGCAAAACTACTCAGCTTTCTGCATTTCCATTTCTGCTACGTTGCTTCTGAGTAATTTATCAGGGACTAACTGAAGAGATCAAAGGCAGCAGCTGAAGACCAGAAATTCACTTCCACCGCTGCCTCTAGCTAATGGGGGAAACAAGATTTGGGTAATTGCATTAATAGCACCACATAGTGGTCATTTGAAGCTCAGAACTGCACTCAAGAAGGCTAGAAGCAGGTCATATCATAAGCACAAAAGGGGCTCCTTATCTTTCCCTCCTGGAACTCAAAACGGTTGCTCCTTTCTTACTGTTGGTACGTCCAGAATGTTAGGTCCTGGAGTGATGTGCAAAACAAAGTGATCCCCACTGAATGACTTAACTTCTCTTGGAAGCCGCACAAGCTTTTGATCTGTGCACAAATTTCTGAAGTAGTATATGAGAGACTTCGTTTTTTTCCAAACAAGCATGTAATTTAATAGCTCAGCAACAGGGGGACTACTCCATGGGATGGCAAATTTAACAAGCAATATAGCCTAGGAGGATGACTCTGAGGAGCTGGGTGAATAGGCTTAGTACTTACCCCTGAATTCAGCTCCCTGTTCTTGAGGTTGGCCTGGAGCAAAGATACTGGATGCCACTGTTGCAGGAACATATCGACTCCAGCTATAGGCCTTATGACAACCCTCCCTACTGCTTGCCTTCCTGCAAAATGATATTAAGTGGCACAACATTCTTTTTCTGTTCTATACTGCATTGTTTATTGGGCAAATAAACTGGAAAATCTATCTACATACATACACACACACACAGGTGTAAGTGAGAAATGCAGCAAAGTGTTGCAGTGTAGAGTGAAGATGCTCCATTCTCTTTTTCTCCCTGCCCATACCCCATAGCAGCACATCAACACTCCATGCCCAGTTAGATGCCCCGTCTTCATTGGGTGATTCTGAGTTCTACCCCCTCCCACACACAATGGATGGGATTAGCCTAATAAGTACTGTCAGCACAAGTCTTGCATGGGGGCTTCCGTTGGCACACACTGGGTCAGAAGGGACATTTGCCATAGCATGACATTGAATTCTACCCTATAGCAATCCCTCCCCGAAAGGGGTGGGGTATTTTGGCAAACCTTCATATGATCACAGCACTGGCACTATAGATTGACTTGCCATCCCCACCTAGCTGTAGAACCATCCTTGCCCTCACTGCTGTGCTCTGAGGAAGGGGCCTGGAGTGAGACCTTGAAGCTGAGATAGCCACAGAAATGGCCTCCACCAACACTGCTTTGACCATGACAATGCCTCACGCTAAGGAAGGACCCTTGCCTCAGAATAAGGAGTGGTGCGCCCATAGTGGCGTATGGAAGGCCACTGATGCTCCAATAAACTGCTGGAGAGCCACCTGCTGCTTCCCTGCAGCAGCTGCACTCCATGCCTGGGTGTGGGGGAGCAGCCCAGGATAAGCTGGGAACAGCAGCAGGAGCAAGGGACCATTGCAGCTGAGCAGCAGCTGCAGACAGGCCAGCAGCTGCCCAGCCACTATACGCATGGCAGGCAGAGGTGGATGGTGCAGTTTGCTACCCCTGTTGCTGTACATTGACCCCACATTCTCACTGAACTTCCCAGCAGTGTCACCACCCATGGATAATCCCATCCACATGTACTACGAAGTTAGGAATGTTGTTGCATACTCACCCAGTTTGGACAAACACTTTTGGAGCTCTTTGCAGTCCAGTTGAGATCCTTTGATGCCATCCACACATGTGACCGCTTCACAATTCCTCGCTGCAGGTAATTTATGAACAAAGAGGACCTTATGGGACACCACAGCTTACTACCTTTCATTGTGAAAACTTTGGGTGAAGGAATTTTTATTTTCGAACAAGCTTTATAGAACGTTTAACAAACCACTTGCATCCCCATTGCTGCTTGAGCATTCAAACTACTCCAAAAGGTAAAAAGGTCACTGCAACAGGTCTAGCCTTGGCAGAAGCAAGCCCCGCCCCCCGTGTGTGTTTAATAAATTCACGCTTGAAATAATGCATTATTCCCATTTCTCTAGCAGGTATGGCAGAGAAGGAAACAGTACAACCTTGGTAAAAACTTAGCTCCGGAAAGATTACACCAAGAGCAAGTAATACTCTTGCTTCTTTTGAGAGACAGATAGAGGCCACTTTCTAGGACTGTGAGTGGGGGGCCTTGCAGCCCCCTAAGTAAGGCATTTGTTCTGTTAAAACAGCATTTGACACGTCGGATAGACAGAAGGAAAAAAGCAAAAGTGTTGTAACAATTCTGCTTGAAACCAGTCAAGCTCATTTTTTTATTTCTTTTCCTAAAAAAACCCCAACAGTCACCACCCTTTAATGTTGGAAGTATACATGATATTTTACACAGGCTACATCTATCATCCTCAGAAACCCTTCCCCCCACCCCAAATCCCACCCACGGTAAAGTACAGGTTGATACAAGTTTACATAATACGAGACATTAAAACAGGCTTCTAATGTTTGCACAGGAAGGCAAGGCCATTTAGGCAGCCTCCCTCTGCCTCCAACATCCCAGTCAGAGGGCTGCAAAGCTGGCTTTGGTAAGCAAAAGGCTGAATATCCGTTATCCCCATAGTAAAGTTAGTTACCCTGGGATGTGATTTAGTGAGCTTGGTGGAAGGAAAACACAGTATGTGACTGTGGGCAAGTTTCACCTATGTGTCACAGGCAATAATTAGAATGACCCTGCCCCCCCAATTCAGCATAGGACAGCTTTCCGCAGCCTGTGCCATTCCAGATGTTGTTGTACTCTCAACATCCCTAACCTTGTTTGCTGGGTCTAATGGGAATTGTAGTCCAACCACTTCCGGAGAGCACTGGTTGTGGGAGGCTGGCCTAGGACAAAGTACTGAGGGAAGGGTTAGCTCACCAATGCTTCTCATGCCCAGCAAGTTAGGTCAGTATTATTGTCTGCATCCTGTGCAATAATAAAAAATGAGGCACAGAGGTGTGTGTGTCATGGGCTGCTTTCAGACACAGCACTATCAGTCCGGGGCCCCTTCTGTGAAGGTTTTGCCAAGGATAGAGAGGTGTGTGGAAGGAGAGCAACTGGGACTCGCGAGGAAGCACCTCAAGATCTAGCAAAATGTGAACAAGAAAGGCCCTTGGAACTGAGACTGGGGTGGGTGGGGGAATGAGTCAAGTTGCTTCTTTTCACAGTAATTTATTTTGGTATAAAGCAATCTATTTTGGCATCGTGTTGTAGTGTTTACTACCACACACATATAATCGAACAGAGAAGAGGGGGAAAGCACCTGGGCAGTACGTGTTGAGATGACATTACAGGGTTGCAAATTCTTTACCTATCTGATGACATCACTAGAGCAGTTATCATAGGTTCAGAGCACAAAAAGTGAATAATCAAATTTCATCTCCCATATGGTACAAAGGATACCTTGCTTACTGGCCATGCAAAGATGAATGAGACTTATCTAACATAGAGATAACAAACGTGGTATCTTCCAGACATTGTCAGACTACAACTCCCATCAACCCTGATCATTGGTTTAGCCGATTTATTAATTAATTTTGGAATATTGATAACTGCTAAATGTTACAAAATGCCATAACAGTATACAACAACAAAACAACAACAACAACAACAAAAGTAAAAATACAGTTTTGAAAAATAAAATACTGCAGTGAACATACAGGTACATAGAGGTGATGTATCAGATACCCTGGTACCAAGCTGTTTAGGGCTTTATACTCTTAACAGTAAAATCTTAAATTTGGTCCTGTAAAGCTTTTTGCCATCCAGTGCAGTTCTCTCCAGAAGGCAACCTGGCCATAAGCTGTGACTCCACATTCTGCATCCGTTGCAGCTTCCCAACCAAACACAAGCTCTACACAGAGCACACTGCAGCAATTCCATTGCAAGGGGACCACTGCATGGGCCACTGAAGCTAAGCTATCCCTGTCCGGAAACAGCCATAGCTGGCACACCAGCCAAAACTACCAAGCATTCCAAGGTACTGGAGCCTCCAGTGATAACAATGGATCAAGCATCACTCTCAGACTACATACCTGTCCCTTCAAAGGAAGTGCAACCCCACCCACAGCAGGTAACTGACCTCTATCCTGGACAGTAGGTGCACACACACACACAGGGCCCTGAGACTTACCCGGATTCAGCTTCAGTTTATCAACCCACCACTGAGTCCAGACACTGGCTCTGGGCTTGCACACCATACCCGACTCAAATGCCAAAGAGAAAGAGTTGGGTGACATCAGTTTATCAATGGCAGTTAGCTCCAAATATTCTAATGGCCTCACCCAAAGGCTTCATATAGGCATCAAACAGAACTGGGGACAAGATGGTAAGCTTTGGGACCTCTTAACATAACTGCCAGGAAGCCAACAGGCAATCTTCCAGTGCTACTCTCTGAAACAGGCTCTGAAGGTAGGAACGGACCACTGAAGAACATGCCCCCAGGTCCCATCTCTCAGAGCCAGTCCAAGAACACCATAGCAGATGGTATCAAAGGTCACAGAGATCAAGAAAGAGTAACACAGTCACACTCCCCCTATCCTTCTCTAGACAATGGTAATTTATCAGGGCAACCAAGGCTGATCTGTCTCCAAACCAAGCCAGAATCCAGACTAGAATGGATCTAGATATTCCGCATCCTCAAAGGATGCTTGAAGTTGCTTGAAGATGGTGATGGGAGTTGTAGCCCAACATCATTTAGGGTACCATGTTGGCTACCGCTGATCTAAGGGATGGACAAAAGAAACACTACAGCACTAAAAGGACAGTACCTGTATCTAAACTGGGACCAAAGCAACATGTCTTTAGGGAAAATGACATGAAGTGAACTTCAAGTGCTGATTTTCAGAAAGCAAAGTTAGGAGATGGACTCCTAAATCCTCCATTTTTAAAAAATACCCATTATATAGGAAGATTTATGACAGTATGCAGATTTAACTTAAGCCAGCCTTCCTCGAACTAGTACCCTCCAGGTGTCGAGTTGCATGTTCTCACCACCCCTAACTATTAGCCCTACTGGCTGGGGCTCATATGATGGGGGTTGTGGTTCAACATCTGGAAGGCACTAGATTGGGGAAGGTTGGCTTAAGTTAAATCTGCATACTACCTGATTAAAGCAGGTAAGTGGAGTTCAGCCCATGGGAGACCAAACTAGGCAGACTCAAACCAATAACACACACATGGGAAATCATTGATCCTCTCTTGGTCAATGCAAACATGATTTCTTTTTTTACTGTTAGATCAGCAGTGAATCTATCCAGGTTTATATTTCTGAAAATAAAACCACTGATCCATTGCAGCAATGGTAAGTTTGAAAACATCTAAGATTGAGAGCAGGAGGCATTGCTCATCTGGCTTTTTCACACCCTGGAGATGAATACACATACACATGTATTAAATGAAAGGGGGGCAAAGTATGGGAAGACATATATATTTCTAAACGCGCATTTGATATTTCTTTCTCTGATGCCTCATGGCCACTGCTCCAAAATATACATATGTCGTATTAAGCACATTGTGCTCTGAACCCAGCCCTCCTCTCATGAGAGCCATTTCCATGGCATCACAGAAAACTGGAATGGTCCATAGTTAAAGAAGCCAGGATCAGACACATGCCTTCCCACTCAGTCAGAGCAGTTCACATTGCTCCAAGAACTATTGTTTTAGCCTCGCTGCATAACATCCACATTTCCCCCTCTCCACCCTACAATTCAACACATGGGTGAGAAACATGCTTTTTGAAAAGGGTAAGGAATAGATAAAGTGGGGAGAGGTACAGCAAAACCTCCGTCCCTTGTGAAATCTAGATGCTACTTCCAGGTTGGGAAGCCTTGCAGTATAAATTATTAGCACCCACTGGAGGGCTACCATCCTGGCAGCTGTCATCTACCAGACCTGAGGAATCATGATAGGACAGCACTAGAGATCTACTTGCGTACAGGCGTGAATGCAGCTGTGCAATCTGTCCCTGAAGAGGCAGCACTTTGTTCTGCTAGCAATCCTCCTGCCAGGAGGTCTTGGGAGTTATTTGAAACCTTACAGCGGAACAGTATAGATAACCTAATATAATATCTGCTTTATTTACTAAAAGGAGACTATAATACTGGGAGGGGAGCCTATACAAAGAGGTCAGCACAACAGACATCAAAAGAGGCATTAATGTGGGACCTACAGTGGCAGAAGGATTGCTCAAATATGGGGCAAAAGATACTTATACAAGGCTAGAAAGAATCTCTTAGCAGCTACTTGGACGGGCCTTTCCACCTAGGCATATCCTAGAACATCAAATTACTTATTCAGAGGCCTATTAGCACCTGAACAACAGCAAAATGTGGCACATGGTATTTAACAAGGGAACTCAGCACAAACAGTGGCTTTTCAATTTCTCATTTCCATTCATTGGTTAGTGGGACTCACTTCCATTTCCTCACCAAGCTGAAAACAAATCATCTCGCAGGTTTTTACATTCTAACGTGTGTGTGTGTGTGTGTGTGTGTGTGTGTGTGTGTGTGTGCAGGCATTTTGTGTGCTACTGTGTGTTCCAGAACTTGAGAGACAATTTTAAAGAACACTTTTTTTTATCAGCCAGCCCTGTGAGGGGCAGGTGGACCTAAACCACATGGAGGCTGGGGAAGGGATCAATTGTGTGTGTCTCTGTGAATTAACCTCTTAAAAATTATTTAGGGAATGAGCTGCCAAGAGTAGCAACAGTAGCAAAACTACACTAATAGGAAGGCCTGTTTCTCTTGCTATTCTTTCTTGGAAATGACACAAGTTGGAATGTATGGTGTCCCAGATACTTAAAAAAATAATAATAGAGCCAGCCTTATGAAAAACTATAAATAAACTAATTAAATATTTTGATACTAAAATGGGGAATGTTGAGCTGCTGCTTAATCTGAAGACAAATGGAAGGGCTTATGGCTTTTTTCTGAGATAATTGGAAGGAATCCAGCCTTCCCAACATGGCGCTCCAGCAAGGACCTTGCAGAACCACCAGCCGCTGCTGTTCTTCTCTCGGACTTCAAACAAGGTCCCTTCTTTAAAGCTGCTGGTTTCTTCATCGCCATCAAAATCTGCCACAGCCACATAGAGGGCTTCTCTGGAGACGTCTGAACTGGTGATGGGGACGGATCCTCTCTCCCTCTCCACAGGCTTGGGGGTTCCCTTTGGGCCTAGGCCGCTTTTCGCTTTGGCTTCATCTTGGCACGGAGCTGGCAGGAAACCTTTGGCTTTTGGTGGAACCAGCATCGGCCTGCCAGGGACAGAGGCAGCTCTCAGTTCAGGCACTTCCCTCTGTGGAGCTTTATTTTCCGGAGAGGGGGCAAACGAAGATGCAGGCGATGGTGTGGAGGCTTTCTTGGGAGGAGGCGGCCTCCTGGGTGGCACTACGGGCCGCTGAGGTGGTTCCCTGGAAGCTGGAAAGCTACCCTTGGAATCGGCCTCACTCAGCTTTGCGGAGCCAAAAGGAACTTTGGATGAAGCAGCCTCCTTGAAGACTTGGCTGTCTGGTCTGGATGGAGGCCTCATCTCCACAGCTGGCCTTTCCTGAGACCGGACGGAAGATTCCACAGGAAGTGCGTTGTTACTGAAGGCACTCTCGCCAGCCATGGGGTCCTGATCAGAAGGCTTCTCTTGCGCTTTGGCAGGCCTGAGTTTGCTCCTCAGGTTGCAAATGTCTAGTTTGTCATCTCCCTGAGGGGGATCTGTCCTAGGGGCTGCTGCTGGCTTGGGTCTGACCTGAGGCTTTGATTTCAGGAAAGGGTTCGGGGTCCCGAGCTCAGGCTTGTCCTCCGGGGGCTCAACTTTTGGCTTGGCAGGCTTAACAGTGGGCCGAAGGTTTGGCTTCTTCACCTCTTTGGGAGACACCTTGTGCCCACACTCTAGCCCCATTTCGTTTTTCAGCTGGAACAGTTTCCCCTTCTCTGTTTTGAGCTCTGGCTTCCTGTTGTCCCTCGGAGGAACAGCCTGCTTGGGGGGAATCGCAGGCAAAATCATGCCAGGAGGCTTTGGAGGTGGCCTCTGTTCCAACCGCTGCCTTTCTATCAACTCCTCTTCGGATTTAATTATGGATTCCTTCCTCGGAGGGAGGCTCGGCTTCTCTTCGGTGTCCCGATCACAAATCTCCTCATACCCCACGGAGAGAGATGCATCGCTGCTCTCTGGCAGGGCACCCTTGGAAACCTCCTTCGCTTTCCATTTCCCTGCACTGTCGATGTCATTGGGTGGTGCTTCAGGCAGAGGCCTGGACGGCCCAAAGGCTTCTCCATTAGAGCTGCTCTCTGCCACACTGTCACCAAGCCGGAGCTGCGCCATTTCATTTGGCAGCGGTGCCAAGAAGTTAGGCCTAGATGCATTGCTAGTTTTCTTGTACTTGTCAATGAAAGTAGCTGGTGCCCAGCCTTCCTTCTCCTCTATCTGGATGTACCACCAACCACTCAGGTTCTTCTCAATGACCTGCGGAAGGAAAGAGAAACGCCATGCCTTAGATCTCTTGCCGCACCAGTTGCTTCAACTGCTCACATCAAAGCTGACGGGGTTACTTAAGAACAGAGGTGTCTAACCCCCAGCCCAAGGATGAAGCTATGCCCCAGCAATTTCTTTTCTGCCTCCCTCCCAATTCTAGGAGCAAAGGTGGTGGTGGAGATTAAGGAAGAGCTTCCACTTTCAAAACCATCTTTTTAAATTGCCATGGAGTCTCATTTCAGCCTTGAATCTTTTGGCATTTCCTCTCATAGATAAGGAACTGCAGAAAGCTGCAGCTTCCTTATATTGCTCTTTAAACTTCTTATATTGTCCTAACCTTGGCCTTTCACTCTGCTTAACAGAATCTTCTGTTGTTGAATTTATCTAACTGTCTGAAGGCGAGAATCATTTCACAAAGGACATTTCGTAGGTGTACAAGTAATTTTGTGTTTGTGCACACCTAGAAATGTAATATGTGGATGCCATGCATGCATCTGTTGCAACAGGAGCCATAGAATGGCTGCAACTCCTTGTTGAGTTAACACTCAGTAACACAACTGGGCTTGTCTCAGTATAATGTATGAAATGGCTGAGGCCCTTGTGCAATACAAAATATAATCATGTACTTCTAGCTAGTTTGCACTATTAAATGAGAATCACTCTTGTACCTGAGCATCCACACATGCATATGTATACAGAGCACCAAAAGTAGGCCACTTTTCACAGCACAATAATCCAATTGGCCAAGAAAACTACTTGGCCACTAGGTGTCAGCAATGAGCCATAGATGAGGTACCACCAGCAGGATACTAAACTCCAAATTTTTAAAGGCTGATACAGCTAATTAACATCCCCATTTCTAAATGCACACACACACACACACACACACACACACACACACACAGTGTAGTAGTGTAGTTGCGTGTGTGTTTTTATGGAGCGAATCACTTCAAGATTCTTGAATATAGTGGTTGCATATATAAAATAAATAAAAATATTTTTAAAATGTAATTTTAATTGGGGATGGGGAAATAAAAAGTGGGAGAGAAGTGCAATAAATGAATAAATAGTAAGCAGTATGCAAATATTTTAAGCTGATAAGGCAAAAATCTGATGAAGGAAAATGTGAAAGTTCAGGGTGAGCAGGCAGCTGGAGAAGATCACTGCCTGCATTACCAGAAGATGAAAGATGGTTGCAGTTTCAGCACACATTCCATTCATGGCGGAGAAGCAGAGAATACCTCATTTTTATACTTCTACCTTCTCCCAGTGAAAGGGGCTGCTGTGCATGTGTGGAGGGAGGATGGAAAGGTGAGCTGTTCCACACACCTTTTAAAACGGAATACGAACATACCAGTCAGACTAGAACACAGCACACCAGGGAGGATTATCCTTCCTTACTCACCGATAGAAGGACAGAAATTTGACCCTAATCCCCAGTGCTTTTTTCTGGGGGTGGATGCAGGAGTACGCATACCCCTAAACAATTTGTGAATCTTTGTACTTTGTCCATTTACTGTATTTATTTTCCCCGATTTGAACTATAAAATGGTGATTTTCTTGAGTCAAAATGAGAGTACTCCTAAACATTTTTTTTTAGGAAAAAAAGCACTGCTCATCCCTGTCAATCATCAGCATAAATCAATTGTATCAGACAACTACTGCAAACACAAAGGATTTAGCATGCGGACCCGTGGAAAGCCCCAAAGGGCCTGGAGAAGAGCAGGGTGGATGCAGCCTCACCTCTACTTTCATTCCTGCTTGGAAGCTGATGCCGTCTGGGATAGTAGTCTGGAAGTCAGCAATAGTGTAATACTCCTCTTCCACTTGTGGGGGCACAGGAGGCTTAGGCAGGTTGAGGCCACGGGGCTGTTGCAGAAACAACACACATCAGCCTACTTCTGTCCGAAGATGACAAGGGACAATATACCCTACTGCCCTCCAAAATAGCCCACAAGGAAGGTAGCATTTGGCTGGCAGGTTCATGTGGCTTCACTGATTTTACAGTTACTGCTGACAAGCTCATCTTTCAAGAGAGGCCACACGGGATTAAAGATGCTGGAGATGTTTAGCAGGTCTGGGCCTGGAAATGAACTTCCAGACGTCATACTCCTTGCCTAGAAGGGGAGGAGAGCCTTAGAAGCTCATGGATTCTTGGGCAGCTCAGATTAAAATTCAGGTCTGCAGAGAAGTAATCCCAGCTTCAGCCCTGCTTTGAATGGCTGCTCCTGGGAAAATTGTCGCTGAAGAAGCAAAACCCCCTCACTTTTCCCCAAGGGATCTTCTTACCCTAAGAGTTCCCTCTGTGGGGTTTTATTTTCAACTCTCTGTAGACTCTTTTATCAGTGAATATAGTCACTTTCTAATACTATGATATAAAAGGAATGACTTGGAAAATGGGCCAAGTTTGCTTTAAAAAACAAAATCTATTTCAGGAACATCTATACAGGACATATTTCAACTGCTGACCTGCCAGCTGTGTGTGCTCCAGGGCCTCATGGAGAAGGCAACGTTTCCTTGGTCAATCTCTGAACTTGAGGGAAAGTTGTATGCATAGAGAAACACATGCATGAGGCTTATAAGCAAAGCTTAGTCCATGCTCCCACGACAGCTTAAGAATATATACTCTATATACATGCAGTGCACATTGTCATATATGGTAGGTAAGTAGGCTTATTTCCAGAGCACCTGTGCTATGGAAACTGCCACACCTGAAGTATATTTTGTGGGCAGCTGCAGCTATCTGCTGGCCATAAACACAACAGAAGAGGCCTGTGCAGCTACTTCAAAACAGAATGGTATATACTCATTCGTAAGGCAAGAGTCCCTTGACAGAAGAAAGCAGATGGGGGGGGTTAAGCCTCACTCCTGCACCAGCTATATTAGGTAGAACCACTGCACATGTGGATCACAAGGAGGAAGATTAGGGAAGCTTCTCATGCAATGAATTTTTATATATTGCGGCAATGGTCTGATCCTTGCCAGAGCATTATTTTATCACTTCCATATTCATCCATTCATTAAGAAGCAAGTTACATATACGGACATGTTTGCACATGGGAATCTATGCCAAAATGCAAAATGCGGCAAGACAAGCTGTGTCCCTTTCTACCACCACTGGTCTAGCTTATTTTTGTTCTATGTATTTAATAATGCACCAGAACTCCCCAGCTTAAAGCAACTGGGGGCAATACTTACTATTGTGAGATCTCGACGAGGAGGGGGTCTCTGTCTCATCTTTGGTGACTCTGCCAAGAAAATATTTCATTGTGACTGAAGGGTATCAAAACATGTTTCAAAAAGTGATATTTAAGAAGAACTAACAAGACCCCACCAGTCCAGTCTGAGGAAAAAAACAGCAAGAGGGAAAGAGAGACTGAGTACATATATTATAGAGACGGGGTGGGTAGGTTCTTCACACGCAAACCTACACTAAAATCCTGAACAACATGCCCCCCTAGATGCATAATGTCCAAACAACTGCCACCAAGTTTGAGATATGCTTCATTGGAGTAGCAGCAGAAGTAGAATGCAATACAAACATACACTAGAAAGGGTTCCAAAATTTACCATCAGCTTTGCTGAACTGACCTAAATAACCCCAGTTCTTCCAATTATAATTCTCAAGAAGCTACAAAACTCAAGAGCCATGAAGACCTTCCTGCACCACACCAGGCTAGCATGTCCTACAAAGAACCCAAAACTTTTGTTCATTCTTCCCAACTTACTTCGCCTAAGGTCCACATTTGGCAATGGGCGACCATCAAACCTTCCATCTCTTTGGTTGTTCGGCCCATCCTTGTCTCGGCCCGCCGAGTTCTGCTGCCGGGAGATTCCATCCAGGTCTAGTGCATAGGAGTGGGTGGAAGTGGCAGATCCCAGTTTTGGAGCAAGCATGTCACCACTCCCCTTTTTCAGGTATGACGCTGGGGCCCAGCCCTCCTGACCCTGATACCTGCAGCAATATGCATAGTCAAATTATTTAGACTTCTGTCTCGTTCTTATCACGGCTACAGCCATCCTGATTCATAGCAGTTCTCGAGAGGCACAAAAAGGGTTCTAAATCAACATTCTGAGAAATCAGACTGATCAATACAGATTCCTCCCCGCCCCTCATTTCATTCTTCCGTTATCTGAGAGATACACTCTTGAGTATCTTTCAAGACCCCATACCTTCACATTTATGAATGTTTGCTTATTGTTGATTAAGCTGATTTATCTCCCATCTTTTCATACAGATGCCCAAGGTGGCTGTACCTCATTGGGGGGGAAAGGCTATATACTGGCAGTATGCTGTGCTGTAATAACCAGTCTCCATATGTGGAATGGATTATGGCATACAGCAAGACTAATCTGGAACACAGGAGTCTCCAACCCATTATGGGTGCATCATGGGCACAGAGGAAGACCCTCTGATCATTTGTTACCTGTGCATTACGTGCCTTCTAGAAATGCACTGGACTACTCTAATGTATTGAGTCCAGAATCCTTTCTGCTTATTTTGAAGCAGCATGACAAATGTCACAGAGTCTAGTGGGCCTGCCTAAGGGCCACATCACATATTGCTGTGTCCCTCAAAACGCAAGGATGAGGGAACCTGTGGCCCTCCAGATGTTGCTAGCCTACAATTCCCATAATCCTTGACCACTGGCCATGAGGCTGGTGGGAGATGGATGTTAAGAGCATCTGGAGGGGCCAAAGACTGCCCCACCTCTGCTATATTGTGTAGAGGCAAACTGTGTACTCTCACCATGTAGACACCCGGGGGTGGGTGGAACTTTTTCAGCCTACACCCCCTTCTGGGAAACCACAGGCAAAAGCAGTCACAGCTGCAAATGCGAAATTTGCTGTTTGTACACCACATTAGTTTTTACACATTCACACATCCCTCTCCATCCAGGCACATTCTAGCCAGGCAAAAAAACACTCAAGGAGGGTGCAAATCAGGACTGGTGATGGCTGTGTGACCTTGGAAAAACCCTGAGGGCCAGACAGGCCTAGAAGGCCTCATTTGGCCCCTGGACCTGAAGTCCCCCATCCCTAATGCATACACTGCATATACATAGAGATCTATGGCCAATTACATTTCTCTGTGGCATAATGTAAAAAAAAAGAAGAAGGTATAACAGGAAACAACACTGGGGCATGTGGTAATAACAGGTGCATCTACTTTTCTGTCACATGCAAAGCAGTCTAACTCTTGGTGTTTCCAGTTCTCATACAAAGGTCACCACTTTTCCAGTGTGCCGTTTGTCTTCTTTTCTTACATCAAAACCATTAAAAGAAGAGAAACCCAAAACAAAACAATAGCCCTAAACCTTTACCATGACTCAGAAACCACATCCACCAAGGACATCTGCCAGAGAGGAGGGACTGGTGCCAGCCACAGGAAAATGCCACCTTAGTGGCCAGAGGCAAAGATGCTAGGATCAGATGACGCCAGCTGCTGCGCCTTTAATAGACTCGAGATTCTTTGAAGCAAATTTCCTCAGTTTAAAATGTCAACACACATTCTTTTTTCCTGGTGTAGTGGTTGCCAATGCTGCAGGTTCATTGGAAGGTTACGGAAATCAAAGCCTGCTCTCTGCTTTACCTCGGCACACACTTTGTCAGTGTCAGCCCAGTGTCAAGACTTACAACTATAATGTAGCCAGAAGAGACCTTTAGCTGACCAACCAAGGGTTAGATCATAGTCATCAAGGCATTCTTTTTTGTGCTTAGTTTGCCTGCGTTCTGTTATGGCCCTGATCAATATGGCTGTAGTTGCCTTGTAAACAGAGTGTTGTATTTTTGCCCCATCTGATTAACACATACATTTTCAACCATTTTCTACTGCAAATGTGAACCATATTTTAGCTGTCCCGTTACAAGGCTGGCGGATACAGGTGATTCTCAAGTGGTGAACAAAGCTGTACTAAACACTTCAAAAATCTATAGCCAGAAAAAAATTCTATTAACGAAAAACCAAAACCAAACAGCAGCCTCTTTAGGCAACACAGATGCAAAAATCTGGTGGATGGTTGACTTGTTCAACAGCAAACAGAGTGGACAATTGAGAGAGATGCTTTGATTTAGGAGCAAGAAATATACCAGGCAAAAAGAACAGAACGATGGGAGACCTTCCCCCTTAATTTAAGGATGCTGGAGAATTTCACTCATCAGTCTGCAGTTTCATTATGTTGGGAGTCAGAAGTGTAGAAATGGGTCTCTTACAAAAAGTAGGTACTAAAATAACGCACATTTTTTTGCACCTAATGAACCAACTTGTGCACCATCCAGCACTTTCAGTTGCAGTCATTGTGACAGTGCTGTGTGTGTTGGTTTGGTTTAAAGCAGAGACTGTGTGATAAACACATTTTACCACTAAAAGGAAGTAAGTGCCCTTACCTGCAAAGACAACTGCAGCAGCATGCAGTTTAAGCCAATAAAGAAGCATGGTTCAGGGCATTCTCTACAACCTCTTTCCCCAACTCAACTGTTCGAGTACCTTTCCCCCCTATGCATTACAGCATCTTTAAAGGGTTTTTTTTTAAAATAGCCAATGAACCCACCTCTTTGCACCCACCATTTTGTGATATGAAAATGTAGCTTCAGTGGCACATCATGCCTTGTTACCTTTTGGATAGTTTCCTTCACATGTTTCCGAAACCCACAAATGTGTTGGCAGGGCCACCTTATATACCAGAATGTGCCAATGAGATTTTCAGGGCATCTGTTCATAATGCAAAAAGCAATTCCTTTCAACCCTAAAGTATTGCCTCTGTGTGTCCACTCCTCTTCCAAAAAGAGCTTGTGTTATCTAATTTTTAACTCCTAGAAACAGAGCAGAATGCCACAAAATGCATTCCTCTACATCAGTCATTGCTGGAGCTTTGTGTGTCTTAACCTGATCTTTCCTTCTGTCCCTTCCTGGATGGAAGCTACCCTCTCCTAAGGGTGCTTTGCAAGAGACAGAGATAAACATCATTGGGTTTTAGTACACAAGACTGCAGTAATAAATAAATAAAAGTAGCTTGCCCCTTATATTCGGGCATGCCTGCCTCCCATTGATTCTTCTTCATTAACCCCAAATGAAAGGTACCTGATCTTCCACCATCCTTCCAGGTTTTTCTGGATCACCTCCACAACAGCCCCTTTGTCCAGGTTCATTTCATCTTGGTCCCGAGCAGTGTAGGGGTAAATGACCATATACTTCTCCTCTATTGGGAGCAAAATAGAAGAGAAGAAAACAAAGCTTGTTAGAAGTCCCTGTTTTGAAAACTCTTCAAACTTTAAGTCTTGCACTCTGAACTGGATTACATGGCATGGGAAGGTTGGCAATCGGGTGCATCACACACCAGGGTCGAGAGATTATCCACCTGACACAAGCTTCCAAAAATCTACTCACATAACTTGTAATACCCTCCTGCAAGTCTAATGAACCCTATCAGCCCCTGCCTGGTGCGTGACAACCTCTCTGTTTTTCCAATTGAAGACAGGCAGCTGTAATAGGTGGTCAGTGGAAATGAGGTGGGCTGTGTATGCCAGGCTTGTCGGGGTGGGGTGTTGCACAGGCCTGTTCTAAAAAGAATCTGCTTTTCCATTAGCCCTAAGTGTCCGATACCAAACACCTTAAGCATCAGTTCCGATGTTGTTTCAGCAGCTTTATCTGGGTGCACAAGTGTTCATTTGAGTGCTCCACTCACATGAGCGCTGTAACATCAGAGACTCACAGATAGCTTCTCCTGCGCAATTGAAGAGACCACGCTCCTCCCATGTTATAGCACTCAAGGAACCACACCACTCCAATAAGCAGCTATTTCACAGCTCTTGCAATAACTCCACTGGTTCCAAGATTGCATCCCATTCGTTTCCTCTGTTTCTCCTCACCTGGGGTCATGATGCCACTGTCGAGCTCTCTTATAAAAACAGTGTGCTTACTTGACCTCTGCCCCTATGACAACCATTCCCTATCTCTTACATCACAGATAGCCAAGGTAGTAGTTTCCAAATATTGTCGGACTGCACCAACTCTCATAATCCCTGACCATTGGACATGCTGGCTAAGCCTGACAGGAGTTGGGAGGCCAAGCACATCTGAAAGGCTACAGGTTAGCTGCCATTGCCTTACATCCTCCCTAATAACAGACTGTTGGTAAAGTTACAGGGGAATGCGAATTATGCCAACACCAGGGCCATGACTTTTAACCAATTTCCAGCGACATTCCAGAGGAAAAGGAAGTAACAGCTAGCTAAGACTAGGCAGAATAACCTGGTATCACGGTATCACTAAAAATATAATCGCGGCAACTCTACAGAAAGAGAAGCAAGAAATCCAAACACACACACACCACCTGCAACACCGACAAATAACAAACGATGCTTTTGTGGCCTGCTTTCCCTATGCACAGCTGCCAAAGTGATGCCAGCTAGTCTGCCTCAGCAAGACTGCCATTGGCATTCAATACTCATCTGCAGCCTATACTGTGTCCCCATTTCTAGAAATGCCTCGTGCAGAGCCAGGAATCAGTTTCACAGCTAGTTTAATGATATCTCTGGCAGGAAGAGCTGAAACAACATGCACAGTCCTTTCCACTTACAGAACTGCAGTATATGAGCTCATCCACACTTCAGTTTGAGTCGCCACATTCTCCAGGAAAAGCTGCTCTTTACTGCTGATTCGGAGCAGGTTTTTCGTGGACTGACGTTTCCTCCGATTCAGTTGCAAAGTACAGGTTTTCCCGGGGAAGTGGTGGGGCAAGCAGAAAACCACTCAGACCCATGCTTTCTGGGATGGGACAAGCAAAGTGCGGACAAGCACTTGGTTAGACTAACATAACCTTGAAGTGCCAACTTCACAATGAGGTACTTCAGTGGATGTATGTGTCCACTTGAAATGTCTAGCCATAAAATGTGTTCAAGTGCCTGAGCACACAACCAACATGCTCCACACTTTACTTCCTGACAAATCAGAAGCACATCAGCAGAGCATCAAACAGATGTCATGGCATCAGGATGCAACAGGAATTATAAGGAACACAGCCAAGGCATGAAAACTCTGAGATGTGGTCGATTACATCAAGCAGGTCTGTGCCAGTCTTTGTTTTCCTTCTAGATTTAAGATAAGCTAGAAACACAGTGCAAGAAGGAAATATCTGAGTCAACTAAGGGCAACCAGACAAGACATTAAATGTAGCTTCATATTTAACACGCTAGTGTGTGCTTATTAATTGCATCAGCCGGACATGTGTGTGTGTGTGTGATAATTTATAGGCTCACAGCAGTTATGGAGGGAGAATTTAAACTTTGCACACACATATCCTTGCAGTCTTGAGGAAATTCCTCTTTTGAAAGGTGGTATTTGCTTTGGGAGAAAAATGTCTCCGAGAACAAATACTGGCTTCTGAGATTTTCCTTAAGACCATAACAGGGGAAACAAAGAGAAAAATTCTCTCACCATGCCGGCTGTGAGCCCAGTAATTATCAGCCCACCCAATGCAATTTGCATTTTTTAGCACTTGCAAGTTGAATGTAAAGGAGCATTTAACATCCTCTCTAGTCTGGCACAGAAGAGTAGAACTCCTAAATCATGAGGCATTGACACAGTAAGTACCAGAAGCAGGAGAAAGAGGGGTGGGTGGGGGTTTAACATATATGACTAGCAATGAACACAAGGAAATACAAAGGGTGGATTCCCAGTGAATAAGTAATATATTACATGCAACAACGCATGCAAACACCACAATGGGCAGCACATGCAGAAACGGTAAGTAGACAAATGTCCAAAGCACAAATGGAGGTCAATAAAAGCAATCTCCACAGCATCCACCTTGACCCCATCCACTGGTGTACAAGTCCCCAAGAGTCCGACGGCGGCCCACGTGCCTGGGAAGAGACCAGTATCTCCATGGGACTGGGAGGAGCATGTTGGGGAAGCAGGAGAGGGACAAAACAGGGTGTAAGGAGGCAGCTCTTCACTCCTTGGAAGTATCAGCCTTGTTTAATAGAGCAGACAATTCCACAACCAGACAATGCACCTTGATCCCTCCACAGCACATATGAAAGACTTGGATGCTTTGCTTAACAAAGGTGTCAAATTAAAAATGAGGAGTATCTGCACCTTCTAAAAAAGGAAGGAACGAAGCAATCACAACAAACTCAAGAAGTTCCTCAAAAAGTGTTGTGCCCTTTGGACACTTTTGACCCGTTTTGTTGATGTCTGTCTCTGCATTTCTCATTCCATCACAAGAAGCCACCATGGGGAGGACCTAGCAAATGTCACAGGAGCACCTGCTGTTGCAGCATTGTTGAAAAGAAGTGCATGTGAACTTGAGCAGTAAGGGGAAGAGAAACCACCGTGGGGTCCATGTAAACCACTTGGGACTTTCCAGTGTGGACAGCCATAGCAAATATTACTCAGGTGCAATACAATAGGGTAACAGCAGCTGTCATTTTTTTTAAAAATTACCCAACAAAGCACCCATTTAGGGGTCTTAATTCAGAATGTGTGCTCTTCATATCAAAGGCTGGTGTGGCTTGTGGCTCAAAGATGGAGGAAAAGTTGGATACTGAAGGCTGGGAAAGGCTCAAGCAAGCTCATTAGCACCACCTTCTCTGTCAGTGATATCCAGTTCAGCCTTCATGGGAGCTTGCTAAAGATGAGAGATACTAGGACTTTTTAAAATGCAAACCAAACTGGAGTTTTAGCTCCCTGGACAACAGCCTGAAAAATTTAGCTGGACTAGAGCAGTTCACATAATAAACCCAGGAATTATTGGGGAGCTTCTCTCAAGCCATTTTCTTACCTTCTTCAGGTTGCATTGAAAATTCATCCTGGGCTCCATCCTGAACTTCTAAGCATGTAGCTGGGACCCATCCTTGTTCATCTGATGTGCTCACAAACCACCAGCCTAAAGGGAAAGAAAAATAGCATTAGCTGAAAAGCCACATTAAGTTCTCGCTTTGGAACTGAATCCATTCCATCCATTCCAGCTGTGGAGAAACAGCTGGGTGGGACAAGAGGAGAACACCTTCTCAGTGGCTGGACCAAGATAATGTATTACCTTATACTGTGAAGTGCAATTGTCTCCCTCCTACATGGCTTTACACCAGTTACTGAATATCTTTTTATTCTGTCAACGTTCTATTTCACGAAGCAATGGTTTTTTTAAAAAAAGAAGTTACTATTTTGGAAATGTTTTGATAAAATTGTACTTCATCTGTTGTAAGGTCCTGGAATTCTGTGTTTACACTAAAATACATGTTCTAACCCACAAATAAATAAAACCAACCTCCAAGGAATTGGCTCGTCTTTTATTTTAGGCTATGGGAGAAAACATTCTCAGAGTTATCACATCTCAGCTGCTCCCACACTACAGACACTTAATTTTTAGAAGGTCACACGTGTTTGAATATTTTTTTATTAAAATGATCACATATTTTTAAAGGCCATTGACATAATCATAGCTATACCCTATACTGCTTCCCAATCGCAAACGTTACATCAAATTGTCAGGATGTCCTTAAACGCTAAATCACTTGGTCTATATAAAAAGAGCTCAGTTCTTCTGGAAAGTCTCCAATAAGCTTATAAAGTTTTATGTCACCTGCTAGAAAGTAGATCAGCACTGGAAGAGCCTTCAGAAAGGGGAGAAGGGATATTCTTTAGCCTGTCAGGAGCAGGGGAGATTGGCATTATTTTGCCTCCTCCACAATATTGTCTTCAGGTAGTAGTTTTTGTCATATGAAAATGGAAGCCATTTGTTTTCAGGGGTGAAGAGACACCAGCTAAACCTGCTGCTGATTCTGGAGTGTAAAACAGTCAACAACCCTCTCAACTAGGTCCTAGACGGCAGCCCATAATGTTCCACAGAACCCAATGGAAGCAGCAGAGAAACAAGCAAGACTGTGTTTGCATAGCTCTGCCTTAAGACTTTCTTAGTCACACTAAGCATAACACAATGTTTGGGGAGAATGACAGAACGTTGGGAGCTGACTTTTACACATAGATAATTTTATTTCTTTATCATTCTCTTTATGTTGTTGAGCTCGGACAATAAACCCAGCTTAATTAATACAGTAATTCAATTTATTGTGCACTTGTCTTTTTATGTGAATTCAGAATTCATTAAAAAAAACTATTCTGAACGGTAACACAAGGTATTCAGGGAATAACTATGAAATGATTTGACCTCTATATGACATCGAAGCAAATCAAGATGGTAATTTATAGAAAGCTATTCAATAAGAGAATAATGTGAAGTTTAAAATTATCCATAAAAATTCAGCACAGTGTGCTTTGAAACAGCAACAACGTTGGTGTCACTGCTTCACAATGGATGGCTGGTGGATAGAAATTGAGCAGCAAGTAATTTGCTTCATTGTGCTGGGGGAAAAAACAAATCGCCTACTAGTATAATCCTGTAGTGGAAGTTTCTCTGTTGTCAAAATGCAAGTCCAAAGCTATTTTTCAAGGCGACTTCTTATTTTACTTAAATAAGGAAGGCAAAAGTATTGTATATATTATTTCCTTGGGTGGGGAAAGAAAGAGATTAATTTAATTCTAAGTGCAGTTCCTTCTACAATGGGTCATGTTACTAAATAAACTAAGATAATTGTAAGAAGGTGAGCACATTACTTTCCCATCAAAAAAGCTGGACTGGCAACTAAGAATGGCATGGTCCTTTTATTAATGTAATATGGTGACTCTGAAATGGGAGCTTTGTGCCTGTGTAACTTGTTGCCAAGGACAATAACACCTAAAGCATACAGCTGAGTGATTTGTGTATCAGAGGCTGCAATAGAAGCCCTTAAACTTTGGCATTTATTGCATGTAGATGTTAGTCATCACAAACTGATACTTGTATGACCCTCCTATATAGATAGATGCCAGCCTGCTTAAATGTCCCATCCACCTCCACAAAACAGGCACTGGGCTTCAGATCTCATTTGAAACCTACAAGGAACAGGAGATCCTGTTTACAAGCTCTATTCATAGAATCATAGAACTGTAGATTTGGGACCCCAAGGGTCATCTAGTCCAAGCCCTTGCAAGGCAGGAATCTCAGCTAGATTGTATATGACGGGTAAAGGTAAAAGGAAGGATGCGGGTGGCGCTGTGGTCTAAACCACTGAGCCTCTTGGGCTTGCTGATTGGAAGGTCGGCAGTTCAAAAATGCACGACGGGGTGAGCTCCCGTTGCTCTGTCCCAGCTTCTGCCAACTTAGCAGTTTGAAAGCACACCAGTGCAAGTAGATAAATAGGTACCACTGCAGCGGGAAGGTAAACAGCGTTTCCATGCACTCTGGCTTCCGTCACGGTGTCCTGTTGTGCCAGAAGTGGTTTAGTCATGCTGGCCATATGACCCGGAAAGCTGTCTGTAGACAAATGCTGGCTCCCTCGGCCTAAAAACGGAGATGAGTGCCATACCCCATAGTCGAATTCGACTGGACTTAACTGCCTAGGGGTCGTTTACATTTTTAGCTTTACATGACAGATGGCCATCCAACCTCTGCTTAAAAACCCCCAATGAAGGAGAGTCCTCCACCTCCCGAGGAGTGAGTGAACCAGCAACAAATCCACCTAACAATTATCTTGTCCAGTACACATTTCACCAGTTTCTCTGCAATAATATAAAGGGGGGCTTTGTCAAAAGCCTTACTGAAATCTCAAGGCATGTATCTAATTTAAAGCTTCCACTGAGCTCTCCTTACCAGATTCGTTCTTCTCAATTATGTCCACCACTTGGCCAGCACACAAGCTAATCTCAGAGCTTTCTTGCTTCTGGTAATCTGCCACCACCACATACTGCTCCAGGACCATGGGATCCGCAGATGCCAAATCTCCACCTGTGTCATAGGGAACAAGACAAACACTTGGTCTCCACATGTGCCACAGACTATAATGTGCTTTTCTTGTGATCATGGCAACATCTTAAGAGCCCAATGTGAGCTTTAGGAGGCTAGGTGATGGAGAGATGGAAACAGGTGACAATTGAGATTGGTGCAGATAGGTCCTTCTTGATACTTACTTGATACCATTGTTGCATGCTCTGAGCTATAGAAGCAATTACTTTACCAAAGATACCACCACCACCCACCCTATGAATGTCTAATAAACTTAAAATGTGATGGCACCAGGCTTGCCCTCTGGGGAAAGCATTCCATAAACAGGGAGCCGCCCTGAGTCCTCAGAGGAGAGCATAGAGATGGGTATCAGATGCCCATGTTGATTCATATGAGGAGAGGTGGTCCTTGCGATAGGACCACTTTGTAGACCAATACTTTATACTTTATAGACCAAACCCAGCACTTTGAATTGGAAACTACTTGGTAGCCAGTGTAGTCACATCAGGGCATGCAAGGAAAGTGACTGGGTATTGTAGTCAAAATAAGATGTAGGAAGAATTACTTTGAGAGCAGAGTCCTGAGCAAAGTCTTCGGCAAAAATTCCACTAACTCAAAACTTTGCAGGATTAGGCTACAGTATACAGTTGTTGGGGCAAAAATCTGATTACGCTAATAAACTTGCAAGACCTCACTCTTAACTTGGTTGTTAAAAAATGATGAAATGTTTAAGAAGGAGGGTGTTAATTCAAAAGCCTTTTTCAAATCTATGTTGCAATTAGGATATTTCCAATTAAGCACAGCTAGCCTATCTAGAGAGCTTAATTTCAGCTGGTGGTGGGGAAATCTACATTAATTGCAAGGGAGAGTAACCCTCCCCTTACATTAGGGTATTGCATGGCTCTTTGCCAAAGATGACTATCTGGAGTCATTTCCTGTGGTCACTCCATCTGGCCCAGCAAGAACTCAAGATTTGTACTTCCGGAGGATGTGGTTTTGGGCTACAAGGACCACAGACCTCAAGAATTCAGCTGCTCTTTGCAGTTTAACACATGGCTCTTCCTTTGTATCCCAGATCATCATCCTGGCTGCTGTTTGTAGGGCAGATGCAGAGGAGATAAAGGAAAGGAAAAGAAACGAAAAAAGGAAAACCTGTAAGGCCCAGAAAATGTTTTCAGCTTATCCATGCAAAGAAAGAAGCTACGGGAAAATAAACTCTTTAAGAAATCTGTGGTTTGCTTAAAAATAAAACAAATAAATTCAGAGCCACTAAGGGGCAGCAGTGTTTACTCACAAAGATAAATGCACCCGAAACTGGATGTTAAGAGGGAGCAAAAAGAGAGAGAGAGAGAAAAGTGCAACAAAGCATGCTCCCTTAGAGGACCATTTCTTATGGCCATCAAACCCTTCTGTTTCTGTGCAATGTCACATGCACCAAGGCAGAACTTTAATCCCATACACTCTAAGTAACAGCCCAATTTTATGCATGCTTCCTTAGAAGTATATCCCACTGAGCTCAAGGGGACTTGCTCTCTCATAAAAGTACCCAAGACTGCAGTCTCAGGGGCAATGCTATTCTTGGCTGCAAAGACCACAAGTCACTTTTGCTTTTAACATGTTTCAGCACCATTCCTTTCACCTATGAAATATTTCTGTTCAGAAGACACAAAGTAAACTGGTCACACACTATTTTACACCACATTTACTATCTGGTTAACCTACATGCACTGACATTCTTTTTTAAGTTTGACACCCCCCCCCCATCTTAACAGCAAAGGAAAGGGGGGAAACATTTAATTAGATGGTGCTTGAGGGTGGGAGAGTTAGAAATCACCTTTTCTTCTAAACCTTTGATCTCTTTTCATAGTTTGGGTGCATTTCCTATATAACTTGTCCACCTCTTAACAAATAATGTTTTGCTGGTAAAGGGGAGCTGCAAAAGTTTCTTCCCCCCTCTATACTTTAGGCCAGTGATGGCCAAACTTGGCCCTCCAGCTGTTTTGGGACTACAGCTCCCATCATCCCTAGGTAACAGGTCAGGGATGGTGGGAATTGTAGTCCCAAAACAGCTAGAGGGCCAACTTTGGCCATTACTGCTTTAGGCAAAAGAAAGGTGTGATCAGTACCAGAACCAAGCTCACATGTCCTTTCACACAAAAATCCATTCCTGCCCCCCCCCCCTTTTTAAGCAACCTAATCTAGGTGAAAGTTTCTCAGTTGTTGCTACTGTAAAGCAACTGGGAGTGTGCAACCTTGCAGTTCTACAGTAAATCACTCAGAGACCTGCATGCAAATCCCAATCAAGCTCTGGACTTATGACCCAGAACCCTGATACTTCTTTGGCTTGTAGACTATCTAAAGATTTGAAGGCAACACTTAAAAGGTATCATTTAGAAAGCCAAGACTTCCATAATCAGTTCCCACTTGCACCTTCAGCACAGAGGAAATTTGAGGTGAGTATTTAAAAACCCATGTTGATTGAAGCAGAGCTTTCCCATGGAACACTGTTTCTTGGTTCTCTGGGCTCCTGAAGATAGCAAAGCACTCTCATGTAATAATAGCCAGAGAGCCCAAAGCCCTCAGAAGTTTCTGAAATGACCTAAAGGGGGCCTCAACCATTTCAAGGGTTAAAGAAAACTGAGCAACAGGGATCCTGGAGGGCAGTGAAAACAGTCAATACTCAAATGAGGGCAACAAAGCTAGTTTTATCAAAATGGACTGGTTTGACTGGAGAAAACAGACGGGAAACTCCACAATGAAAACTGCAGCAGAGAAAGACATGGCAGCCTTGCAGAAAGAACAGCACCGTGTGGCACAGCCAAAGGATCAAAGGACTTTGGCAAGGTTGTAGCTGCTTTTAGTTTATTGGATTCTAAGCTTGCCAAACAATTCAATTTCTAGGAAAGTCAGTTTTGTACGAGACTTGAAAAAACAACTGTAAGGAATAAAAGGAAGGCCCACTGTAAGGAATAAAAGGGCATTTTCTACTATGTTAGATCCAAACCAACTTCCCTCAGCATTCCAGGTGAGCAATGCAAAGCCCTACTTACTACTAATTAAAGCTCCCAATACAGAGAAGTGTATTGGAATATGTTGCCAGGAAGAAACAAATATAACTTTGAGAAAATAATGCCTGCGCTGTAGGACTGTAGGTCCCATCTCCTGTCTGAGGCCAACTACCACTCTGACTAGACCCAAGAACAGAGTGACTTGGCCACAGTAGGAAAACAACCACAGGATGAAGAGAAAGGAACCCTTTTCCGGACCCCAACCCCCCTATATAATTACTCATAGTGTTCTTGGGCTATTTGCAGCTTCAACAAGCAGCTCTGGCACCTCCAAACTACCTATTAAAACAGCAACACAATGCAGTAAACAGCACTGAGCGGAAAAGGTAAGGATTATTTTCAGCTGATTCCCTCTCAGGACAATTATTCTCAACCACTAAGCTGTGAGGCTGCGTTAACAGGAAAAGTGGTCATCTTTGGGACTAACATGAGCTCTTAAAAGTAGCACTGCTTTTTTTAACCTCCTGAGAGAAGGTAACAGGAGCCAGATTGCCGTTTGATCACAATTCACAACAGATGGGGCTTTCATATCACCCAACAACTTCAGTGATGACAGATCACACTTATGGTTGGAAATCACCAAAGGATTAGATACCAAGCAATGAACATGCCTGTGTGAAGTAGATTCAACATGACCAAGAAACAAATGGATTCTATGAACAAATATTGGACTTGAGAATGCTATATGGATCTGTGAATTGGTGACCTGTCACCAGAAGAGACATGCATACAACATATTTCACTCTGAAAGAGCCTCATGACTGAGGCATGATTACAGCTAGAGAATGGATCTACTTAAAATTGCAAATCTAGGTTTTGAACTTCCTCACATTAGCCTTGTTTGTAAGATTGCCTGCTAAGTCATGGATCCAGACCAATTTCTCATCTACTCCAAAGACAACAACAAAGTTATAGGTCACTTAAGATTCCTTAATATGCTCAGTTATTTGATCTCATGCTCTGCAGAAGGCCGAGCTGCAGGCTGGGCAAAAATTTATGCCCTCTTTTGACTTCTGAAACTGGCTTTGATCCCCCCCCCAAAAAAACACTCACACATCCTTTCATACCCAAAGAACAAGACAAGTTATGAATGATCATAGAATCCCATGAGGCTTCCACTGCAGCTCACATTTATTGATAAGCTTTGTCAGACTGTGGAGATGTACTTTAACTCCTGTTGATCAATACATAATCACCTGACATGTCCATTTAGGCCAAGTGGGCTGCCAAGAACAATTACCCAGCAGAACAAGATTTTAAAAGCAGCCTTCCAATTACTTACAAAGAGCTTTAAAAAATAAAAATAAATTAATAGCCACCCTAGTACATGCATACTAGCTAAATTAAGGACAAGTATATATGCACAATGAGCTGGATGGGTGAGTGTGGAATTGTCACTTAAAATTCAGATGCCAACACAACCTTTCACAACTAAGCACCTAAACTTTCCCTTCAAAGCGGCAAATCTAGACAGAATTTTGCAAGATTCCAGATTCCATTAAAAAGAGGGCAAAGCGTAGGATTGACACATCTTTTAAGTATCAGTATTTGCATCTAAATGTTGATCAATGGCAATTTGCATATATTTAAATGAACATGCAAATGTGCAAAAGCTGTTCATTTGTGTCAGATGTGGCAATGCTCCCAATCACCCAACAACTCCAGTTTTTTCTCCCATTAAAGCCACAGTGTAATTTATTCCCATCTATCACCCAAACCTTGAAACCACCACCAGCAAAGCAGTAGAGTTGCCATGTAGCGGGCTATAAACCATCCTAGTTGGGTTTCATTTGCTTATCCTCAGTGCAATTCAATGGAGATTTTTTAATAAACATCCCCTACCCACCCCAGCACTCCCCTACCCAACGGAAAGCAGCAACCTGACAAAGCAGTGGCAAGAGAGAGGAGACTAGACTGCCCAAGAGGAACAGCACGTGTTGCCCAGCAGGGAGGAAACGTGAAAGCAAGGCCCAAGCAACAAGCTGCTGTTACTACCTCTCAGAAGGAAAGAAGCCGTTCTCTGGATAAGTCCTGATGGAGGAACAAAATGGTGGAGAAAGGCAATGAGGACACAAAAAAGAATATAAATACACAGATGTAAAGGTAATGAAAGATTAACAACCATGTGTTGTCTCCATTCATCAAGATGAGGCAAGATAATCATAATACTACGAATGAACTCCTACTGCAAGTGCAGATCTTCATGTGGTCAAAAGGCACCACACAGATACAGATACAGACACAGACACGGACACGGACACGGACACAGAAACAGACACACACACAGCAGTCTGGGGAGAACTTGAGGTCTGCAGAAGTAAAAACCAAGAACAAACTTGAGCAAGAAGTAATCCTTTGGCAGATCACAGCGACACAAAATATGTGCCCAATCTTCTTGAGCGACATGTGACTACCTGAATCTGCTCCAATATCTCTACCTTCCTTTAATGTTGTGTGTGGGTGTATTTATAAACTAGAATATGGTCCATGGTATTAAATTACTCAGGTTTGCAGAAACAAAGCTGACCGGTATTTCTGCACTGGGAATAAATAAACTTATTATAAAGTTCATTGTGTTTTCATGCTGGCAAAATTCAGAAGTACATAGTACTCCACTAAGGAAGCTGAAAGAAGCAGGCAGGTGCTTAGTTGCCCTGTAGGGTGGGGTTCCTCGTTTGCTGGTGTTTGGGAGTGCAATCAGCTAGCACTGAGTTTCAGAGCCAATGCAGAAGGATTTGCATGTTCAAGCACAAACTGCTACTGGCAAGCAGGTATGTATGTGATTGTTACGCTCCTTTGACTAAAACGGAAGGATGAATCCATTGTAGATTATTATTGGGAATACTGCCCTTAGAGGTCCTCTGTTTTCCGCAATCAGCTCCAGGCACCAAACAGCAAGCAGAAAAGGAAATTGGTCTTCTTTGACAAATGCAATAAAGAATACAAAAGAAAACAGAACAGCTCAGAACAAAGCCTCCTGCTGATGTTTACAACGATGCATGCCCAAGTTTCGGCTCAAAGCATTTTCTGAACTCAAAGGAAGAGCCCTCTAAGAACACGTTTCACACATCTTGCTTCTAAACAGGTTACTATTTTTCCCTTTCTTTCATTTCTACTGTGCAAACTCTGCAGCCTCTCCTATTATTCACTGCCTACCTCAACCATCATTCAGCATACAGGCAAACTAAATGTAGTGTAAACTGCAACTAGACTAGGTGTTGCAGTGAAAGATGGCAGACATGCACAGATAGGAGTCATAATCAGCTGTGCTGGGGAAAAAGGTGGGAGTGATGCAGCAGCACAGAATATAGCTGCTCCAAATGCCAAGTTAGTAAACAAGACTACTGATCACTCCTACTGACAGCTATTAGCATATAATGTGCACTACACTTCAAGTGCCATGTTTAACCTGCCTTCATTGACCAAAGCCAACTTCAAAAATGGACAATGACATTTTGGCTAAACAGCAATCCTAGCTACAAACAGAACAGAGGGCTACGGTGCCAATCTGCTCTCATACACTGCTACAGGGTAGAACAGGGTGGGGAACCTTTTTGGCTTCCTGGACCAGATCTGTAATGGGATCACCCTCACAGAAGTAGAAACAAAAGAGAGGATGACAGAAGGACAAAAGTGAAAGAGAAACAGCACTTCTGTGACAAATTCGTCCAATCTCTTCCACCTCATCAAAGAGAAGTAGTATAATACAGATGGCCTGTGGAAGCACGTGGTTCAGTCCAGCTGTCAACTGGTCACTGGCTGTGGTCAATTCCATTAGCTTTATAAAAGATCAAGAAGGGGAATAAAACAAGTGTAATTGCCTTACCAGATCTCTTCTTTCCAATTGGTTCCCTGAGAAAGAGAAAACAAACTTGATTAACAAGACAACGTAACAAGCCCGGTCTATATGACTGTACATAAGTTGTTAGCATGAAGAAGAGTCCAAACTTTGGCTAGTTCTTGGTCCAGAATCTGCAACTGTATTTATTTTTCTTTTATACCACTTTATATTTTGAGAAATCTATAAGCAGTTTACACATCTCAACAAAAATAACTATATATGATACAAATTTCACATTCAAGTTGCTGCTAATGGTTTATCTATTTTTTTATAAATTGTTTCATAAAATATACACATCACTTGTTTGTAAATAGAAACCTCAAAACAGTTCCTGCAAATACAGTGTCTGTCCCTGAATCACCCCATTGTTCCAAGAAATGAAAGCTGTGACAAAGATACCAGCCTTTCACCCAGCCAACATGTGCTTTTAATTTGACAAATGTGCAGCACTGACCTGATGCAGGGTTTGCAGGCAGACTCACACCACCAGCTAAAATGATAGCTGTCAACTAAGCTTTCCCCTCCTTTTAACATAAACTTCTCAGTAAAAGCCTAACTGCATTCACTTGATAGAGAGGCCTCATATTGATGTGGCCATTCTAGCCATGACAGCTATTTCACACAAGCTGCTATGTAGTGGTTGCAATTCCCATACAAGATTCTTGGGACCACAAAAACAGCTCTAAGAACATGTAGCGCACTAAGATCAATCTTTTATTTTGTTACTATAGGGAGATTTACCTCCCGGTAAAAAACACTTGAAAGCAAGCCATGTAAGATGGTTTATTATATACCTGGTATCAGCAGAACTGTGTCTAATGAAAAGTTTCCTTTCATTAGACTCATTTCATAGACTAGGCACCCCCAATCTTCGGCCATCATCCCTGACCACTGATCCTGTTAGCTAGGGATCATGGGAGTTGTAGGCCAAAACATCTGGAGGGCCGCAGGTTGGGGGTGCCTGTCATAGACTCATAGAATTGTAGAGGTGGAAGGGACCCAACACATCATCTAGTCCAACCACATGCAATGCAGGAATCACATTTGTGTAGTGCTAAACCAGGTTTAGCATTAAATTTGAACATGGGCAATGCATCTGCACCAAATCACAGAAAACATTTTTCTTATGCAAAATTATGTTAAGAGCACTGAAAACTGTGACCGTTCACAGGATGTGCTGCAGACTGCATTCCTCTTTCCAGGGATGCCAGCAACAGACTCTGGCGAGAAACAGCTGGCGCTCTCATAGCCTTAGAAACCAGACATAGGGGCCAAAGAGCAACTCAATAAAACATATGGATTCAAGTAAATTTCCTGGGTCTGAGGATTCTCCAATACAGACAGCAGCTCAGACAAGATGTAATAATGTCAACCACAGCTTGATCAGCAAACATGATAGGAAAGGCAGAAGCCTAAAGGATAAATAGCCAATCATATGGAATCCACAGTATTACATACACAAGCAGGCATGAGCCTGGTTCCTAGGCATGTGAGCAAACTAAGGTTTACACAGTTTGTCATTTCGCCAGAATCTGGCCATGTATGTTTGCTGAGAACCAGAAAGGTGTGGGGGTGGTACGGGGTGTAGACGTCAGAGGCTCAGGCTTGCTTGTACACATAACACCAAATCAGTTTGGCATTACATCTAAACCCCATCAGAATCTCATGAAGCAGACAATCAGCAGAGGGGCAATAATAATCAAGACAGTATCAGCCTTAAGCATTTTCTTTACTTGTTGGGCACCAGGGGAGACAGAGATTCCAATGGGGACCCAACTGAGTTCTTCCTGTCTAGCATACAATTTCAGTGCCTTGAAAAAGGTTGCTTTTCATTCTTGTCTGCTAAATGTATTAAGTGTAACACATCACTTCCCATCCCTTTTCTGCTATGCTTCCTGTCTGGATGAGGAGGGGGAAGGGAGGCTGCACATTTATTTTCTTGCCAGGACCTTCTCGGGTTGACCAGATACACCTCTGAGAGCAGTAACTCAAGACAAGACAGGAAACTGCAGTAAGCTTGCAGCAACCTGCAGCTTCCTCCCCTCTGCCAATCACCCCACTCTGCAACAGGAGAAAGCAATGTGGCATTGGCCCATAAAAATACCTCTTAGAAAGGCTAACAAGTGAAAGAACATGGGGATGTTACATGTTTTAGTTCACAGGTCTGTTTTCCCAGGGGCGGAGGGGGATACTAATCAATCTGCCCTAAAATAATTACAGAACCCAGTCATTACCAAAAATGAGGACAATCTTGAAACAAAACCAGTGTTTGTCTTTGCATCTCATTCTAAGAAAAACAAGATCAACAAAGTGAATGCTCAAAACAGAAGGCAAGTCTTCATTTTTTCTGGCCAAGAATGACTACTAATGGGAGACTTTCAACACTTGCTCTATACAGAAATCTTGGTACCATCTTTGGGCTTCTAGGAACAAACCCTAGGATGTTTAGAGAACAATTCTCAATAAAAAGTTGATGTCTTCCATAACAGGACACAAAACATCTGCAATTGAACTGAGCACTCAGAAACAATCTCTAGCACAATCTGTCTCATGAAGTTATGTTTGTGCAAAATATATACAGCCTGAAAAATAGGCTTAAATTTTTAATATATAATATAAATTATAGTCCATATTGTACCACTTCCAAAATGACGGAAGGTATTTGATATTGCTCATCACCAGCTTCAAATGTAGCACATAGAAGGGTCAATTTAAATTTGACGGATGGGGATTACACAGAGGCCACTTAAAAATGAGTGCTTCACGTTTCTGGAGTAGTATTTAGAAGTCTCTTAGCCTGTGCCAAGATGGTAGCTATGGTGCCCTGAAGAGAGGCTGCATATACATAGGTGAGTGTGTGGTCATAATCTTTTACAGTTACACAAAGCACTGTAGAGAGAAAAATGAGTTTTGGCAACTTTCACATCAGCACCATCACATTTAAAACTGACCCTAAGTAAAATCCTGTTAATTGCAACTGATGCAAAAAATGGAGTTTGACCAGACAGATCACATCAGCTGAACTCTTTTTCTGACCCATCTTTCCTCCTGGCTCCCTCGCTTTGATTTACTGGCAGTGCTGCAGGAAGCAATCAGTTACTACAAATACCGTTTCAGCCTTCACCTAGCTATATGTCTCTAAGTATGCTATACAATAGCAAATTCATTCTATGAAATGTGGCTCTTTTTATAGCCAAAATGACACCATTTGTGCACAATAGGAAGGCATTAGACTCAGCAGACTTTTCTTTGGGGAGGGAGGGAGGGAGCTTACAAAAAATCTGAAGGGGGGACCCTGCAAAACAGCCACCACCAACAAGGACTGAGCCTGGCTCAGCAGGCAAATAAGGTCAGCTGACTCTGTGTATGTGTTTGTGTGTTTATTATTTATTTTAAAAATCTATAGTCCCACTTTTCACCATCTAGGGCTCAAAATGTCTTATAATTATAAAAATAAACAAGCACTGGTGTATGGTGTAAACATTGGTGTTCCACAGAATCAGGGAAGGCAAGCACAAAAGCCACCCTGGAGTGGTTCAAACATACACACAGATGCAGCCTTGAAGAAAGATGGTAGAAAGAGGATTTTAAAACTGTATTGCTGACCTGCAAGCAATAGCCCAAAGGATTAAGCCAAAGGAATCTGAGAGTTTTAGATTGCTACCTTAATCAAAGCGCGGCTACTACTACATCCAGCTTTTCTAGGGCAGAAACTAAATAAAGATAAGGTCAAGGAAGGTGGTTAAAGAACAAGCTAAGGCTTAAGTCAGGTATGAAGGAGAATAACTCAATCCTTTGAAGAGAGTTCAAGAAAGATGTTGACAGTGTGAAGCAGCTGTGAAAAAGGCGAATTCCATGTTGGAACACTGTGTCCCGTTCTGGTCGCCTCCCATCAAAAAGCATATTGTACAGCTGGAGAGGTTGAGAAAAGGGCAACCAAAAACGTTTAAGGAGATGGAGCAACTCCCCTATGTGGAAAGACTGTAGAATTTGAGGCTTTTTAGTTTAGAGAAAAGGTGAGTAAAAGGAAACATGACAGACGTGTACACAACTATGTATGGTGTGAAGAAAACGGATAGGGAGAAGTTTTGCTCCCTCTTTCGTAATATTAGAATGCAAGGCCATCCAATGCAGCTGAATGCTGGAAGATTCAGGACATACAAAAGAAGGCACTTCTTCACGCAGTGCAGACTTAACTATGGAATTCGTTCTTCCCGCAAGACTTAGTGATGGCCACCAGCTTGGATAGCTTTAACAAAGGGACTAGACAAATTAATTCACTATGTATCTTTTGAGTTTAAATTCTGTGGATGTTTGAAATTCTGAACATCCATTCCAGAGGCAAGGCTCTGATGCTGTGTAATCAAAGTGCAGGCTTTATGCACAACCCCCAGAGGCCTCCTATTCAGTGATCCTGCAGATCTATAGATAAGGCACCAAAAATTAGATAAGCCACTAGAAATGTTTGTCAAGCACATTCCACCACAGATCTGTAGCTGCAGACAAAAACCTCGCATCTCCTTCTCCCTGCCATGGTGTAACTCACAGTGTATTATATTTATAGTGTTCCTTTTAAGAGGAATGGCTCTGCCCTCATTACTGGAACACAGATGACAAGGATGTACACAGGTCTCCAAGACAAGTTACTGGAAAGAACAAGAAGCCAGCAAAGAGCCTAATCTGTCCTGTCTGTTGCTTCTCTCTGGTAAAGTACAGCAGATTGTTCTTAATAGCCACTTAGGAGTCTGTGCATGGAAAGCTCAAGGCTCTCAGCATGAGGACTGTTAGCAGCTAAATCCCTTGACTCAGCAATGGCTTTTTTGTCGCACACATCAGACTTTCACAGCTTCACTGCTGCGCTCCTTTATGCCACTAGTGGGGGAAGGGGGAAGCCTATTTCAACTTGAGAAAAGAAAAGAATACAAAGAGGATTTCAGTTCCTGCGTGTCCTGGGACTTTCACAGATCCATCCAAGCAGCCTTACTGCTTTCCTAAACCAGTAAGTTTCAAAAGTTGTTACTAGATGCCCAGTCTTGCCTTCCCACTTTGTCCATGCAACCTTGGGCCCAATTAGATGAGACCAGTCCTAACCAACATGGCTAATGGCAAAGGGTGATGAGAGCTGGAGTCCATCGTCATCAGGAGTCCCGTGGGTTCCCCATCCTTGCTCCAGCCCACAAAGGCTTACATAACTATAAATATGTTTGCCTAAAGCACTAACTGGAGCCTTCTTTTACTTTTCTTTTTTTGAACAGAAGTCTCTGATTGGTTCACAGGTTATACCAAGCCAAACCATGGTTTGGCACTAATGCACAAGCATGTAAGTTCTTGGAGAGAAGAGGTCTGTTCTTGATTTACAGCCCATGGTTTGTCTAGAGGAGACAAACCATGGTTTAGCTCCAAGTAGGACAGCAGCAGCACACAGAGTGCAGAACTGCAGGGCCAGCTGTGATCTTCTGTTCAGGAACATGTGCATTCCTGCTAAGCAATGGTTTTGACTTAGTGTTATGTGAACACTGAGCCTGTACAAGTAATCCTCTGGAACTAATGTAATTGGAAACTTTAATGAAATCAGGCTACAATCCTGAATGCATAAATGAAGCAGGAAGAATAATCTGTTAGGTGGAGGAGTTTTTAATATGAACAAACCATTATCAGAAAGATTGCTATATTTGGCTTTCAACATGATAATGTGTGCTTCACCTCACCGCATATTTGCTACTTTATGATAAGGCATCTTCCTTTTACTGCAAGACCTGGCTCCAATTCAAGGTCCCAAAGAAAGTATTTCTCTCGCCCATGAGTTATGACATCCGACCAAGCCCCAGATGCAGCACTACAATCCACCTAATTGTGGGTTTCATCGTGTGATTGGTAGGTTTGCAGCATATCAAGTGGTGCAGCACTGGGAAAACTGTTCATACCAGTCCCTCCAGAGGAGAGAGTCAAGGACTTTTATTAATTAACATTTTGAATTGTAGCTAATAAATATCCATCGAATATTCCAGCTGGGCCATGAAACACAACAGAGACGTCCTTGAGACACAACAGCAGCTTGCTGCTGGCAGCCGAGAGGAATCTATTAAGCCACTCAGAACGGCAAGTCCTCTCTTTCTTATTATCCTTCTAGCAAAAGGCCAAAGGAAACAGCAAAGGGCTCACTCCATTCAGAGAATCACTACACAAGGATGCATAAATTAAGCTTCACTCTAATGTAATTATCAGGCACAAGAACACAAATATTGTTGTTTATTATATTTATCCATCCTAGCTGCTCAGATGTATGAAAGATTTATCTGTGAATGTGTGACAAGAGGTTCCTGTGAGTACCAATTAGCTTATCTTAAATTTAAGATTATTATTACAGCAAGAGGATAAGAAGACAAAGAAGGAAGTACAATTACCTCTCCCCCCCAAAAAAAATTGTGCCTAAGTTTGTAATTCAGGCAACATTTTCCATTACATCTATAAAGGAGAACACCTTTGTCCCAAATAAGCAAAAAGGACATTTTCTTTTAAAAATCGACTCATTCAAACCACCACAAGCCCCCCCCCCAACTTTTGCAAAAGAACTATTCAATTTCTACTTCATTGTAGTTCAGCTTCCTGGTCAATTTCAGAAGAAATTCCACATAGGAGACATTGAATGGGCTTTGAAGTGCTTCAATAAGGAGGACTACTTGGAGGGTTGAAGGGAGAGGTGGTCTTGGTTTCCCCCACACAAGGACATTCGGAGTTGCAGCAGCACCTCTGAATATTGGACTTGTAGATTTTTTGCATATTGTTAGTATTACAATGGAATGAATAAAACAACATATAGTAAGGCAGGTCATATGGAATCAAAGAGACGGTTAATGCAGGAAGGTTCAAAGAGCCAGTCCCCAAATATGAGTAGGTAGACAGATGTCAGAAAACTGTAAAGGAAGGAACAACTTGGGCTAGTGCAAGTATTTATCTGCATGTGGGATCTAAAAGAAATTCCACATACAGTAGAGAGAAATCTAGCACATACAAACTCCATGGTCAGGAGCAAGACTGCATATACTTGAGACTTGGTCTTGTTTGTGCAGTAAAAATGAAGTCTGGGCAGGCTCTGAACAAATGCCTCTTCAAAATCTAACCCCTCCTGTCTACAGTATAGAGCACTGAGGTTCTATAAAGGTTTTAACAAAAGCCCACAGCATACACCCACTTCCAGAATGATGCAGAAGCTATGCATGATGCAGGCCTGTCTTCAACTTATGTTTTTCATTGCATTAGTTGATGAATTAGCAAAGGGACATAGGGTTAATGGGCAAAGACATCTTAAATGCAGGATGGATGGAAACATAGGCTGACAGCATGTTATTAGTTAATGGGTACTAAGCCCTTGCACCAATCTAATCAACTAACTGGCAGTCATAAAAGAAACTATGACAAGCCAAGACGTCAAGAGAAATCAAAGAGGAAAAGCAATAACAATATGCGCCCAAAGGCAAATGGAAACATAAAGCCTGCCTGTATTGAAAGAGAACAACCCTTTGCGGCCAACTTGGGTGCTGAAAGACTCCATGTTCTAACACAGATAATGACAGAACTCTCTCTTCTCATTCCTCTGAAATACACATTTCTCCATGTCAACTTGCACAATCTATATCTTTGCACAATTAAGTGCTCTAGTGTCATACAAAGACAGAAATGAGATAGTGGTTGGTGTCTTATGCTCTGAATCCTCAACAAAAGAGCTTCTGGCCTCAAGCAGCTCATAGTCACAAGACCGTGTTGCGTCATGCAGGGGAAAAAGAGAGAGATTGCTGATGTTCCTTGTTTTGGGTGGAAAACAAACATGTGGTTACTGTTTGTCAGAATAAATTGCTCAAGCAACTGGCAACAGGAAAACAGATTTTGCTTGGGGTTGCTCCTAAATTTTAAAAAAACCACTACAGGCTGTTAGGCAGCCTCCATTGCTCTGGGTGGAGAAAGGCATCTCTGACAGCTTACTGTGCATTTCTGTAAAGTTATATGGTTGTGTGTAATTAAGTCCTATCAGGTGAAATAAGTCACATCAGCCATATGGCTCTACTCTGAGTATGACTCAGATGGATATATCCTATGATGTTTACTATCCAACTATGAAAGTTCAAAGGCCAGTGATACTGAACAGAACAGATGCGGATAATCCTTTGTATGCCTGTAAAAATCAGTTTTCTTTATTCTTCGCAGCTAAAATTATCTAGGCAAGTGGCTAGCATGTATGATGTATTCTATTCTGTATTTTATTTTGTTGTAAACCAGTTGAATCTAGGATTATAGGTGATTCACAAATATTTTACATAAATAATAAATAATAAGGATGATGAAACTGACACATATGATTACGGTGAGGGAAGGCAGGCAGCAAGATAATCACTTACTGAATAAGGGAGTCTGCCCTTTATTGGGCTGTAGTACAGGACTCAATTAAATGCATTTTGGTACGGGGGAATATAGAAGGAATGCATCTTGGCTCACACAACTTTGTTAATAGTTATAACAGAATTTGGTTTCTAGCACATAGCAGTTTCACTATCATATTACGTGTCAAAAGTTTCCAGTTACACTTAGAAAATTTCTAGGCAAGCTCTTAAAAGTTCCAGCTATGCTTTAAATTGTATTTAATCACGATAGTTACAATCCATATATATTGGTTGTATGCACATAACCACATCTTATGCTTTTGTATTTATATTTCATAGTAAAAGTTCAATTTTAAAAATGTGGGCAAGTAAATGAAGGGAGTGCACCTCCCCCATGTATTGGAGAAATTGACCTCGCAGATATAAAAGATCAGATTTCAAAGTGGCAGTGACTCTCTCTTTAATGAAGCTGCCTTTATTTTGATCAGCGGTGGGGAACTAGAACTCACCAGCAGGTCAGATTTTTACCTCCCCCACCCCTCACAGGCCAAGTATGACAGGGGGCTGGAGCTACATGTCAATCACCTGATCTCACCATTATGCCAGGTGGTACTTTTTGCTTGCATGGATTTTGTGGATCACTTCTCAATGGGCTCAGCAGGACTGGGCAATCAGCTGACCATTGGGTCTTGCAAAGCCTTACGCACAGTGTTTTACATACAGTTTTGCAAGTGACTCTGATTGGCAGATGGCCAGTGCCAATAAACCCCTGTTCAGCTCAGACAGGTCTTAACCTGCCCTATACATGACATCATATATAATGTCAGGTGTAGTTCAGGTTTCCATGGCTTGGCTGAAACGGCCTGGAAGGCCAAATGGGGAGTCCTGGCAAGTCTGGGCTCACATGTTGTAGGTTCCCCACCCCTGAATTTGGTAACTTAAACACTGGATAGCTCACTTGGTTAGAGTTGGATGCTTATAATGCCTAGGTTGCAAGTTTGATACCCATATGGAACAGCTGAATAATCCTGTATTGCAGAGGCTGGACTAGATGATCCTCAAGGTCCCTTGCACCTTCCAACTCAGTATGCAACATAGGCTGCATGTTTCTTTGACCTTCTAGCTTTCCCATTTTTTTCCATTATTAACTTATCTTTTGAGCTGCTTCATTCATTCTTTAATAGTGTTTTTTTAAAATCTGATATCTGTACTATATGTTCACTGATGTTATGTGACCGCATACCTGATGTGTGAGGTTTCTGTACTCTGGAAAATATGAAACACAAATGCTGCTGTCTTTTTTTAAGAAACAGGGTTGTTCATTGGCTACATATGTCTCTCTCTCTCTCTCTCTCAACATTTCTGAAATGCAGCTGTGTAAGCTACTTATAACAAACTTACTCTTTGGGGGGATTTAAGTCTTCTGGTCTTGTCTCAAAGAACTGAAGAACTTCATCGCACTGAGAGATATATGGTGGCAGCTGAATCAGAGCCTGAAAAACAAAACAAGACACACATTTGGAAAATGAAGAGCTGTTTTGCCAATTGTTAAGTGTGTGAACATGAGACAATTTGTGCCTAGCCCAGCTAGAAAATCCAGGCACATTCTCTATCCACTGTGATCCTCCATTGCAAAAGTTTTCCTGGAACTTTAATTTCCAAGTACAGATTCTGATTTTATTATTATTATTAAATAAGTAAATCACTACAATCCCTGCTTAGAGCCATTCGACAGATGTAAAAAAAGAAAAGCCAGCAGCAGTGTCCTAGCACTTTTTGCAACTAAAGCACTGGATTTTATGCATAATGTTTTTTAGCACAATAAATCTACATTAATTTCTCATGCATTGCTTAGAGCCCGCACTTCTATTTATATGGAGATACTGCATTTTCCAAGTAAAGTTCTTTGTGATTACAATTACTATTGCACATACTGTGAAGAGCCTTGTGATGTAAGTTTTATGAACCACTGCTGGATATTTTTGTGATGGGATGAAGGAGAACTGGCATAACTCTAATATTTCCCATCCTGAACTATGAAAAATTATTTAGAGATTGCATGCTTTTTAATACCGCAACTGATACTCAGCAGTTGTACGGGGCTTAAGAATGTTTAAAGCATTTTGAAACCACGATCTTGTAGCCATCCTTGCTGATCCGCTTTACGGGATTCTTGTGTTGTGTCCCTGTTTCTGAGATGAGGGGCAGGGGCTGAGGATGGCCCACCTAACCCCCCAGCAGAGGCGAGATAGAACTTTCTGAGTTTGATCCAGAGCTCAGTCAATTCCTGAACTAAGCTGCTTAATTTATGTTAACACTGTTTGGAGATTGTGGCCTTTCTACCATCCCACTGTTCTCGAGTGCAAAGCCAACCAGTTAGATGGGGAACTGATCACACTGTTGTTTACCCTACCTTAAACACCACCACCTATCACTTGGCATCTGATGGCATGAAGAGACCTTGAGTGGCCCATAATGTTGGTTTCCGTGCTACAGCAACTGATCAGTTTCTATCAGCCTTCCCACATCTGGTGCCCTCCAGATGCTGTTGGACTGCAAGCTCCATCCTCCTTGACCACTAGCCATGCTGGTTGGGAGTGATAGGAGTTGGGGGACCCACCATTTCTGGAGGGCTACAGGTTGCAGAAGGCTGGTTTATATTGTCAGCAATGCCATTAACTGCTTGCTAAAAATCAGAGGACCGTTTACAGAGCATCTCTCAAACAAACAAACAAAACATCAAACAGCATATCAGTGCCTCAAAATTAATTCCAATGCTTTGGATGGAAGCTAGTGTGTCATCTTAATGTTCCTAAATATCCCAAGGGTCCACCACCCAGCCTCTGTCACATCCAACTGAAATCCGGACCTCTTCAGAACTTCCATAAACAGCATGTCAATCCTGTTAAATGACATTAGCCTCTCACTCTCTGCCATTTCCCCACCTTCCAAAAAGTAGGTCTGGTTTTCAAAACTGGATGTTAGCAGCATAGTTCCAGGGTTTATATGGTCACTTTCAACAATTCTTTTTCCTAAGCCAAATTTTGAAAATATAGGTAGGGGGAGTAGCTTTAATAAAACACGCTATGAGAATATGATTCTTTTTAGAGACACATGCAAGTCACAGCAGAAGTGGCCCTGTTTATTTACTACTCAGGACAGCATATTGCTTCCATAACAGAAGAGGGGCTTCATACTCAGAAAAACCTTTCCCAATTTTTGTGTGGCATAAGACACAATTTGGAAAGCCGTTGTTACTTATATGCACCTTGTATTTCCACCTACACTCAGAAAAGGCTCCTGCAGCCTAACTGATTCTGGAGGTGAGATTTCAGCTAACAGGCAATAACTTAATTGTCTCTGCAGGAACTTGAGGGGACAGTACTTGGAATATCAGTATTTCTTTTGGACCAAAGCCCAGAACACTTACTTTCCCCTTCTGTCTACAGGTGTTGGATAAATCAGGGAAATGATGCAGAGCAAGATCTGCAAAATGTTTAAGTATTCAACCTAAGAGTTTGCAGACTGAAATTAGAGAACTGAAGGTTTTACTATAGACAACATGATCTCTGATTTATTTTTATTTTTGTCAAAATGAAGTTCCTCAGCATTTCACCATTCTTCATCAACAGCAGGTAACCAAATGATCCTCTGCTTATTATTCACCACAAGTTGTTATTTCTGCTTTGACACAAATTATTCCCATGTCTGGTGGTCTATCAACAATCTGATCCATTTTTTGTGCCTTGATATACTATCCTCCTCAATACTTCATCTCTCATTCCTCAATCTATGCTGCCCAAGAAAAAGTGACCTACTAAGTACCAAGGGTTCGTAAGAATCCTGACAAACAGCAACTACTTTTTATATTGTGATCATTTGGGCTGCACAGTATTTTCATTCACATAATACTGTATTCACTTCCTCTTAACGGCTCAAGGGAGGAGTCAGAGACTCGCCTGATATTCACATTTAAAGTGTTTCACATCTAACATGCTTACATAACCACGCTGCAAACCATTGTTAAAATTACTTTTTACAAATCCAACCTGCCTCTCTTATCAATAAATGTGATGTGAAGCAGTGAGTAAGATAATTTAGAATAAAACCTTTTGCTTACTCTTCACCAGGCTACACAAATACTTGTGATTTTAAAACTCTGAAATCAGTTCTTTGATCTCAAGAAATACCTGCTCTCCCAAATTTATCAACAACTCCTCATGTAAGGAGGGGTTCAGGTCATGTAAAACTTTGGGAAATATGAAATGGCTGCTCTCTTCTTGCTTTGCAAAGTTATAGAGCAAGAGTCCAAGCCAAGATGGTTACCTCATAAGGAGCAAGCTAATTAAACATCTTCCCAAAGTCGTGACATATCTAAAACTGCTGTGGCCTTTTGGGAGTTGTATGCACCCCTCCTTGAGCTTCAACATTTACCATGTAAGAAATACTGATGAAACTGGGGCCAGTTTGTAAAAATATCCATAATTTATTGTTTGGGCAGAACTCCAAAACCACAGTACCTAATGTGATCAGTATTATAGCGGTTTATTATGTCAGTTTGTAGTAGCTTCTGTTCACTGCAGAATGTAATGCACAGTTTGCGTTCATATCATAGCTACTATGACTATTTGTACTTTTTTGTTAGCTTTAACCAAAAGGTTAGCATGGATCAGAACCCCTTGGTTATGGAGCTGACAAATATAGGCAGGGCTATTATGGTGTCTATTTCCTTTTCTCCTATGAGATCATACAATATCTGGCAAAGTAAAGGAAGGGGCATACAATGCTGGGAAAGATGAAGAACAGACAGGCGTTGGGATACATATGTATTCCTCTACTAAGTTTGACGAAAGCCTTCCAAGGCATGAATTTTGTACAATGAACAGATAAGACAGTAGACATTCATGTCACTGATGTGGGAGTTAGGCTGCTGCTCCCTAAATTCCTCAGCACCTGCTCAGAAGATTGATGGTTTGGGAAATGCCACGACTTTTGTGATGTGTGTGGTAAGATAGCCAAACATTTTGTTCCTTATGAGGTAATTACCTCAGCAGAGTCCTGGACTATGATCCTGTGGCCCAACTGGAAGAGAGTCTTTTACTGGTCTTCCTGCCCCACACTTGCCTTTTTAAGGATTTTATTGGATGGTGTATATCACCAACATTTTATCTGTATGCCGCTATACTGTAGTTAAAACCATGCTCCAAGCAGCTTGCAATATTAAAAGGTTTACAAAACACAACCAAACTGAACAATTGCCACATAAATCATGAATAATAATAAGATCTAAAAATGAAGATACAAAATAACAACAACAATAGCAACAAAATCCCACCAACAAAAACTGTTAAACAATACAGTGGTACCCCGGGTTAAGAACTTAATTCGTTCTGGAGGTCTGTTCTTAACCTGAAACTGTTCTTATCCTGAGGTACCATTTTAGCTAATGGGGCCTCCCACTGCTGCCGCACGATTTCTGTTCTCATACTGAAGCAAAGTTCTTAACCCGAGGTACTATTTCTGGGTTAGCAGCGTCTGTAACCTGAAGCGTCTGTAACCTGAGGTACCACTGCATGCAGCTGCATTAGTTTAATCACCAGATTTCATTCTTAATGGGACAAATGTTGTTTGCAGTTAGTGATACTGCTAGTTCTCTTTGTTTAGTGAAGTTATTTTTGTGTGTTTTATGGTTTTCAATTTAGTACTCATTATATATTGTGGATCCACATTTTAGAAGTCATCTTGAGGGGGCTGACCTTAAAACGTAGCCTACAAATATTTCAGATACATAAATAATTGTAGCAGCCAGCGTTTCCAAGCTGGCCACAGAGGAGGGAAATCCTCCTCATAGCCAACATGGAAGTGCAGTGGACTAGTGTCTTAACAGGTAGGAATTGCTTTCTATCAAACAGGCTGGTGTAGCAGGAAACGGACTGAGGAATGAGCTTCCCTTTTTCTGCAGCCAGCATGCAAACATACAAGCTGGTGGAGGAGGGAGGGAGGGAGGGAGGGAGGGAGAGATAGAGATAGAGATAGAGATAGAGATAGAGATAGAGATAGAGATAGAGAGAGAGAGAGAGAGAGAGAAAGAAAGCCATTCTCAACCAGCCCATTCACACATACTTCCATAGAACTCCTGGTCACAGCTGACCTGTGTAAGAGGTGTGTGCCACCCACCACCCACCCATATATATATATGTGTGTGTGTGTGTGTGTGTATGAAAGTGATTTTGTGTGTATTAAAAAACCAAAGCAAGTGCCCTGATCACCTGAACCCATGTTTTCTCCTGCTCCGGAGGCTAGGACACAAACCAATGGATTCAAGTTACAAGAAAGGAGATTCCAACTAAACATCAGGAATAACTTTTTGCCAATAAGAGTTGTTCAACTGACTCCCAAGAGAGCTGCTGAACTCTTCTCCTTTGGAGGTTTGTAAGCAGAGGTTGAATGGCTATCTGTCATGTATAATCTAACTGAGATTCCTGCACTGCAGGGGCTGGACTAGACGACCCTCAGGGTCCCGCGCAACTCTACATTTCTATGATTCTGAAAGATTGTACTGGGAAATGATGCTTTCCCCTCCTTTCCCAAGCAAGCAAAGAAGAGAAGTGGAGTGATTGTTGCTTATGCAGCTTCTGAAAAGGATGTGGTCGCAATTAATTCTTGTAACGCTCAGCATTTGCTGTATATCCACAAACCACAGTCATCTCTGTGATTTATTTATCTGTGCTCAGTTGGAATACAATTTTCCTCCCCGTGGTGGTTTGCCTTGCGAAAAGCATGGAAAAACAGCAGCAGATAAGTTGAACTGCTAGAGTGGTGTCCATATCATGGCAAGCCAGGCTTCCTTGTGTGAGCCTACTCCACACCCATCCTTCCCTGTTAGCAAATACAGAGTTAAGTGTCAGCTGTTGGAAGGCCAAGAGTGCAGTCTTTGTTACCTGGTTATCATTAACTAAAAGAAGGAAATACTAAGGCGGTTAGATCACATCTACAACATTATAGATGATAGAAAGTCAAATGGTTTTATTAAATTTAATGTCATCAATAGCATTGTTTTGCAGGAGCCAGCTGCTGCCTCATCACCTATGGACTTCCTTCCTCTTTAAAAGCAAATGTGTGAGTACACAGGTGTGCCTATTTGGGCATATTTTAACCTATTCCGTGACAATAGGAACAAGCATATCAGAAGCTGAATGAATGAAAACTGTATATACACATACATGTATTTCACACATATTTTACTACAGATTATAAGAGTAACCCCAACACAAAACACACATATATGATAAAACAAAACAAAACAAGCGTGCGCACACACACACACACACACACACACACACAAACACACAGTTCCCCAGATTGTAGGAAAGATAAAGGGAAGATAATGATATCCTAATTATTTAATGCATTTCTAACTTCAAAAGGTTAAAAACCTAGAGAATTCAATATAAGAAACAGTTGCAATATAATTTTGATTAGTGATATCACATAAATTGAACAACCACTGGGGTATCTTCCCCAGAAATATGGGGCAATGCACACTGTGCTTTTTTCTGGCTTAAGCATCCCTATGACCAACACCACCACTCCAATTCTGCCGAATCCAATGCAGACTTTTGACTTCTCCATCCCATCAGCCCCTAATATAAAAAACAAATTGCTTTTTATACATGGCAAGTCCTACCAATTCCATCCCTGCAGAACTGTGCCATTTCTTTGTGTTTTTAATTAAAAGTATTTATATGCGTTCCTGCACTAGCATGCACATGTGTACACCCCCGTTCCATAGGTGCTTCTTATTTCCTTCCATACTAAACTGAGAAGCATCTCTGTTCTAATGACTAGTACACGGGTAGGCAAACTAAGGCCTGGGGGTCGGATTTGGCCTAATTGCCTTCTAAATCCGGCCCACAGACGGTCCAGGAATCAGTGTGTTTTTACCTGAGTAGAATGTGTCATTTTCTTTAAAATGCATCTCTGGGTTATTTATGGGGCACAGGAAGGAATTCGTTTGTTCGTTCTTTTTTCTTTTCTTTTCAAAATACAGCCTGGCCCCCGACAAGGTCTGAGGGACAGTGGACTGGCCCCCTGCTGAAAAAGTTTGCTGACCCCTGGACTAGTATAATGGGACTGAAGGAGGCAGTCTGAATAATATTCAAGTGAGATTCCATTTGAACTAAGCTATTTCAAAAGGGGAGTAGACTAACCTAACACACTTTGAAACCATTAAAGGCAGTTGCTTTCATCTGAGGGAGGGAGGCTGGTTACCAACAAAGCCATCATCTTCAAGCAACAATGAGAGCAGCTGTCACTTGGCATGAAAAGGAATTTTTCCAAATAACAAACAATGGCAACATTTATTAATTATCTTAGTAAGCACTGCTTTTTTCTGATGGGAATCAATGGTACGCTGGAAGGCTGGGTGGATGTGAAGTCAGGGCAAGGTGGGGGGAGAGACTGAAGAAGTGAGAGGGGGTCACAAAGTGGTGCTTCAATTAATTGAGGGGGGACAGGAGAGAGTGTGAGGGAGAGAAAAAGGGGGGCATGGTGAGTACCAGCACCTTCTTTTCCTAGACAAAAGCACTGTTATTAACCATTTATGTAGTGCATTGTAAATGTCAAAAGTGCTTCATTATGTCAGCAAAACTACTCAGTGGGTAAGTCTGCAGAGTAAGAAGCATTCAAGGTCATCGTTGATGAGTTCTTACTCAACTGAAAATGCATTAACACAAGCTATGGTAGCATATAATAAGACAAAACAGAAAAGATAACTTACTGTGTATCCTGGTGCCCTCCAGATGTTTGGGACTACAGCACCCCAACAGCCCGAGCCAGCATGTCCACGGGTATGATGGGAACTGTAGTCCAAAACACCTGGAGGTTACTAGAGCAGGGAAGGCTGCTGTACTGGAACCAGCTGCAAACAATGTATCTCAACAATCAGCACAAAACTTGGAAGAAAACACCACTCACCTTGCAGTACTCATCAATGGGTATAAGACGCTTGATAGCAACATCACGAATGTGGCTTCGGCGGAAGAGGATCTTGCCTACGGAATGAGAGACAAGAACAATGCAAGTCACTGCTTGCTTGGGTAATCCTCTGGTTCATTAGAACCTCACTTCTCAAATAACTCCTTGATTGCTATCTTTATTCAGCGACTCAAGCACAGACATATCCCATAAGGGCACTCAGACACATGGCACAGCAAATGTTACACTGGAAGAAGCAAATCACATTAACATAATCCCATGAAAATAATTTCATTCATAGCTGTGATTTTAGATTGCTGGCCATTCATTCCATGAGGGATTGTGGAAACTATAAAAATATAAATTAGTTCTTTTTTCAAGTTCACAGTGTTATTTGTTGAATGCTTCTTCCCTGTTGGAACATTGCCCGGTTGATTTCAACAGAAATTAGTTATGACTAAGGATAGTGGAACAGGGTGGGTGTGTGCATTATCAGACAGGATAGAAATGCAAACCGATAAATTTTTATTTATTTAAAAAAACCTTTTCAACTACACCTTTTTAAAAAAAATACTATTAATGTTGCTCAAAAACTAGCAATTTTTTTAAAAAAACCAATAAGAAATAAAACAGCAGTTAGCAGCAATCAAGATAAACAAACAAAAGAGAGAGAAGGGAAGGAAGCCTAATCTGTTGACTCATATTACAGAGCAAACCTGTTTGCAGCAGGTACACCAGAGTTATACTGGAGTTTCCTGCAGCAAACCCAAGGTGAAAACCACAGCTATGTATTCCTTAAAATAACCCTGTAGATATGTGTGGAAGCCTTGATTGTAAATATGTGTATCAGTGATTTACACTTTTTGCCACAGATATACCAAGATGCTCCCTGCAACAAGTGCACCTGTCCCTCATAACGAGTAAAACTGCTTTGTCTGGAAGTTCCTGCTGGAACAAAAAGGCAATGGTGATTCCAGTCCATAAAAGCTTGCTCCATTTTCTTTTCTGCCTTTTTGGATAGGTGACCTCAAAACCGCCATGTTTGTAAGGTGAGAATGTATATACTTTGAGATGGAAGTAAGATGGGAGGTGTTCCTCCAGTGTGAGTGGCATTGAACTAAGAAAGCCAACACTCCTTTTCATGTACACATGCACTGTATGTACTCCAAGAGAGAGGACCAACGGAAACATTCAAAGATGCTTACTATAGACAGGTCTGGCCCTAAGTGAGACAGTTGCCTCAGGAGGACAGAGCTTGGAGTGTCATGTGGCCTGCTACACTAGCCTGCTATCTTCAGCTGCAGTAGAAGAAACTGTCCTTTCATCAGTATTGGAATTCCACGAGTCCAGCTGGCTTCTGTATGTGCCTTGGGGAAGGGTGCCATATTGTCCTTCACCTCAGGCAGCAAAGAATCTTGAGCCAGCCCTGGCTGAAATAACTCTGTCCTTATCCATTTGAGCACATGTTTATGTCAAACTCTTGACTAGTAAGAGTTATCACAGGTGGAGGGGCAGACAGCTAGCCTAGAATATATTTGCCCAACGAGCTAGTCTTGCAAATTCAAAGAAGAAATTAAGATAGTCAATTGTTTTCAAATTAATGACCGTCTGTTTGCCTTCTGAAGTTGCATAGCACCATGCAGGACTGTACCCCAATTGGATCTGATGACTCCTGAATGTTTGAACCACCCCAGGGAGGGAAGAATCTGTGTACAGAGCCTGAATGACAACTGCACAGGAGTTCCGCAAAGGAGTAACTTTTCAAAAAATATGATGTAGTAGAAAAGGCGTTCACAACTTTTTCTTCCAAGTTCAACAGCCCATATGAAGTTTCCCACCATCGTAGCTGCAGTTCTGAAGCAAGGAACATGGAAATTTGAATCAATCTGTCAGCAAGTCAAGATTGTGAAGAAGTCCTTCATGGAAAAGTTTAAGATGCTGACTCCTTTCTTATATCCACAATGGAACAAATTTCATTATCTTGGGGCTGGGGCCCTTGTTTTATTGACAAGAATTTTGGTCCAAATTCTCTGTGGCCACAAATTATAAAATGTAATGTGCCACTACATCAACTAAAATCATCATGGAATTTTCATTATATTTTTCCAGTTGGTAGAAACTGGATATTCCAGTAACTAGGGTCAGCAGTGCTTCTTTCTATATTTAGAACTCAGACAGCAATTGGGTTGGCGTCTCTCCAAGATTCACTCAGTCACCAGAGTTGAAAGAAAATTTATAACTCACATTTTCTTATTGATGTGCACATAAAACATGCAAGCAATCAGAGTAAATGGCCAGTTAATCTCTCTAGCCATTTGCACAAGCAATCACAGTAATGCATGTTCATTTCTTCAACACATCCATGAACATTATGGCTTTTCTATTTGATCCAGAGATATTGCATTCTTTTAAACTTTTGTGGGGTTTTTTAAGGCAGCAGACAATAGAGTAGGAAAAGCACAAGTGCTCTATGAGGACTCACAGAAAGCAGAACACAGCTCTCACATTTTCAGCTGGTGAAAGACACACCGCTATGCTTCCTGTACCAATTAATCTGGTCTGATACAGTTTAAACAACATTAGTGCCACATTTTTATTACTGTATGTGGGGCTAATTAATGAGAATGGATCCTGACAAGACAAAGATCTTGTGGTTGAGTGGTCCCCAGGTACAGGACCTGGGTTATTTATCTGTTCTGGATGGAGTTCCACTCTCTCTGTAGAAAGAGGCATGCACTTTGGGTGTGCTCCTGGAACCATCTCAGCCATTAAAAGGCCCAGGTGATGATATGTGCGGCTCATAATGCCTACTACCAACTTCAGCTGGCACAACAAATATTCCCTTTCCTGTATAGTACCAGGTGCACAACCTGCAGCCCTCCCGATGTTTCTGGACTACAACTTCCATCAGCCCCAGGCAGCATAGCCAGTGATCAGGGATGATGGGAGGTGTGGTCCAACAACATCTGGAGGGCCACAGGTTGTGCACCCCTGCTGTACAGGAATAGTTTGTCTATTGTGGCCTACACATTGGCAACCTCGCAATTAGGCTACAGCACTACATTATATGTGGGACAATCCTTGCACCTGCTCCAGAGGTTGCAGCCCGTGCAAAATTCAGCACTAGAGTGCTGAGTGAGGCAACTTACTGTACACATGTGTCATTTGCATTAAAAAAGAGAGAAAAGCACCAGCTGCCCGTTAGTCATTTTCAAGGTTTTGTTGTTTAGTCATTTAGTCGTGTCCGACTCTTCATGACACCATGGACCAGAGCACGCCAGGCACTCCTGTCTTCCACTGCCTCCCACAGTTTGGTCAGACTCATGTTTGTAGCTTCGAGAACACTGTCCAACCATCTCGTCCTCTGCCGTCCCCTTCTCCTTGTGCCCTCAATCTTTCCCAACATCAGGGTCTTTTCCAGGGAGTCTTCTCTTCTCATGAGGTGGCCAAAGTATTGGAGCCCCAGCTTCACGATCTGTCCTTCCAGTGAGCACTCAGGGCTGATTTCCTTAAGAATGGATAGGTTTGATCTTCTTGCAGTCCATGGGACTCTCAAGAGTCTCCTCCAGCACCATAATTCAAAAGCATCAATTCTTCGGCGATCAGCCTCCTTTATGGTCCAGCTTTCACTTCCACACATCACTACTGGGAAAACCATGGCTTTAACTATACGGACCTTTGTTGATAAGGTGATGTCTCTACTTTTTAAGATGCTGTCTAGGTTTGCCATCGCCTTTCTCCCAAGGAGCAGGCGTCTTTTAATTTTGTGGCTGCTGTCACCATCTGCAGTGATCATGGAGCCCAAGAAAGTAAAATCTCTCACTGCCTCCATTTCTTCCCCTTCTATTTGCCGGGAGGTGATGGAACCAGTGGCCATGATCTTCGTCTTTTTGATGTTGAGCTTCAGACCAAATTTTGCGCTCTCCTCTTTCACCCTCATTAAAAGGTTCTTTAATTCCTCCTCACTTTCTGCCATCAAGGTTGTGTCATCTGCATATCTGAGGTTGTTGATATTTCTTCCGGCGATCTTAATTCCGGCTTGGGATTCATCCAGCCCAGCCTTTCGCATGATGAATTCTGCATATAAGTTAAATAAGCAGGGAGACAATATACAGCCTTGCCGTACTCCTTTCCCAATTTTGAGCCAATCAGTTGTTCCATATCCAGTTCTAACTGTAGCTTCTTGTCCCACATAGAGATTTCTCAGGAGACAGTTGAGGTGATCAGGCACTCCCATTTCTTTAAGAACTTGCCATAGTTTGCTGTGGTCGACACAGTCAAAGGCTTTTGCATAGTCAATGAAGCAGAAGTAGATGTCTTTCTGGAACTCTCTAGCTTTCTCCATAATCCAGCGCATGTTTGCAATTTGGTCTCTGGTTCCTCTGCCTCTTCTAAATCCAGCTTGCACTTCTGGGAGTTCTCGGTCCACATATTGCTTAAGCCTGCCTTGTAGAATTTTAAGCATAACCTTGCTAGCGTGTGAAATGAGTGCAATTGTGCGGTAGTTGGAGCATTCTTTGTTACTGACTTTTAAAGCCAAAACAATTTAGGACCACCTTCCCTTGTACAGACCCAGACAAACTGTACACCCTTTAGAGAAGGCTCTGATGGCCAGACCATTATAGTGTGTCATAATGTGATAGAACAAAAGCAGGTTCTTTCAGAGTCTAGAACACTATTTGGGAAGCTTCCACTGTGCTGGCTTTAAATGCCTACGAAAAACATGCTCATTTCTTCAGCCTTTCTGTGTCTCTATTTTCTGATCACACGGCTGGAACATTTCTGTAGTAATTTTTCACAAAATATTTTACTGGGTTACTAATGCATTTTGATATTATGTATTTATTTATTTATTGCTCGTGATACCATACTTTATGCAAACAGTTTAGAGATTTTGTTGTATTAAGTAGCATACAAGTCAAACAAACAAGGGATTTCCAGTAACGTCAAGATTTGTTTATAGTTTAGTTACAAGCAAGCCTTTAATATAGCCTTGCAAATATGAACATTACAAATTTCCTAGAAATATTTAAAAACATTCTAATCAATTTATGTATATAGAGAGCAGTTGCGTGTTTTAACCTGATAAATTAAATAAAGGTATATAGCAGAGTTTCTAAGAAGCCAGCTAGTCATAAATATACACAAAATTTCTCCTCTCCTTGACTGCTAGGGGAAGTGACAGATACAGGAACTCTGCCAGCATCTTAAGATGTAGAAATGCTACTGGCTCCTTCTCCCTCCACTCCAAGGAGCAGGCATTTTATTTATATACAATGCCCTGCCCTATTCTGAAGTCTCAGGGCAGTTACACTTTAAAAAAATCACCACAGTAGCCTTCTCCCCTTTGCAGCGGTTTCCTTTGCAAAGGCAACCATTAATGTCCCACACACAAAACCTTCCAAGAGACATAAATATTAAAGAAGCAATCTTGAAAGAGGCAGGCACCCTCCAATTATTCAGGCCACATTTTTATGACATGAACTGACCCCATACTTTTTTTTAAAAAAAAAGAATGTATTTCTGCACAATTTAGCCATTTACTTTCAGCACAACTCTGCAAGAAAGAAAACCATGAAACAGAAACATCAGCACTGTGTTTAGGAAAGAGTTCAAAGCCAAGTCCTTTAAAAGATACTCATACAAATATGCTTCCTTATTCCTAATGAGATTTGATTTGTTCTCAATTTTACATTCGGCATCTGCAAGTATAATAGCTTCAGGTATAAAATGTTGTCTTTATTTCTAAAGCGGGCAATGCCAATGTGTGGAAATGTTGCTATTTAGGTTTGTGCTGTTCTGAAAATGGATTATAAGCACTTGAGTTCCCACAACAGAGGATTTCCAAGGCAGCAATCCTGGTCAGTTGAAAAGAGCTGGACTAAGCATCCAAGCTTTGAAATAGGAGTGATGGAGAGCACAGCAATGGTGAGGTTTGTAAATCTACCACAAATTGCATCATATGCCATATGTGAAGAACTTCTACATTAGAACAAACAACTTCAGTTTCTAGAGACAGACAAGGCAGATTGCAATCGCAAATCCTTTAATCATTTAGCCATTTATATTCCCTTCCTTGGACAGTTCCATGTACCAAAATGCCTGCTCAAGAGGCTTCTTATCTGAGCATTCAAAGGGCAGGGATAGAAAAGGTCTGTTTATTTGCTTTTTAAAACCTCTCTCTCAATCACAAAATAATGTATAGCTGTTTTAAAAGCCCGCTCCTTACAAAGTCAACTATTAAAAGATTTCAAGTTTGTCACTTTAAGAAACTGCAAGTTAGCCGTTTCCCAAAAGGCAATAATTTCAATTAGCTAAGTTGTTTCGGTAGCCAATATGGCAAGCACCAAATATTGTTGAACCTGTGGCCCTCCATGTCACTGGAATACAGCTTCCATCATCCCTAATCACTGCTCATGTTGGCTAATGGGACTAATGGGAGATAGAATCAAACAATATCTGGAAGGTCCCCCATCAGTACCGTGATTTAAAGGGTAGCCAAAGTACCACCACTCACATTTTTTTAATATTTAAAGCTCAAAGTATACATGGGTTGGAATGCAAAACTATTTCCAGCAATTATAACAAAAATATCTGGGGTCATTTTAGACATCAGATAAATAGGTTGCATGCTACATAAAGGAAACCAGCAAAGCTATGTATGGGTACAATCCCCAGTGAAGAGGTAAGGCTTCACATCCCAAGCAGGGAATGTCAAAGACACCAGAAAAATCTGCACAGGAATATCCAATTACATTAACTTCCTCAATCTCCTTGCTTACATCAATTCATTTGGTTATTGCTTTTTCAACATCTGAGCGTATTAGGGAAAATCCTACATGGCAACAATATAAGACTAAACTCTAGAAGCAGAGAAAGAAGTTCAGCTGAAAAGAGTCAAGACAGACTTTCTGCTAGGTAATTATCGAGCTGTTTTCAAACTAAAACTAAATCAGTTCTTGTCCCATCACAAAGGAGTGAAGGCTGCTAACATACTAACATACATGAAGAGCTATGTGCATAAATATATATTCTCCTTAGAGATAGTTGCCTGAAAAAGTTTAACTGCAACTCTGATTTCATATTTACCAAGCATTGTACTAAGTCATACTAGGCGGCCTGAAAATTTTATTTTGCTGTATTATTAGGTTATCAAGCAATTTTATTAAACAACTCATTTTTTAAGGATAAAGGGAAAACTTTCCACCCCACATCACTGGGGTTTCTGTCAGATGTTGGATGGTGGGTCCCATCCCTCTTTGTACCTGTACTTTGTACTCAGGGTGGGCAGTGATTCAGTTAGCTACACCTTTTTGTAGGAAGCAAGGTTATCTTTTGGCAGAAGCTGCATTCTATGCAGAAAGTGCACCCGCCATACCTTTGAATGTAATTACGTACTGTGACTGTATTTCCTCACCATTCTCTTCCCATCCCACTTTTACACTTTTGAAAGAAATACACTTTTCATCACCTCTCAAATTACACCCTGCCTGGCTTGGCCTCCAGTTCACTTTTAAACATATGGACATCATCTCTTTCCAGGAGGAAAAATTAGTTGCCTGGAATAGGCAGATATGCAATGCGGCTACAGCTTCAAAGAGTGCTTACCACAAGAGTGGCACAGCGGCCTACTGTCAACATCAAATTAAATGGCCTTGTGAGTGCTGGTTACAGGGACACATCCTTCCGAGAGAATGCAATACAATTTTAAATGTATGCCAGGGGCTGCATGGTTGTGACACAGCATAAGGTGGAATGGCAAACAAAATCAAAGTTAATTGGATCCAGACAGTCCAGGCAGCAAACGAAAGGCTGTACTAATAATTCTACTCACTATTCTATTATGCTGAGGTGATGTACTGCAGTGGCTAAGAGACAGCACTATGAACCAAGAAGTCCAAAGACTGAAACTTACCACGTCATGCACATGAGGGTTAAGTGCCTCACTCTGACAGTAATGGTTCAGATTCAACTTTTCACTGGTCTTGGGGAGGGGGGGTGTATCTGAACTCTACTTGAAGCTTTGCCTGAGCAAAATAAGAACACAAGTACATGCCTCCCCCCCCCAGGTTGCCATGATTCTACAGGGAGTGTTCAAGAAATCTGATGAAAAAAGGCTAACAGGATCTCAAGCAGCGCAGCATGGGAGGGAGGCAGAAAGCAGATAACAATCTAACTTCAACATTTTTATCCTGTTAAATCTTCTCCTTTGGAAGTCCGCCATGGTCTTCAGCTTAAGCTTCCACAAAAGCAATTTCACAGCCAAAGTTAAAAACTTTGGCTTTGGGCAAAGTTTTGTTTCCATACAGTTCTATCCAGCCCCTTCAAGGAAACACTGGTGGGAACAGCCTCTAGATCACCATGGATATAGGGAGTTTGGAAAACTTAGTTCTGCTTATAAAAGCTGCTTCCTGAAAGATTTGGCAGACACTACACATAGCTAATCTAGAGGAGCTCATTTGTTGTTTCAGCTCTCTTTCTTTCTTGGGGTCTCCCTCTTTCAATTTCCCTGCCAACCCACCTTTCATCTGCAGAGCATTCTGCACAGTTGCTTGGACATTCAGAAGAGGGCATAGCCTCTTATTCTACCACAGCTTGTGAGCAGAGTTATGTATTTTGCAAGTTCATGACGTAAAAATAAACTATACATACCTACGACCATTTTAGGCTGAAGTAGGTTTGAGGTCCTGGTTAGGAAACAGATGTTAAACTACAACAGTTGTTTAATTAAACCAGGATGTAAGTACCAAGAATGGGAAGAATCACAGGGAGAGGCAAGGAGGGAGTACATGGTCTCATCACTCATCTCCAGCTACTGAACTAAGGTTCAGAAAGCCAGAAACTGAGCATCTGAATCAGGACAGAGGCTATTAAAAATAAATAAATCTACAGTTTGATATAATTTGTCCTTCCTGTGTGGGTACCTTACAAAGCCCTTTAGGAGCTACTTCACACTGCTCCTTTAAACCTCTGAAATCAGGGCACCTTAGAAAGTCTGCTCACTTTGGTTGCATGTGCCTTCCAGGGCGAGAGGAGAAATAAGCCTTTTTCAAACCCCTGAATGGACCTTTGCAGAACACCACATAAGGTGACAAATGCGTGAGACAACCTACCTGTCAATCATGTGATGTCATGAAAGTATCATGAGACTGATGAGGTCAAACCTGATAAAGGTTCCCACCCCTGCCTTACATGATCAATATCCTATCACATCATAATAATTTATTGGTCTGTGAAGTTTCCTGGTACTGTTAGGATGGATGTTAGCTTATTGTGTGACCTCCAGGTCTGCTGGAAATGTCAAATGATACTAAATCATTTCACCATCATTTCAAAAGGCTTGTCTACTATTTATTTGAACTTTGCTTAGCCCTAAAGCAGTGTGTAAATGGAGTGAGAATAATGATGCAAAAACTTCAGGGTATTTTACCTTGATTCATGTTTCCATGGATTTTTCAAGTAGTTTGCAGTTTTTTATTCTGTGCATCTAAGAGCTCCGAGCAAGAAATGGCATTAGATTGGTCAAAGGCTTGAAATACTACCTTCTGCATTTCCAAACAATGCCAGAGCCATCTGGGTATTAAAAGCAAACAAATAAACAAACAAACACCTGTGGCATTAGAAAACATAACCCTCAACTAAAACCAACACATCAGGACTCTGCTGGTCTGAGCTGTTATGCACATGAACAGTTTTCATGATTCGTAGAGAGAATTTTCTAATATTCCTAAAGAACTAAATATTGTTGAATGCCAACTGCGCAAGATACAATATTTCATACCAAGTATTTCCAACTTTCCTCTAATCAAAAGAGGCTGCCTTGGATCTACAGACTACAAAGCCACCTCCGGAAGTAGCTAGAGAAAAACTCTATATAGTGGTACCTTGGTTTACAGACTTAATCCGTTCCAGAACTCCATTCTCAAACCGAAACCATTCTTAAACTGAGGCGCGCTTTCCCTAATGAGGTCTCCTGCCGCCAGTGGCCTTCCACCGTTTGGATTCGGTTCTTACACCAAGGTAAAGTTTACAAACCGGGACACTACTTTCGGTTTTGCGGAGTTCATAAACCAAATCGTTTGTAAACAGGACTGTTCTTAAACTGAGGTACCACTGAACTCTTGCAACTTCAAGAAGATTTTGTAATGCACATCTGAACAAGGTCAAACCCACTCTCTGATAAACTTCATTCTTATAGAAATGGTGAAACAGCACACAAGAGAAACCCCTGTTTATATCAATGTTTAAGGCACAGACCTCTGCTATGTGTTGCTGCCTAAATAATAGTAGTGTCCTCGTTCTCATAATGGTTGCTCAGTCTTTTTAAAAATGCACATCTATAACATGAGCAGTGAGGAAAGGAACAGGGAATGATTTCCATTACAGAAACAGTTTTATGGTAGCATTTAGAGAACTTTTTCAAATCTGAATACCAAAGTCTTTCCTAATGATTTCAGAGGTAATCCCACACTAAAAACTAAATCTTCACTAAAAAAAAAAAAAGAGGGAAAGAACTGATTGGGTGTTGCTATAAGAAACAAAACTAGAACCAATGGCATTTATTCCCCACAGAAAAATATTTTGCGTGCTGAATCAAAAATGCTTCCTTGGTTCCTATCAAAGGCCTCAAGTCTGAATGTGTTATAGTTTTGTGAAGAATGCTAGAGGCAGCTGGATGGGGAGGATCACTGGAAACATTTTTTTTTTCAGGCGACAGAAACCACAATGTATAATGTTACCAATCAGGGCTTCCCAGAAAGCAGCATATTTGAAACAGAAAGCAGGAGCCAAATACCCACACTGGTAATGAAATTCAAGCGCTAGTATGCTATTGTGAGTGGGATGCAGAAAAAGCAAATTATAAGGGTGTGGGCGTGTGTGTGTGTGTGACCATTTTAAAAAAGGCGGAACACAGATAGGACTAATTTCTCCATAATATTAACCATTGGGCTACATGCTTAATATGCTACTCCTCTGGGCCAGATGTCTCCCACCCCGTTCCCAAGCTTCTTCTCGGGGGAGAGTTGGAAGGGCATCCAACATAAACATTTCTGCTGTACATAAGCTATTCTGTTTCTCCCTCCTCTCTTGAATTTCCAATCCATTTGGTCTTGGAAACACAGGAGGGTTGCTCCAATGGCTTGCATAAGGAGAGATTTAGAATGCTGCAGGGACATGGCCATTGACAGTGGCCAGGATTTTGCTCCACCTCAGGGTTTGCTCCTGCCAGAGGAGCCAGGATGAACTCGGAGAGCTGCGCAGAGTCTGCAAGCCTGAGTTGGGCTTGCTGATTTGGTAGGCGCAGATCGGGGTGCTTGATCTTCCCATGCCAAAGGTCCCCTGGCCCCTGGCTGACAAAGGCTGTGCTTAGCCAGGAAAGATCTCCATCCCGGTGGCCCAAAGCATTTGTGAGCCTGGGAAGCTGGTAAAACTTATCCAGCTGGGATTAAAATCCAAGCTAGAGAATGATTCAGGGTCTTGTACAGCTTCCATTCCCTTTGGAACAGACTTTTAAAAGCTCCTCTGAGTTCAGCTTCAGATAACTTTGCCATCATCCCTGCTTTCCAGTGTAAAAATATTTCATAAAAAGAAAGACACGGGAAGGCATTTAGCAGGCAAAACACACCAGTCAGGGCAACCTTTCTGGAAGTGAGCCTTCCTCTGCTTTCCAAAAATAGGTTGCAATGCTTCAGAAACAGAATGAAGCCGAAATGTAATTCCTGGTTTTCCAAGTCTTGGATGCTGTCAGTTGGGCCTGGTACTATGCTCCCTGCCCCCCACCCCACCCCCAATCCCACTCTGCTGGAATGAAAAATTGCACAGCAAACTTTTTTTCTTTGCATCCAAGCCAGAGTTAGGCTTGTTTTGCTGATACCACAATTTATGGAACAGCTGGAACCAGAATGCACCTCCCGGAAGTAGCCATGGTGGTTGCTAAATTGCAATTACACCCACGTATACAAAAGGCACTCAGGTGCAAAATCGAATCTTTTAAAGGGCTTTACCAGACATACGAGCCTAAATGACTCCCTCCACCTTAAGCAGCAGGAAAATGGTTGAAATTTGTGGTGCTATAATGAAATCATGAAGTAGCAATTTTAGGGGTTCCCATTTACTTGCTCTCTCCTAAACCTAAACCCCTCACTGACCATATCTTTAAAAGCTTCTGTGTTTTCAGCACCAGATGTAGCAAAATTTCCCTTGCTGACCTTCTGCTAAATCATCTCCAGTATCAGCAAGGAAGAGGACAGGTAAGGGGAATCGGAGGATATGGGAATTGTGAGAAAGGAGTTAGGAAACTACAACCGGGAATGAAGAAAACTAACTTTTGTATGTATTTAAGGAATTTTTTACACTGCTTTTCAGAGTCTTCCAAAGGCAACTTACAAAAGTGACTGTAAGCATAATGAAATTTAAACGCATAAGTAAGAATACTCCAATGCCAAACTCAGAACAGCAATTTTAAAAGCACAGCATGCAACATCTCAGTAACATGTGAACTAAAACATCCATTTAAAAAACCGGAGCTATGCATACCATTTCCAGGGGAAAGCTCCAAATATGTGGGGTCACTACTCAGAAGACCCTCACCATGACAATGAACCTGAGAGCAAGTCCTCTGGCACTGATTTAATGTGCCAAACATTTAGGATTTCAAAAGGTCAGTGCTTTAAGCCAAGTCCAGAAATGAACAGGCCACTATTGTTACTAATATTGCATCAGTTGAATTTGTTGAATAATCTTTGAAGACAGCCCTGTGTGAAGCAGTCTAGTATGGCTAACTGAAGCCTGTGCAACTCAGGCAAGATCTGCTTTTTCCAAGATCTAGTTGGCCAGATGCAAAACTCCTGCTAGCAAAAGGCTAGCCACCAGTAGCACCTGTACTATCATATATGGTCTGGGTCAATAACTTTGAAGAGTGTGAAGCCCTGTCTAAATTATTGCATACCTCCATCCAGAACAGCATGCTTCCTAACCCACAGAACTTCTCCCAAATTTAGCTTCTGCCTTCAGACACATATCTGTTCAGGATTTCCACAGCTTCCTTTGGGATGAGCAGGTGGAAAGAATAGCATGCCATTTGCAAACCAACAGCATTGCAGCCCGACTGCCTGGATTATTAATATTATTATTATTAATATACCACCCTATACCTGGAGCTCTCAGGGCGATTCACAGACCAAAACCATCATCTCCCAACATCTGATGCACAGAGAGATTTGCTTCATATATAGGATGAATCCTTTCAGCCCCTCGGTGTAGTAGTCTCAAGTTGTACAGCCCAGCCATAGGCTTATTTTATTTTTATATAATGCTCCCAATACATAATTTCAAGGCAACTTCACAATTTCAGCAGTGCAACATTTAAAGCAATGAAACATGCAACATTTAAAATATTTTACTATCCGTGAGAACTAGGTTTAAGATGTGCATCAGAAAAAAGGCTGTGAAGCAAAGAGGGGTTTACACCAAAACAGCCTCCCTTCGCTGAGCTTATCAGCAGTCACTTAAAGACACACACAACTCCCTCTGTGAATTAACGGGAAGGCTCCATTTTGCATGACAGATGCAGAACAGCATCCACCAACCTGTTAAAATGTACACTTTTTCTGGGTTAAAAAAAAAGTGTGTTATTCTTCTGCATGTTTCAAGAGTGGAAAAAATGAGGAGGCAGCTTTGCTACTGGGTGCAGCCATGCCTGGCTTTGGGATTACTTTTTATCCTGTGTGATAAAATCACATGGCTGTGTGATTCATGTGCTAGCTGCTTCAGATTTATGCTCCTGCTATCCATGTACAAGCCTTGAGTGACACTCTAGTGGTTACACACAGATGTTAAAAGCATATGGGGGATAAGATGGTACCTCTGCAGCATCCTAAAGGCCATGAGATGGAAATCCCACAACACCACCTTCTGAACTTGTCCCTCAAGAAAGAATCAAAGCCACCATAACACTGAGTCTCCAAGTCTCAAGCGAGAGAGATGGACCAAAATGATATAATGGTAATGAAAGTTGCTGAAAACTCCAGGAAAACCAACAAGGGTTATCTCCCCATCTACCATTCCCTGATTCAAGTCACCCACCAGTATGACCAAAGTTGTTTCATCCCAAGATCACACCAGAGACAAGACTGAAGAAGATGCAAATGATCAGTATCACACAAGACTTTTCCAGGGCAGCACTTGTGCCTTACAGATCTTTAAAAGAGCTGTTAATCTCCAAAGGGAAAAAGCCAGAACTTCTCCCCCCCCCCCCCACAGCATACATATTTTAAAAAGCTAGTCAAAGTGATTCCACTGAATGAAATACAGTGGGAAGCCTTTAGCTAAAGGAGTAGCAAGGAGGAGCTATTGCTGTTTTTAAAAATAAAAATGGTATGGACGTGAGGAGTGTGTATCTCTCAAAAGTTGAGCCAGTAGCAGGCACTAGGCAAATATGTCCTTCACACACTCACAATTACATTCCAGGCTGAACTTAGAACAGTTGGCTAAATTGGCAGGGGCAGGAGGGGTAAGCAACAGCAAACTGCAATTTGGATTGAGGGGAAAGAAACAGATCCACAAGAGAAGTGACATATTGATAAAATATCTGAATCCTCAGCAAAAAGTCCTAATGATACAAAAACCACTGCGTATAACCTACACACAAAATGAAACAAATAAATTGCAGGAGAGGTCCAAAAGGAAAGGCTATCCTCCCAACAGTAAACACCTCGGGAGATTTTAAAACTGCAGCAATCAGCTACTCTAACATATCTTCAGTTCCTTTGCCAGCAATTGGCTATAGCATTTGGCATGTCGGCTCTAGGGCTCCCCTCCGTACTTCTCCAGGCATTTTCAGAGACCACAGTAGTGTTCAGATTCCAAAAAGCAGTAGAACAAGGTATTAAAGAAAAGCCCACATGTGTGCCACTATTCCTTTAAGATGATTATGGTGGTGATAATGATCATCATCAATCTCATCCACCCATCTGAGTGGATTGCCCCAGCCACTCTGGGCAGCTTCCAACAAAATATTAAAAACACAATAAAACACCAACCATTATAAACTTCCCTGAACAACTGTGGGTACTGAACACATAAGTTTATGTTTGAAGTATATTGTTAGTGTCTTGAGGTGTCCTGTTATACAAAGGGGAGAAGGGGCAGCAAAGAAGAGGCAACATCCCAATGGATAGATCTGTATTGTTCACCTTACAAACCTGGCAGAAAGGGTATGATTCTTTGCTTAGGGTCCTTCTGTCCTCCTTCCATTGGGAATTTGTCCAACATTTGCATCTTTAAAAAAAGGGGGAGAGAGAAAATTAAAAGAACAGCAAAAGGAACACCTAACAAATGCAATAAAATAAAATAAAATCCCACATTTTTTTAAAAGAGAGAGAGAGTGAGAGAGAGAAATGAGGGAAAGTACAAGCAATATAATTTAACATTAACTATCATTATTTGACAATGACAGCCAAAGAAGAAAGCCAAGCATGAGATTGGGGAGGGAGGAGATTCCACAAGAGTGCAGAATAATGTTGCTGTTTTGGAAAAGTTTTGGAGTTGATAACAAGCTCCCCCATGATGTTGGTAATGTGGGTTACTTTTCTTTCACAAAGGGTTCAACAAACATGCTCCCTTGAGTAGCCATAATGACTAGTTAGCTGGCCTCTAGAGAGTAAGACTAGCCCAAGGCTTCCTCATCACAGTAACACTAGAGAGTGGGGGGGATAGTTCTCCTACCTCTGCTTTAAAGATGACCAGACGCCTGTTATTTGTTTAAGCTCTGCACTTGGTGGGTGCCAGAAGAGCATCAAAACAAACTTTCACCTGTCTTCTGCAGCTCCAAGGTGAAGAAAGAAGGCAGATAACTATTTGTCATGCCTGCTAGGTGGCAGCTGTGGGGTTCAGGTTGCTCAAGAGGGGGCAGAGACACAGCAAGGTGGGCATGCCTCTACTACTGACTGTTTCAGCAATGCTTCAGCTTGTCTCTTGACTTCAAGAGGCAAGTGTTTAATGGGTATGACACAAGGTTTGAGACCCCACCCACTGTGTTGAGGGAATGTCCTGGAGACAACACATTTCTGGCTGGCCACCAAGACCATGCAAAAATTCTCAACCCCTGATCTCACACAACGATGAATTCAAATTTGCAAGATTCTTATCTGCACCTTCTGATGCTCATGTCAATAGAATCAAATCCTTCAAAACTTTTCAGAGGAGTTATACATCCCAGGAGTTTTCAACATGAGGGTGGGGTGGGGGTGGGCATGGCTCAATGGCAAAGCGCATGTTCTGTGTGCAAAAGGTCCCAGGCTCAGTCCCCCAGTATTTCTGCATAGCAGGACTGGGAGAGGCAGAAATGCTGGAGCGTCTGTGTCAGTGGACAACACTTAGCTAGATGGACTGGTGATCTGATTCAATTATTAAGCAAGTTTATTTCCAAACTGTTATGAGATGGCACCACAGTGAATCATCAAGCAAACTTGTAGTACAGTCAATACACCATGTTCTGAGAGGAGTAGAAGCAGAACACTAAACAACCGTAATAAGAATACGGCTTGTCAGGAGTTCACTTTGAACCTTTGAGGGACAGCCAGACACATCCAAAGAACTCTGACCAAGGCAAGACTCCTCACATCTCAGACCCTGCCCTCCAGACAACAGAACTTCAATAAAATCATGATGCATCACATGAAAGGCAAGAATTGGGGGGGGCGACACACCTCAAATTAAGAAAGTTTCCAATTTCAGCCAAATCAATGAAACAACGATCACTACTTGCTTTCTAGAGCTCATTAGGGAAGATACTAGGTCAATTTCCCAGGGCAGGGAGTCCACAAGAAGTGCATCATCATTGTTCTTTAAGTCCCTGCAATTTTCAGCATAGCACCACTTCGTCTACAATGCATATTCACATATGTGCGTCAAAAATATGGTGAACAGTAGAACACAGGTATGTTTTGTATGTAATATATGTAATGTAATATTAAGTATATATTGTTTTGTAATGTATTGATATTTATAATAAAATGATAAAAAAACACACAGGTAGCTAAGAAGCTGGATTCCAATGGCCATCAGTCCCAGCCACTATGGGCAATGGTCAGAGATGTTCCAGTTGTGGCCCAGCAATATCTTGGGGGGGAGGCACCATTTTTACTATCCTTGCACAAGAGCCATTGCTCAAGTTGTTTGGGACTATCATACAAATCTGGTCAAGTTCCTTTCGTTCCTCCAGTGCTGGGGCGGTAAACAAATCCTTCAACTGGTTAATCCAAAAACTTTAATTCATTGCAGAACTGTAGCTTTCTTTCATCCACAGTACACTGAAGCAAGCAGTGATTACCTCATTAATATCATTCCCTTCCTGGAAATCACCCAGACTGGTGACTTAACAGATGCTTGCCTCTGTCAATGATAAAATATGAATCACTGGCTGGACACTGAAGGAACTGCTGTCATCAGAAAGTGGCAGTGCCACAAGTCCACCCTTGCCAGATCAGGGAGAAGAGCCCCTACTTGCAAAAAAACAACAACAAAAAACCCACATCTTCATCTAAGGTGTAAACACATTCAACAATTCTACAATTGATACCTTTTGGCAATGGTATCAGGCCAACACAGATCAAAACAAACCAGACAAAAATGTGTAACAATTGGAAAGCATGAAATGGAGATGCAAACAGAATGGAGACAAGCAATGTCAATGGGTACAATTAATACAGAGCAGAGAAAGGATATGAACCCCAACTCTAAATATTTGCTGACCCTCCCATTCACTGTTACAACAGTATGCACACTTTACTAAAAGCAAATTCCACCAAATCAATTCCCCTTAAAGTCATTCCTACATCCAGTATTCCTCTGCTTCCCCTTCCTAAACAAAGAAACCCTCTTTTCCAACTTTTTACACTTGGTAAACAACCCAGGCAGGTCAGCTCCTTCTGCCTCTGCCCCTTCAGCCCCGTTCTCATTAAAGTTGCCTCGGGATGAATCAAGAAGACTGAAGTTGGGTTTCCAGCAGAGGGAGAAGCTTTCCCTGTTTTAAACTACCATGCTAGTCAAAAGCCTAGTGCTTGCCGATCAGAAGGTCAGCGGTTCCCTGTGCCGGGGTGAGCTCCCGTTGTTCGGTCCCAGCTCCTGCCCACCTAGCAGTTCGAAAGCACATCAAGTGCAAGTAGATAAATAGGTACCACTCCGGAGGGAAGGTAAACGGCGTTTCCGTGCGCTGCTCTGGTTCGCTAGAAGCAGCTTTGTCATGCTGGCCACATGACCCAGAAGCTGTCTGTGGACAAACGCTGGCTCCCTCGGCCTATAGAGCGAGATGAGTGCCGCAACCCCAGAGTCGTCTGCAACTGGACCTAATGGTCAGGGGTTTACCTTTACTAGTCAAAAGCCAGCTGTCCAACAGCATCTCAGAAAATGAGCCAGATTCTCTCACTCATTCGTCCTCCGTGATCCAGGGGCAGCAGCAAAGTGTAAAGCCCATCTGGTGCTTCAGAAGGAACATGCAGGGAATAAGCCAGCATCTCATAGCCTTAAATTACAGCTGCCATCTTGAGGGCAAATGTCCAAAAAAACAGAATCCATACTTATTTTTAGTATGCTTTTCCTCCTGCCCTCAAGATGGCAGTGCAACGTGCCATGTAAACTGATGCATCCAACAGGTTACACTGGCCATGCCTGGATTATTCTGAAGCACTGCAAAACAGCATGCATGAAATGCTGAATGAGACATTCAGTTTTATGTAGAAGACACCGCAGGGCTCCAAACAAAGACACAGATAGCATAACAAAAGTGGAAGGGCTCAAGTGCATTCTCCACAGGAATATATTTGAAACAGACATGCAAAGTATTTGTTTGCTTGCTTTTCTGATTAAATAAGCCACCACCTAAACATTAAACATGCCATTTTCTAAAGACAATATACTCTCCCTGCTAGCTGTAGTTACTGCACGGGTTTTGGTGCTTGTAGCAAGCCCCTGTTGCTCAATTTTGCTGTAGAATTAAAGGATTATGCAACATTATCATCTGCTCACATTAAAATTGTGCTGGGCCATTTTATGGAGAAAGGATGTAAATGACTAACACACTTCCTGTATGGGAAGGCCGTTAACATTTACAGCAGACACTGGGTAAGTGATGAACTATCACTCATCACCACACTGATCCTTTGCGTAGGGCAGAAAGGAGAGACATTAACATATCTCTTGAACTGAAGGGGCGACAATGATTTTGGGACGGGAAGTTCATGATTACATCACCACCACCAAGCTTTTCACCATATATGACAATTTTCCTTCTTTCTGAACTGTGTTCCTTGCAACAGAAGACGGATAACAGACATTGGCTGCTGTGAATGACAGACCATCAACATGTAGCAGCATGGAGCTGGCTTTCTAAATTGGTGGTCCTGGCAGCTGCATTTGGTCCTTACAAGGGAACAGGCTGAGGAATGGACTTTGGCCATTTTGATTCATCAGCACTCAGGAATTCCAATGCAGAAACAATCTCATACTTGGTGATGGGTTGCACTGACTCTTTGCCTATGTAGACCATGACCACATGTCCATCACATGAAACAGGTAACCGTTAACAACAAGCAACAGGCATAAAAACATAGTGATAAGACAACCCAGGTTCATATATGCTGAAGAATAAGATCAGGGATCTTAAAAACTGGAGAACATTTCAATCCCTTTGCAGCAAAACAAAATGTCCCTACATTTCCACAAGAAGCTAAGAAATAATTTTGACTCAAGAGGCGTTTTCCAATTTCTAGTCTACTAACATCTGACCTAGTAACCAAGGGAAAAGCAAAATCCGCTCTTGCCAGCCGTTCATTTAGTTGTTTCTTTTCCCTTAACATAATTTCAAATCCTCCATTCCAGTTTCAGAGCTGCAAGGCTGTGTCATCAAGGACAACCAAACAATCTGTGACCAAAAGCCTGGAAACCTCCAGACATCCAGCCTTGTTCCTTTATAACACAAAACACCTGTGGCGGCTATAGACAGCTGAGATACTGTTTTGCTTGGAGTGGATTATTAGCTTTTCTTCAGCCACAAGCTTATGTTTTAAACTGCTGAATGGGAAGAATGCTGCTCTCCCCACCCCCACCCACCTACCCGGTCCTGTGTGATGTGGCAGCCCACTGCCGGGACGCAGGCAGAGTTGACTCCATGTGGTCTGTCTGATTTACTCACTTGCTCACTCATTCTTCAAATAGCAGGGTGGGGGTTGGTCAGGGACCTTTTAAAGTCCTCTGCCGGTTATTCTTATGTCCTTGGATTACTTAATGCACAATTATTCACTAAATAAAAGCCCACAAGCTTGTTATGATGATACCATAAGGTGTAAGGTGATGTACTTGCTATCAAAGTGGCAACTCTTTAGTTGGCAACGACCACTCCCAAGGTTTTGCAACACTTTGCTCCCTGATTGTGCATTCAACATGGCAAAATTTGCCTGAGTTTGAGCACTGAGAGCATGTGTGGACGTAGGAAATTGAAGAAATAGTTTTAAAACTAGGGCTTCAGGTGTCAGTTAGCAACAAGTTGCGATAAGCACTGAGGAAGGGTGTGCTGGGATGAGACTGAATTTTATGAAAACCTATTTTCAATGTTCCTCTTCTATCAAAACTTTAGGACAAAGAAAGCTTAGAGCCAGCATTATACAGCTTTAGAAATTTACAGTTGTTCCTTCAGCAGACCAAGTGCAACTGTGGAACCAAGTTCAAAGATAAAAGGAAGTCCCACCCACTGGTCATAACGCAACAGGGAATGTGCCAGAGTCATAAATCAGAGTGAACACCATTTGAAAGGGTGTGTGGTCAGGCTTTGTAAGTAGCAGTAAAATGACAGGAAACCCTTTGTACAACAATCTATACCTTTCAGAGAATAAGAAAGCGGAAATGTGGTGTTAAGTATGAGTGTGGGATGCAAGCAGGTTCTCTTCAACCTTTTCCAAAATTTGTTGCTTAGATCCCTCAAAGAAGGAATGATAGGAGTTAGAGATCAACATCAGCTGCAGGGCAAAGTGTTCCCTGTTCCTGCTTTATAGATGCTGGTCACATGCAAACCTGTTTATTGAACTTTTATTCCTATTTGCTTGCAGGAAGGTTATTTGACATTGAATCAAGCAACTGCTAGCCCACACTGTTCTGTGCACTGCCTCATCACTTTCCTTTTGCAAAAGTCCAATTTATTTCTGGAGGCAAGTGTTGTCCCCAACAGTTCTTTCACTAGGCTACTACTTTCACTACTTTTCACAGTATACAAAAGGGAAAGGCAAAAGGGAAATGAGTGTTCCAGTTTTCGAATGTTCTTTTGGAAGCCGAATGTCCGACGGGGCTTCCGTGGCTTCTGATTGGCTGCAGGAGCTTCCTGCAGCCAATCAGAAGCCGCACTTTGAAAGTTGAATGCTTTGGAAGTAGAATGGACTTCCAGAACAGATTCTGTTTGACTTTCAAGGTACGACAATATAGGAAAGCCTTTGTAGATCTAAAATGCAACATAGAGGAAATGCATAAGAATACACTGGACGGACAATTTTCCAACCAACTACATGCTCCATGTTTTTGAAATTACACGTCTGTTATATTCTATGTATTTGTCTATATACATTCATTCATTTATTCATTCACTGTAGCAAAAAGTACTCAGAATTTTCCAAAACTGCTTCGGGGGGGGGGGGGGAGTCATTAAAAAAACAAAAACAGAACCAGAAATCAAATGCTAGCTGGAGTCTCAAAGAATAGAAAATCAATTCACTAGTTCAAATAAAATGTAGGTTTTTTTCTCCCCAGGTTCATTTTTATACATAAACAATACACATAAAAAGGATTGTTAAAGCCATGCACAAGGATATGGCTAACTGCTTCCGCCACCTAAAAGGCAATTGAAAACCCTATGTACTTACCTGGGAGTAAGCACTACTTAACCAGTAGGACTTACATTTAAGTAAATATGCATAGGATTGCACTGTTAATGACTATAGTGGTAGGAGCCTATAGGAGAACACGGAGCATCTCATACATCGATGAACAGTAGGTAAAGCAAGTCAAAAATAGAAGCTATACAGGATGGCAACAGCATGAACACTGTAAGGAATTTCCTATGAAGTCACTGGAAACCTTATACATATAGCTATAAACTGTTCTAACTAGCTTAAGCATAAGAAAAATGTACAAAGACTGCAGCTGGAAACAGCAAAAAACAAATAGCATAAAGGCTGCCCCCAGAAATGCACTGGCAACACATTAAAGCCAACTTCAACTACTATACTGCACTGACCTCAGCTCTGACACCCACCCAATTAAATCTAATGAAAAGAGAAGTAAATCAGCCTGAAGCTGTTACAGTCCACAGTGGGGGTGGATGAGGAGATGTGGTACGGCTCGGGTGAGGCTGCCTATTCCAAAGTGCAGAAAGCAAACGGCCTTGCAATGTCTCCTCTTCAGCACTCTCCTGCTCAAAAAAGGCCTTTCGTCTTTTGGCACTGCTTGCTGTTGCTCCCCTTGTCATGCCTGCCATGGATTCACCAACAGCAAGAAGTTGGAGCTCATCTACAACTTTGCCCTGAGCTTTTTAGGCACAGGTCTGTGCTTTAAAGCACAGTGTCCAAGCACTTTTTCTTACTTACTTTCTTTCTGCCCTGGCACTTTCCCTGCAAAAATCCGCTCTTTAGCACTGAATCGGAACAAAAGGCAAGTCTGGTTTTCTGCAAGTTCCCCAACCATGCTACTAGTTGAAACCATGCAAAGACAATGAAGCCTGTCTGGTGGCACAGTGAAGGAGCAGCCACCATTGCAGTCTCTAGCCGTCTCAGGAAACTAGTTTGAAAGTATATGTATATAAAATTTATACTGTAAACCCATGCTACAAAGTTCTAACAGAAATGGAAGAAAATAAGCTGGAAGAGAGTTTCATCCTAATGAATGAAACCTCTAGTGTGCTGAGAAAAACAGTTCCGCTTTCTGTCATCTTTACTATTCTAACAGGTTCTTGGGAATTCATTTGAAACCCAGTTTATAGTTGCTTTGTGCTCTGAATGGGCTTATGATCCTTCTGCAGACTGCTATGGACCCCTCTCTCCCCTGGCTCTTACTATTCCCTGCCTTTGTTACCTGGGCTGAGAATGAGAATGTCAGGAGGGGGACTGCATAAAGTAGACCACAGGCACTACTCCCAGGAATGCTTAAGTCACTGGCTTGGGAAGCCTTGCTGGTTTAAAGAAAAAGGGTGGTGGGATGAGTAGGAAGCTGTTCCCTTTGCCAACTATGAACGTGCAAAAAGAATAAAGAAAGGGCTTGTTTTCAGGGGGGTGGAGAGTAGACTGTTAACGCGTCTCACCTACTCCTACCCCTACCATGAAGAGAATTCATGACTATTAATGAAGCTGCCTTGGGGGTTTAAGCAGTTTTTTTATACTACATTAGTAAAATAAACTCCCCAGTTAAGCTAACTGGGGAAAAGAGGAAAGAGAAGATTCAGGATGTAATCCTACAAACATCTACCTACAAGTAAGTCCCCCAGAGTTCAGTTGGGCAGACAGATTATAAACCAAGGGTAGGCAAACTAAAGCCCAGGGGCTGGATCCGGCCCAATCGCCTTCTCAATCCGGCCCGCATATGGTCCAGGAATCAGCGTGTTTTTACCTGAGTAGAATGTGTCCTTTTATTTAAAATGCATTTCTGGGTTATTTGTGGGGCCTGCCTGGTGTTTTTACATGAGTAGAATGCATGCTTTTATTTAAAATGCATCTCTGGGTTAATTGTGGGGCAAAACATAATCCGGCCCCCCACAAGGTCGGAGGGACAGTGGACTGGCCCCCTGCCAAAAAAGTTTGCTGACCCCTGTATTTTTCAGACATAATGTATAGTAAATAATTTCTAGAATATAGGATTGTATCCAATTAAGTTGTCTTGCTAGTGCAAGGACTCCTGCCTGTACAATGGGGCATCTTCTCCCTGCACCGTCCCAAATTTATTCTGGGGGCTCCCCAACCCTCCATATTAGATGGGGGGGTCATAAGAAGAGGAAGTCCCATTGAGCTGATGGAATTCCTTGTGCTAATGCAGTGACTTCATTGGTCACAGCCCCCTGTATATAGTTTTCACCACTTAGAATTACAATTAAGTGGTGTACAAATCTGTAACATAAAAGGAAAAAGTTACTAAAACTTTTAGAAGTTTTAGAATATTAATTGTCATTTATTTATCAACAATAGCAAACGTTGGCTTATAAGTATAATTTAAATTTTATCAATTTTTAAATGAGTGGCTTTGTCACATCAACTGAGATGTAAACAGCAAGAGGAAATTCTGTAGCCCTGTTAAGTACTAGCTTCATACCTGAAAGGCTAAAGCTGAAACAGGAAAAAAGTTAGACATGCCTCTCTCACCATCCCCCTCAGCAAATTGAGACTTTTTTCTTTATAGCCAAGAGCAGACATGCAGTTAGCTTCTGTTTTATGGAACTGGAGAGGAGACAGACATGGTTTTTTTAAAGACAATTTCTTTAGCAGAATCATCAAAAATGTCTGACTCCTTCAACTATACACCAGTACAGTATATAAAAGCCAGAGATAAAAGAACAGCATTGTACAGACGGCAATTGCCAGAAGTATCCCAGACTTGCCACAAAAGGATATTAGGAACAGTTCAACTGAGCCAGGATGCCATTATTAGCAGACTGAAGTCTTGTAAGAAGGCAGGAATACCTCATGTTATTTCTCAGTGGGGACCCAAACTGCCAGATGCACACAAAGAATCATTGCAGCCATTTTTTTGCAACTCAAAACATGGATGGGCCAACAAAAAAATGGCAATAACCATTCTTTATAACAAAATGAAAGCTCCCATACCTTTTAGGCAAACATTACATAGCTGATAATGAGCTTTGCCTTTCCCTGTAGCTGGACAATAAGAGACACAGCTGGGGACCAATTTAACGTAAGTAATAATTATATCTGAAAACACAAAATAACACGCTACTTGTTTCTAATTGGTACCCACCCCAATATAGTACTCTACTTCCTGAACAAAAAAAGCACCTGAACCCAGGGAGAGAGCACATGGACTGTGTTAGGGTCCAAGCAAATGAAATAAAAAGGCATGTACCTCCAATTATAACCCTTGGTACTCACATCCTATTCTACCTGTTGCAGTTCATAACTCACTCATGTTATCCAACTCTAAGAGCAGGCTCATGAAAAGCAGCTAAAACCGCCAGAAAACGCTTCTGTGCAGTTCCTTCTTGTCAAGCTATCTAACATGGTTAGAACAATTCCTATGCGGGTGCAGCGATCATGGAAGTGACCAGCAAGGTAAGAAGAGCCTTGCTGGATCAGGTCAAAGCCCAGCAGTGACCAGCCAGATGCCTCTGGAAAGCCCACAAATAGGACATGAAAGCAGACCCAAGGTGGATCCTATTTTTACAGACGTGCCACAGACCACCTGAGTGAACATGGAAAGCCCTTAAAACAACATGTTAAACCAAAAGGAATGTGTATGTAAATATATGTTTGTTGCTTTGTCCCAGTATCTCAAGTTGTTACAATTTTTTCTCCAGAAAGAAACATGAATTTCAATTAAAACAAGTGTGAGGACTAGTGGACAAACAAGATCCACGAGGACAGGTCACTGCTAAGAAGAAGAAGAAGAAGAAGAAGAAGAAGAAGAAGAAGAAGAAGAAGAAGAAGGAGTTTGGATTTGATATCCCGCTTTATCACTACCCAAAGGAGTCTCAAAGCGGCTAACATTTTCCTTTCCCTTCCTCCCCCACAACAAACACTCTGTGAGGTGAGTGGGGCTGAGAGACTTCAGAGAAGTGTGACTAGCCCAAGCTCACCCAGCAGCTGCATGTGGAGGAGCGGAGATGCGAACCCGGTTCACCAGATTACAAATCTACCGCTCTTAACCACTACACCACACTGGCTCTGGATATAGAGCAGGGGTTGGCAAGGTTTACCTCGCCTGGGCTGCTTCACTCCAGCAGAGATCCCTCCGTGGGCCGGAGCCCGTGCGCCCACGATTTCTACATTTGCGCAGACACGATTTCCAGCGTCTGCACAGATGCGATTTCCGGCGCCGTGGAAGTGAGTCCCCGCGCCATGCTGTGCCGGTTTAGTGCAGTGCGCGGGGACTTGCCGAGTGAGCGGCTTGGTTCCAGGGTGGCTCGTGGGCCGGTTAAACGACCCCCGTGAGCCGCTTGTGGCCCATGGGCCTTAGGTTGCCGACCCCTGATACAGAGATCTGATTTCAGCTGTGTACAACATGTCCCCTTCTATACCTGCAAAAAGTAAAGCTCTTCTAATCAACATGCAGTGTCTGGAACACCTTCCAGCTGCAAATGAGCATGTGAGTTGAAGTCTACAGAATGGGTAACAAATGCAAACACAAAACGGGGCAGTTACCAGGCATTTAAAACATCATACACAGGAAAAATAATCAATATGCCCTGCATAATTAATCACAGCAGACTACCATGGGTAAATTACTCTCTCTGGAAGAAAAATTTTGTGACAGAATGACAATGAAACAAAGAAGATAAATAGTCTTCCAGTCTCACATGCTTCCTTTCCACAATCCTACTATAATCAATGAACCTTTTCTCACAAGGCTGAGCCCTATAGTCACAAATACCTAAACTAGAAAATTCTGCACTTCTTCAACTGTGTCCCTGTTCAGTTGAGCAGAACCCAAACAAATGAGATTTCCAGAACTAGTCAACTTCTTAGGCATATAGACTGCTTTTATCCTGGAAGTTTATTCCTCAACACTAGTTCCTGCCAATAAATTTTGGGGGGGCCGTTTCACACGTGCATGTTAGTATGTGATTGTTCAATAACATATGACTCACAGCTGAATTTGTAAACAGACCGCAATATAAAACACTGTGTGACTACTGTGGTATTTGATCTGTGATGTGTCCGTGAATGAGCAAAGTTCTCATTGCAGTCCTCAAAGTGATAAAACATGCACGAGTGAACCAATTTTTTATTGTCTCACCACCCCACCTCTGTCAAATTACCATTCCTTCCTCATTTTCTAATTATTACACTGATTCTTAGAGGCTCAATTACAGCAGGGATGGAGGACCTCTGGTCTTCAGATGTTTGACTTCCAACTCCCATCCTCCCCGGCTAGCAATGCCAATTGTCAGAGATTAGGCTAATCTGTTACATCTAGGGATTTCCTAATTATCTTATATTACAGTATCTCACTAAATATTTTTTAAATTTCTTCCAGTCTTCTTGTGTTTCCTCCTCTTTCTGGTCGCGAATTCTTCCAGTCAGGTCAGCCAGCTCCGAAAAGTCCATCATCTTCATCTGCCGTTCTTCTATTGTCAGTATTTCTTGCAATTTCCATTTTTTGGCTAATAAAAGTCTTGCTGCTGTAGTGGCATACAAAAACAGTCTAACATCCTTCTTGAGCAATTTTGGTCCTGTTATTCCAAGTAGAAAGGCTTCTGGTTTATTAATAAATGCATTTTTCAACATTTTTCTTAATTCATTATAAATCTTTTCCCAGAAGTCTTCAACCTTGGGACACGTCTACCACATATGAAAAAAAGTGCCTTCTTTCTCTTTACATTTCCAACATAAGTTATCATTAGTGTGGTAGATTTTGCATGTGTGTGTGTTTGTTTGTTTGTTCATCACATCAAACTTGAAGTACAATTTCAGGTTTTCTGTTCTGCCACAGGACACAGAGAGAGTGAGTGTGTGTGTGTGTGTGTGTGTGTGTGTGTGTGTGTGTGTGTGAGAGAGAGAGAGAGAGAGAGAGAGGTTTCCCCTCTGCATCCCCTTCATGAGCTTAGTGGAGATCAATCTACAACATTATAGGAGCTTGTTAGCAAAAGGTAATCTCTGTTACAGTCTATTTCTTTTAGATTATCCACTTTGTAAAAGAACTGTATTCAGAACAAAACCACCTTTCTGTGTAAGGTCTCACAACATCCCCTGGCTCTCAGGCCATAGTAGCTACTCACACTTCACAGAGAAAAGACAGGAGCTTTGTTTTGTTGCCCTAGCATTCAGTCAGCCACAGGTTCTTTTCACGTGCAAACATCAGAGTGTACACATGCATGCATGTGCACAAACACACCCCTTCACAGGGAAGCCTTAGTTTGATTTTACACCTCCAATGGTCCGCCATGCTAAGAAAAAATACAGGGAGAATATTGCTCATCTCAAATATTTTGTAATATTTGTGTAAATATAATAGTATTATCTTCCACTGTGCACAGGTCACACATTTCTAGTGATCTTCACGCATTCAGAGTAATTCCCTTAGGTGCACCAAACAGACAACTTTAAACTTTTACAAAAAAAGGCCCATTAATTGGTTAAAGATTCCCGTTTGGGTATGGTAGAACGGATTTCACTAACAGTAAGTCCTTGGCTAACAAAAGCTGTGTGTCTTTTTCCTTCTTTCAAGTTCTTGGCACAGCGCTGTACCCACATGACACACCACACAAAACTTCAATTCTGGCATCAGTGCACAGAATAAATGGGTTGCTAGGATCAGCAAAAAATGAGCAATGCAGAGTGCATGAGGCAATTAATAATTTCCCTGAAAGCTTCACATTTTTCACTCCATATAGATCCAGTCATCAGACATATCATGGAAGCTAAAGAGAGATATTTATACTCCTTTTATTTAGACTGAATCATAGAATTGTAGAGTTGGAAGGGACACTGAGGGTCATCTAGTCCAACACCCTGCAATGTAGTAATCTCAACTAGATCGTACATGACAAATGGCCATCCAACCTCTGCTTAAAAACCTCCAAAAAAGAGAGGGTTTTTTTTATGAAGCCACACTGATTCTTTAGAGTCCTCCCATATTCTTTCTTGTTGGAATAGTCTGCATTTTGCCTTCAATATGTCACCTTAAAAAAACTCCCATCTACCTTGAATTCCCTTCTCTTTGAATATTTCTGACCATGTGATCTCACCCAGCACCTCCGTAAGCTTTTTGAAATCAGCCTTCTTAAAGTCCAGAGTACATGTCCAACTACACTCAGATTTCCCTTGCCTCTGAATCATTAAACCAAGGAGGACATGATCACTTCCTTCCAAGGTTCCCATGCTTAATATACCCACTGAGATCATTAAAAAAGTTTTTTATTGCTACCTTTGAAGGTGACCCAGAAACTACAACTAATCCAGAATGCGGCAGCTAGACTGGTGACTGGGGGCAGCTGCCGAGACCACATAACACCGGTCTTGAAAGACCTACATTGGCTCCCAGTACGTTTCCAAGCACAATTCAAAGTGTTGGTGTTGACCTTTAAAGCCCTAAACGGCCTTGGCCCAGTATACCTGAAGGAGCGTCTCTACCCCCATTGTTCTGCCCGGACGCTGAGGTCCAGCACCGAGGGCCTTCTAGCAGCTCCCTCATTGCGAGAAGCAAAGCTACAGGGAACCAGGCAGAGGCCCTTCTCGGTAGTGGCGCCTGCCCTGTGGAACGCCCTCCCATCAGATGTCAAAGAGATAAACAACTACCTGACATTCAGAAGACATCTGAAGGCAGCCCTGTTCGGGGAAGTTTTTAATGTGAGATCTTAGTTTATTTTTGGTCTTTGTGGAAGCCGCCCAAAGTGGCTGGGGAAACCCAGCCAGATGGGCGGGGTACAAATAATAAATTATTATTATTATTATTATTATTCCCTTGAAACAACTGTAATAAGTATCTCTGTGCTATTTACTCTCACAGAACAGGTGAGCTAAGAAAATGAAATGCAGCAGCTACTTCTATTGTCCTTCCATCCCTGTGCACACAAAAGAATTGAGCTTGCTACTAAAATAGGTGCTGTAGAATAGAACTTGTTTCAACAGGTCACAATTCACACATGTGCACAGGGCCAAAACCAAATCAAACTTTTCATTTGACAGCTGATAAAGATAAGGCATGAAAAGAAGAAGAAACTACCGTAATTCCCAGTAATGTTAATGTTTAATGTAACTCACTGTGTTTTGGAACTGAACAAAATTGACAAATATAAAAGACCATTATATCAAACAAAACAATAAACATGGCTGGTGCTACATTTTGAAAAAGGGTGTGCATAACGTGGCACCTTTTAAAAACGTAAGCAAAACTTTTTAGCTTGCCATTGCTATTTCTGTAATTTGTGTTTAAGGTTATTGACCATTTTCTTCTTTGACACATTATTATGAAAATATTTGCTTAAGAATGCAAAGTTACATATAACAAAAAGTAGTTTCGGTTGTGTATACTGTTTTGTTTATGTGCTCTGTTATGTTTGATAAGTAGTTTCTCTTCCTTGCATTTTGTTTTTGTTTCAGTACCTCTAGCCTGTTTTGTTTACTCTGCTTAGTTTTTGAGAAGGATAATTGATCTGATTAGTCAATAAAGTCAGCAAAGAATCTCAGATTTATTTTTAAAACCATAGTCCCTTTTGCAAGTGGCATTTAGAATACAACCAGGTAGCCGCCCTCAAGCACAAATTGTAGCATAACAGCATATGGTTCAGCCACAGTTTTTGAACCAGACTGTGGTGAGAAGAGAGACAGACTCTTTGGAAATTAAGTCAAATAAACCAAGCTACACCTCCAGACCCAGCCAATCCCTGCCCATGGTTAATGGACCTCTAGTAGGTAAGGGATGATGTGATATTGGTGTCTCTTACCATGGTCTGACACAGCAACTATAGAACATGAGACAGGTTTTTGCTGCCAGACTCCACTAGCAGTAGACTAGCTGGACTTCTTTGCTGTAGCTTTTAATTAAGTGGCTGTGGGGTTTTAGAACGTTAGCTCACACTTCAGGCTTCTTCAACTTAGAACCAGGGAGGGACAATTAAATTTTACTGTAGCAGTGTAGATCTGAAGGGCTTCTATATGCAAATATATCATACATCACACCCACAGAGAGTGAAGGAGGAAAGGAAATACTATCTCACTCTTGAAAGCCAAAAGCCTATTTTTAAAAAAGTTGCCCTATCTTCAGGTTCACAGCACATGTTTCAAAATAAGTATTTTTTCCAGTGCACACCCACCTTAGGTGATGGTGAGCTTCCACCGCATCACTCTCAGAATTGGGAAACAAACAAACAGACAGACACCGCCTTCTCTTGGATATGTACACAAAAGACTACTTCGTCAAGGAAGTCACACACAGAGAGAGACATTATGGTGCATCTTCTTTTAAAGGACAATTGGGAACCAAAACTACATATTCAGAATTTTCACGAATACGGGCTTCCTGGCACTTGGAAATTGCACTTTTTGACTTCTGTCCACATAAAAATAAAATAAAAAAAATCTACATACAAAAACAAGGAACGAGGAACCTCCTAACCTAGACTTCTCCCTGACATGTTAGCATTAAAAAGATGCAGAGACTTGTTTTTGTGTGGGTTTGTCCAAACAGGCAGTCCACACAAGCATTTGGAAGATGCTGCTGCAGATGTTAGGGCTCTGGAGTCCTGCCTGCATGCTAAGTGTTTTGCTGCTGATTTATCTCCAACCAAGGCAATAAACATGTTCATTTTGAGCCTACCTCTCCAAATGGTTTGGGCACCCCTAGGGTTCAGCTGTCTTTTGCACAAATAATACACACCCATGCCCACTGAACTGCTCTCCCTCTTCCAAAAGCTTGCCCTACAAATGCTGGTGCAATTATACAACAACGTGTTCCCGTTTTCTGAACAGGAACCTGCTTTCACATGTAAAAGGTTTTGAAGCTTATGTTGTTATGAATGCAAAAAGGGTACCAGTGACTAAGGCTATGGGTTGTAGACATTCAGTGGGCCTACTCTGAATAAGACTTGGTTGGCGATAACTCTATATCCCCCTCCCCCCGCACATACCATCATGTCCACCACCAGTGCTTTTTTTCTGGGAAAATAGTTGCCGGTGCTCACCATGAAATTGTTACAGATGTGTGGCATTTACTTTAACAACAACAACAAAGAGGTGCCAGTACTGTGTGGGGAAAAAGCACTGCCCACCACACATTTTACGCAAACACAGACAATCCATGCCCAGTAATGTGTTGAAAGCTGGATCTCTGCTTCTTTTAAATCTTCAGTTTAGGTAGTAGTAAATTGAGTAGTAGTAATTGAGCTGTTATGATCTTGGATTTAAAAAGAAGTTCCCCAAAGCTATGTACTTTTGATGTGTTTCTCTTATGTGCAAATTGCTTAGTGCTGCTTTAGCAAGCCTGGCACAGTTTTTTTATGGAGGTATTTCTCAAGTAAATTTCCAATAGTAAGAATCAGATGGGATACCATTCACAGCAGTATATACAAGCAGCAGATAGTTAGTGTGTCTGTCTGTTTAAGCCAATTCCAAACCTGGCTGGGCTACTTTGGCACCAGAGCATTTGGTAGAATGAGCTCTCTGCTAGCTGCCAATGCAGGAAAGCTATTAATGGATCAAGACCAAGGAGCCAGCTTTCAACTAGAGTGTAATACATCATTATTATGTATTCGGGAGAATTCAGGGGAAAGATTTCTAAGATACTGCAGCTCCAAAGTGACTGGAATAAGCATATTTATGACTATACCCCCTGCCCCTTTAAGATTTCTTATTTAGAAGATTACTTGCTTTATAGAACTTGCACTGCTACCATACTGGGAAGTAAATTACTAATATTGGGGTTCATCTACTTCACTACTGCCTTTAAGCCTTATGCATCCTCTTAAAATCTGAATAAATAAGTAACAAAACAGCATTTATAAATGAGGCACAGGTACCGCTACCAGTACCACAAGATAGTATCCCTGCTGCAAAGGGATTTTTTTGTAATGACTTAAATAATTAGTATTGCAGACTATCAAGCATTTGAGCTACTGTATCAAAATGATGACAGTAAACTCTTAGGCTAGAATAGCAAGTGTCAAGTCTACAAGAGATCCAGTGTGAAAGGTTTTTTATTGTTTTGTCATGGGGTGTGTGTGTGCTATATTATTTTGTTTATATGCTGAAAACAATGAGGTCACAGGGGCCTCATAGCCAAACTATGGTTACCATAAACAAGCAAGAATGCTGGTTCCCAGAAAGACATTCGTGGCTGTTTTACTGCTCCCCTAGTCCCACTGCTGCTGTGTTGGGAGGTAAGCTTAGTGTTTTGACCCCCACATCTGCTCTGGAGGGTTCACCCAACTCTCCAGAGCAGGTTTTTGGTATGTGAGGGCACTGTGGGGGCAGGTGGGAGGATAAAAAGGGGGCAATGTGGGGTAAATCTATTCCACAAGCAGGCTAACACTGCTGGAAATCATCCCTGGCATTTAAACTGAGGGGCAGTATAAACAGATGAGAAAAAGGTGAGTTGTGCTCATAAACCTTCCCAAAAGGTGAAGGCAGACTTGAGAGCATCTCCCAACCAGAGTCAAATGGGAGTTTATACCGAATAGTGCAGTGGGAAGTAAGAGAGATAAGGATAGGGAGAGACATCTCACTGCATCCCACCCCAGTGTCAATACTATGGTCACTGGAAGGGACGCACGCCTACAGTCAAAGAGAGAAGGATCAATTATGGGGCCTTCCTCTAGTTATTTCAGGTGGTATACCAACAGCAATGGCTGTAGTGAATATTATACAAGTACCGTATTTTTCGCTCTATAAGACGCACCGGACCACAAGACGCACCTAGTTTTTGGAGGAGGAAAACAAGAAAAAAAATATTCTGAATCTCAGAAGCCAGAACAGCAAGAGGGATCGCTGTGCAGTGAAAGCAGCAATCCCTCCTGCTGTTCTGGCTTCTGGGATAGCTGCGCAGCCTGCATTCGCTCCATAAGACGCACACACTTTCCCCCTTACTTTTTAGGAGGGAAAAAGTGAGTCTTATAGAGCAAAAAATACGGTAACATTAAGCTGTTAGGGCATGTCTATACAGTCTCACATGAAATATGGATTACTTGTCAGGATGTAACTCAAGGTGTGGACAAGGAGGTAAGAGTACGAAACAATCCTACCACCCTAATTCATACAAGTAAGGAAAAGAAAAGCCACTATGAATCAGATCAATGTTCCCCACCTGCACTCCCAAATTTAGCAGCAGTTATGGTAGACAGGACGTACAGCTGGCAGCTCTAAATGGGGGGCAACTGAGCTCTCTAACCAATTTTTAGTAGCAGGTGAAGAAGATGGAATTAAATTAAATTTTATACTCTAGACCTACATCCATGACGGTTTTCCTTTTTCAAAAAAATTAAAATAAAAACCCCACTCACAACAAAGCAGTGAATGACCAAAGGAAACCTGCAGCATAATGGGAGGCAGCCTCTTGGTGCACATTACAATTTATTCTCATGCCATGTATAAAGTTTCCACCATATCTGCCAAATGGATCAGTGGCCAAAATAACTTTGGCACACTGAATGCCCAACCCCATTTTGATGGCAAAAGCACTTTGCTTCCAGGGTGGTGACACGTACATCGTATCGCCTGGCACAGCACAACATGAGCTAATAGGAAAAAGGTCTGTTCTATGAGAACCATTCCTCCATCTGAAGCAACCTAGGAGAGAATAGCAAGTCCAGGATTTACAACACGTTGATCCAGATGTTTTTTTCTAAAACAAGAAATTATGGCTCACTAGTATAAGGCAGTATGAAATTGGGGGGGGGGGGGTATGAAAAGGAGAAAGAGGCCAGAAACCAAAAGAGCAAATACAGAGCAAACAGGATTCATGAAAGTACAAGTATCATAAAAAAATGATTTTGATTTCCATTGGAATTGGAGTACAATTCAGCAAGTTTGTTCCATTCAGGCCACTGATTACAATCTCAGCTACTTATCAAGTCTTCAGTGACTGCAAAGCAGCATTCACTGCCCCACCCCATTTTGTTTCAACAAGAACAACCATGTGAGGTAAGTTAGGCTGAGAGATAGTGACTAGATCAAAGTCACTCAGTCAGCATGGTAACTGACATCAGGAATCACAAGACAGAGAAACCAGAAGAAGAAGAAGAGGAGGAGAAGGAGGAGTTTGGATTTGATATCCCGCTTTATCACTACCCGAAGGAGTCTCAAAGCGGCTAACATTCTCCTTTCCCTTCCTCCCCCACAACATACACTCTGTGAGGTGAGTGGGGCTGAGAGACTTCAGAGAAGTGTGACTGGCCCAAGGTCACCCAGCAGCTGCATGTGGAGGAGCGGAGACGCGAACCCGGTTCACCAGATTACGAGTCTACCGCTCTTAACCACTACACCACACTTCACTCTCCCAGGACATTCTATACAAGATCTCAAAGTAGCTGTCTTTTTACAAAAGAATTTCAGAAATAGACTGGAAAGGGAAGTTGCTGAATTGCAACTTATTACCAACCTTAAAACCATGGAAAGACCTGGTCATTGGATTCTTATCTCATTATACATGATAAAGCTATTTTTAGCCATCTCACCCCTTGCTTTTTCCTGTAAGACCAATTGCAGTCGTTAACAGTCATCAACAGGTTTACCACACCTTATCAGCCAATCACCCATTCCCACCACCCTTCTAAGTAATACCCCTCCCCACCCTCTCAATATATATAAGGGTCTGGTGACTTCTGTTTCAGTGTATCTGAAGAAGTGTGCATATACACGAAAGCTCACACCAATAACAAAGTTAGTCTCTAAGGCGCTACTGGAAGAATTTTTTTTATTTTGTTTCGACTACGGCAGACCAACATAGCTACCTACCTGTAATATGATAATTGAGGATTTGAACATGGTCTCCTGACGCCTAGTCTAACACACTAGCCTCTCTAATGCCTATGAGTCAAGTCCTTCGAAACTTAATTGTGTTTAAGTGATCTGAAAGTGCTCTCTGTGATGTAATTGCTGGTGGTCCATTCATATTACAGTACAGCAAACATAATGAAGAAACCACAGATAACAATTGCAGCACTTATCTGTTCTATTATATAGGTAAACAAAAATAAATGGCTGATGAAGAACCTTCCCAAGCTGAGATCTCGCAAGTACACCTTCTCTCCTCCACCCAGTCTCAAAGGATCTTGAGTCATCCAATAGATTTTTACCCTCTGAACAGTTGTATTTCATCAATTTTGTGAACTACCTTTGCAGACTCCAGGTGAAAAAAAAAGGTGTTGCAAGGCACTTGATCAATAAACTAGTCCTTAGGTTTGCGACTTGCTATAATGCCCAGATTCAGATCATGAGGCTATGGAAGCAATTTTAACAGGTGCTCACTTGGGATTTTCCTCTTGTCTATGCAGCAGAGTTTGTGTTCTGGCTCATAAAGCACAGCTAGTGCCCTTGGCTCATCTCCCTTTGGAAAATACACTCTTCATCTTATGTCCAGAACTAGATAGGAATATTCTGTATGGCTTTTGCCACCAACTTTCAGATCAAATCAGACCTTCCATGAGGCCTAGGCGATTTATCAATAGATCGCCCAGGACAAGTATGAGGAGCAGACCGCGATGTTGGCTTCACTCAGAGGTATATCACTGATGAAACCACCACAGCTCCTGAGTCCCTCTGCTAGTGACTTCCCCCAGCAAGCGTTACTAGCAGAGCGACTCAGGAGCGGTGGCGGTTTCACCAGTGATATATCTATCGCTAAGTGAAGCTGCCATCCCACTCTGCCCTCATACTGCGCAGAGAGACAAAAAAGCTGCATCGGCGAGGCGCCAATACAGCTTGTTTCTCCCTCTGCATCTTTAAACTGCTCAGCTGAGGAATGTGCAGTTGCCATTCCCCTCAGCTGAGCAGTTAAAGGATCCTCCAGCCTGGCACTGGCTCCCACGCAAGCAGGGGGAAACACCAGGAATGGCTCACCTAAGGCTCAGGAGCCCTCCCATGCCCCAGCTGAGCCGTACAAACAAGCTGTGTTGTCCCAGCCTGCTAGGCACTGGGGTGAAACCGCCTCAGCTCCCGCAGTGAGACCTGCGGCAATTTCACCTGGTGCCTCGCAGGCTGAGGCCAATGCAGCTTGGTTTTTCAACATTGTGGTATATCGCCAGACCGCGATGTTTTGCTGGTGATATACCGCAATGATGATATCGGCCAGCCCTACCCTCCATTGTGGTTTTGTCTACCTTTAGCAGCACCCGAACCACCCTCCTCGAAAATTAACTTACTACATATGATAATAACAGAACCAGTGGGCAAAAGTAGGAGAGAGAGAGAAAGTTATGCATTAAAATTGGAACTGGGTATCACATTTGTGCTGCAGAAAAACAAGAAAACTCTGTAATATAATGTATTCTCTTTCCAGAAACCTGCAATGCATTATGCTGCCAACAATGCTGTGCAATGAATTAATTCTCTTTCTACATTCCATGGTGTGCATTACTGGCAAAATAATTCATTAGGGTCATTGTTCACGGAGAAACTGGAGAAAGGAGCTGAATGAAGGGGCTTGTATCAAAATAGGAATCCTAACCCCTGGATACTAAACCCACCAGACTCACAAAAACTTTGTGACCACCAGTTTACCAGAAACGGATTCCATTCACAATGAGCAGGAGCTAAATGAAATGTCACTTAAAAAGATGGCCCCAAACACGCACTCTGCATGTTCCAAGTAACCACATCAGACTATGGCCTGAAACATTTGGTAGCAACAAACACCCTAATTCAGCATGCTAGACATTTAGACACTATTAAGCTAATATCCAAACTCTGAAGCACCAGAAATAAAGCATCACCAATTCAACACAATTTTGGAAAAAATTAATTCCTCATTCTACAACCATTCAAGGAAGCAAAGCAACATCTGAAGCAGTAGTGGGTATGAAAACTAACACTTTCCAAACAACTGGCTCCCCCCCCCCCCCCTTTTTACTGAAAGCTACTTTAAGACATGTAGGAAAAAGACAAATGTGCAAAATTCACATATACATTATGAAGACATGGACATCTTGCAACTTTTAGAAATGAGATTTAAACCGGAGCTTGAAGACAAATGGGGCAAATTTTCAGGTCAAAATCTAACAGGCAAGGGATTAAAATAAGATAAATCCTGATAAAATAAACAAGTGAGCCTTTGCCCAACTGTACAGATCCACCACACCTTCACAGCAAATGGTTTGTGTTACTTGCATGGCAAGTGGGGCAAAGTCTACTAGCCACCTTCCTTGTTTATCAAACACAGCTCCATCCCTGTCTTAACTGTTAGACACAAGTGACTCCACTGGACACAGAAGGCCCATGGAATGCATGAAGGAAAGACTGAGGGAATCCAGACTACATCCAGGCTTCCTTAAGAGCAGGCCAAAATGCATCAGTTGTGACCTTGCACGTGAATCTTATGCCCAACCCATGTAACTCAAGTCGAGAAGCACTTGGGCTTAACTTAGGGTTTATATGAAGCTTCAGAGAAAGCAAGTTCTCCTCCACAACAAAGCAGTTGCAGTTTTAAAGGCCACATTCACATGCTGAGCATGGAAGACCCAAAGCAACTCTGGCAAAGTTGTGAAGTAGCTTCTTTGCTGCTGCTTCTCTCATTTATTTCCTACACGTCTAATCTCCTTTTTGGCCAAACTGACTTTCAAAGCAGCTGGCAACATTAAAATCAATCCATAATACCAAGTAAAACCTCCAATGAAGGCAGCAGTCAAAAATAAAACTCAAACACACAAAAAGGAAACAGGAGCAATAAAACATAACCCGGTTCCAGTAAAACTTTGAAGTCCAATATCTGCAGTAAACATCAAAACATGTCTTTAAAAAGCATTTTTGAAGAGGAAGATCTTAACTTTAGTTATCTGGCAGCCTCCTTGCATTTGGGAACACGCCCCCAAACCCCCAAAGCTCACCCTCTTCTGTACTCGGGAGGTTGTAGACTCTCCTTCCTTGGAGGTTCTTCAGCAGAGGTTGGATAGCCATCATGGATGCTTTAACTGAGATTCCTGAATTGCAGGGGGTTGGACTTGATGACCCCTGGGGTCTCCTACAACTCTACAATTCTATGATACTATCCTGCCCCAGCATGTCTGGAACCAAGAGGGTGGTTCTCAGAAAGAAGGAAAGGTGCGACATGGATCAACATTAATGCTGGCACTTCCAATAAGCATGCAAAACCATAGGAGACGAACCAGCCACAGGACTTCATAATCCATTCAGGGCAGCTGTCATGTAAAAGTGTAAAACTTTCACCTGACCAAAATACTCTGCGCCATCCCAAACGTAGGTCAGATAATAGGTTATAGCCCTCCAGAACAGGAACCCCAGAATATGGCAAAAACACAGCAATAATCTTACCTGCAGGTCAAAGAACTTGCTGTACCGTCGGTAAATTGCTTCAGTGGCGCCATTGGACCAGGTGACTTTAATAATGTATACCTGTGGGGAAGAAGAAAGACACTTTAGGGAACTTGGATCACATCAAAACGCTGTTAAGATGCTTCCATAGTCCATTAAAGAGATACTTTAATTAATCCTTAGAAGATGATCATTGTCTGGGCAGCTATTCAGAAAGGGCAGTAGCTGGGGGTGGTTTCTTTGCATCATTTATATGCAAACCTTTTTTGTATTGAAAGGGGCCGCTTTAATGAAAGTCCTTTTTACTCACCTTTCTTGCCCTTTTTAAAGATTTATCTGTAATCCCCATAGCTTTGATTTTCAAAATTGACCCACGAGAAGCCCAAGTGAGGTCAGAAAGCATTAACTGTCATTCACACATTCCTCACATGTAGAGCTGCTGTGTTTTAACTGAGGACCAGGACCACACTTTTAACCCTGCTACCTAAAACAACCGTGCATTGTCTACAATAGTCTGTAAGTGAAAACTCAATGCATGAGCTGCTCCACACATGAAGCTGCTCTGCACAATCAGGCCACCCAGCTGTGCAGGTGTGCCAGCTGCATGGAGCCCCTCTAAAAGCAAGCAGAACCTTGCAGGTTTCTTGTTTCTTTCCAGGCAACCGCACACAATGCAATTTTGTTCCAGGAAAACAGATGTGCTCCCAGGGACAGAGCTAAAAGGCACAGCCCCACTTTACAGTCAAAGCACAGTTGGTGCACAATTGTGTGAACAGGGCTTCCAGTTTGGCTGTATGATGATGCAATAGAACAAATAAGAGCCAGCTATGTGATAACATCTGTAACAGCTAGGGGAACACTTCCTGGCTTCACCGTGGACTGAGTTTTTAAAAAATTGGTGCTCAACAGCAACTGCAGGGAGTACTGTACAATCACTGCTATAGGCTTCATCCACGCTGCCCTGGAACCTTCAGGGTTGTGCTGCTGGGAAACATCTTGGCTTGATCTTCCTAATGGATGCTCAAGATAAATGAAGCCCCACAATGAAGAACCCTCACGCGGGCAAAATTAATGTATCTGACGTTGTTTCACAACTGTTTGTTTGCCTGTTTAACACATTTCTATACCGCTTAATCATTCCCATTTCTAAGTAGCTGCTTTCATCAATATCTATGACTAGCAGTTTGATATCCTTCATACACATTGTCTGTAGCCACAAATTCGAGTCTTGGAAAGGGACAAGAGCAAGCCTCGCTTCATTATCATCTAAATTTGGCTTCCAGTCCCTGCACACAGACTTAAGTAAATTTATCACCAACACTACAATCCCAAAGGCCGGAGTGCAATGGTGGCACAGAGCGGACAGGGATTAAAAGCATCAGGAATATGCTCCCTGTGAATGTTCTTCAGAGTTAGCTAATTTCCCACCCACTTGCAAAATTTACTGCCCTGGGAAAACTGGTAAATATTTAGAGATCGCAGGCTGTTAGTCTTGGCTGTTGGCCATGCCAAACAACAGCCATATCTCCTCCTGGGGTTCTGCTGCTGTCACTGCTTTCCTCTGTTTGCTCACCTCTTGGGAAAAAGAGCATGTTGCATCCAATATTTGTTGTGTCTAAGAATCTGAAACCACTTTACCCAGCCTTGCTAGCTATTTAGGGGTGGACTGACCTGGGGCAACAAAGTTTTCCCCACAGTACCATGAATTCACATCCCTGAGAAATAAAAAGTTCCAGTGCCACAAGGCTTGGTTTCCCAGGCATGAGAGCACCTTAAAACAAACACTATAAAAGGCACCTTATTTTATATAGAGAAGCAGAATATAAGTTGAGAGTAAGCAAGGGCCTCAGCAATACAGATTCATAAGACAGTAATGGGCAGCCTCAAACCCTCCAGATGCTGTTGCACTAAAACTCCCATAAGCCCTAATCATTGGCCATGTTGGCTAGGACTGATTTGAACTGTAGTCTAATCTTTAGGGCCACAGGTTCCCCAGCCCTGGTCTAAAGAGAAACATGGACAGCCCATCCTCAAGGCTATCCCCACTTTCTGCTAGCTCTTGCCAGAAACTTTCCTCTCTCCACCTCTTCCAAACCAAAAACAGCAGCTTCTCCTCCTCTCCAAACACACACAGCTGTCATCCACTCCCTTCAGTTAACAAGAAATCACCCTCTCCAAGCCCTGATGGTCGCAAGGAAGTTCCTGATGATCAGGAAGCCATCTCCTAATTATTAGCCTCCATGGCAACAAAGAAACATCAACAGTTCTTCCTGGACTATTAACCAGCATTCTGACCAACAGAAGCATATACCAACATGTTTCTCTCTGATAAAGCTTCTCTGTATATTTTGTGAAAATACATATTAAATGTTAACTTTATTCCATCTCAAAGCTTTTGTTACTGGTTGAGCTTACCTATGCAGGTCACTCCCACCACAGACAAGGTCACAGAAATGGAACCTCTACTGGGAGCCTGCAGCTTATTTCATTCTTTCCTTTTGCTCTCCTCCCCCTGAAGCTGCAATAACAATTCTGGTGTGACTCCCATGTGCAGAAGGACCACCATCTGCTTGGAAGTGGGACCTATAAACTGCACTTGGTTACATACTTCTCTATGGCTGGTATTCCAGTTCAGTTACAATAACAGCTCAACCACTTTTGCTACCTTGCCCACAAATCCCTGAAACATCTCCCCCCCCCCCCCAATGTACACACAACCTTCTGTTTCTGGAGAGCATCCATTCTATTTCCTAGGCTACCCCCATCTCCTCCACTCCTTTCTCTGTTGCACCTACACATTTAACGTTTGTCATGTTGCAGTCAAGTCCCTCTCTATAACTTTTTCTTCTCCTGCTCTCCATTCTTTGCCTTCAGTGGCCAGAATCACATACAAAGCACCCCTTAGCAACAGGTACCAGATGCTCCATGCTGTATATTGCTGAATTTCATGTCTGAGTGTGCACCACACACACACACACACACACACACACACACACACACACACACGAGACTAGGGATGCATCAATTCCCATTTGAAGGAAAAGAGCACCCCTGAAGATCTGGTCCAGCTTCACCCCAGTCCTTTACAATCCTAGCAAAGATACCATTTCGAAAACCCCAAGTAGGAAGTCAAAATTATCGCTTTTGCAAGATGGATGTGGATTTCTCTCTCACACACACACTTTTCTTTCCCCCACCCTCCAGTATTGTATTGCAATCTCTTACTTTCCCAGGTTTTGTTTAACTACTCTGAGCTTTAAATAAAATCAGTCCCCTGTAAGTAGTTTCCACAAATCTGATTAAAGTCTCATGAGAATAGGCTTGAAATACAGGCAGCATAAAGAAGGGAAAGCAACAAAGATATACAGGCTTTTCCAGCCTCAGTAGAAGGCTCTCTCCCTCTCTCTCTCTCTCTCTAGGCAGGCTGCCAAAAGTGATCCATTACTGAAATGCTATAGAATGCTTAGCGAGCCAGAACTTCTGGGGGCCAAAGACCTAAATGATGTCATGCTGGCTGCTTTGCGGCAAGCCCTTTTGGTGAACCAAGTGCATCTTGGGAGTCCTCTAGAGGAAATGGAACACTTTATTAGCCAGAGATAGCCTCTGCATGCTTGATCATACTGCAGAAGGGGACTGTGTGTCTGATTTGCACATCCCAGGAAGACATTAAGAAAGAAGGGGAACTTTCCCAGCAACCTTTTAACTAATCATTCCGTGATCAGTATGACTCATGCACACTGAAATCGTGGATTGGCCCACACACTCACCATTTTGATAATTTCATATGCATAGTGGGACACTGGAGCTGAATGAGGTAACTAGCAACCTGCTCAAAGCAGCATCCAATGCATGACAAGAACACATATACTGCACACCACAAATTTCACCATACTCATGTCTTGCTTATGGGCTTCCCATGAGCATTTTATTGGTTACTGTGTAAATAGAAGGCTGAACTAGACAGGCCTTTGTCTGATCCAGCCGGGCTCTTCTTACATCTAAAGGAAGGCTCCCCTGTTGAAAACCCAATGTCCTAACTTCAGATCACCATACCAGCTATGACTTCTAGGTAGAAGGAAAAATCAACTGGCTAATTTGTAGGGCTTGCTTATCAGTAAGAATTGGAAATTAATAATAATTTATTTCATACACTATGGACAAATGTTTCTGACTCCCAAATGTTGACCAATGCTAAGAACAAAATAATTTACCACCACCACCACCAATTATGTCGCTGAAAAAATTGGGGAGGAAATAAGCAGGGCTGGATTTTGTGCGTGGAAGTTCTAGTCTTCAAAAGAAAGTCCTGGGCTCATCATTCTTTATCTCTTGAACCTAGTAAAAAGCAAAGTAGATCCTACCAATCTGAACTCTACCCACCTGTGCCCTAAATGGCTTGGGACCACATTACCTCAGAAACTGCTCCCATGAGAATCTGCCTGGCACCTGGAGGCCCTGCTCTTACACTGGTGCCTTATGTGAATAATATGAAAATTAAAATGTGGTACGTTCTCCATGTATTTTCAAGGGGGGGGGGGGGAGAATCACTTTCAACAACATAAAATACTACTAGGATTGATCTCCAACATAGATAGGAGGTGCCGTCTCTTGCTAATTATGTGTTTAATTTGTGGTTTTATATATAAAATATGCCTGTGTGTTATATTACAAACATTTAAAACATGATGGGCATTTAACCAAGTTGGGTTTTAAGAAGTCTTTGTATCGTCAAGCTTAACCCCTGACTAATTAAAACCTTGCTGTATATGGAGAAGGAAAATATCTTTCTGGGTGATGTCCTGGCTCAAAAGAATATTGTTCCTCACAGATACCTCCTTGTATGATCTCATCTATATAATACAATTCCCTCCCAATCTTCCATGTCCCTTCACTAGCTGTAGCAACCACATATTGAAGGAAACGGGACTGGAAAAAAATAGCCAAAAGGAAAACTGCCAAGAGTGACAAGCTGCTAGAGAAATGCAAATGGTATCTGTCCAACTGTAACAGAGCTGTCAGAGAGAGGGGGAAAAAACCCTCAAAGCAACTGAATAGGGAGAAATAAAACCCAGCGAGTCACAACCCCCATCTCCACTCTTGAAGCCACATGATTCTTTCAATATGAACTTACACCAGAAGTCAGGGGGAATTTACCAAGTTCATCAGATGTGGCATCACTTAGCATTATCAACAGGGGAACCAAGTGCCAGAACCTTTTAGCAAGAACAGAGCCGGTGGTCTTGAGACAAACCAGGCGGTAAGAGGAAGACACACCACAGGAGTCCAACAGGACTAGAGTCTAACCAAAGTTTACATTGAGGGGGTATTGTTTTCTTCTTCAAATACTTTCAGTTTATTGGCAACCACATCCTGCAAAACAAGTACATTTTAAGTGTGCACAAGTGGGTTTAGAAAATAAAATTTGACTTTATCAGTGACTTGGGGATAAATGCAGGGCAAGCCATGGAAATAGTGGATCAGGGATCCCATGTTTCATTTGGAAGACAACCCCTCCACATTTTCTGCCTATTTAGAGATAGGGAAGCCAGAAGAGTAATGCTCCATCTGTACTCACATTTCAGAATTTTCATGGTAGCAGCTTTGTGGCATGTTTCAGGACCAGATGTAAGTTTACACAATGCCAGTACTGTTAGATAAGGCACCAGGCCACATCTCATACCTTCCTATACTACCAAATGATAATCCGATGCCTGGCACAGCTCAGCACTGAACAACTGCCTAAATCACCCAAAGTCGACATTACAAAGCACCTATTGGGGGGGTATCTTCAACTCACCTTACAGTCATCGACCTAAACAAAAGAGGATATCATATCAGCAATTTCTGCAAATGCACCAGTTCATGAGCCAATATGCCTTCAGATGAGTGCTAACACAGAAGTCCAGCCACTTGTAATTCATATAGTGCAGTGGTTTGGTTGTACGTTGCAGGAAATACCAATGTATTTCAATGTAATAGAATCAGCAATGTTGTGCTAGACCAGTCACTGCCCCCAACTAAAAAGCTGCAGCTTGGAGCAGCGCATGCATAATCTTACAAAAGGAGCGCTTTATCTGTCCTCATATTTTAAAAATAAAGATTTCAATCACTTACTTTTCTCATCCATCATTCATTACTGGTCTGGCATCACTAGCAAACTCCATTACTAAGACATCCATCAAGAGCTTATTTCCAATGCATTCATCTACTTGCTAGCATTATTAGAAGAAAAACTGTTAACAGCTACAAAAAGATGTAACCCTTTGTCAGCTGTGGAAGAGAAAAATGTTCTTAACAATGCCCAATAACACTGGAAGTCTAGCATTGCCAATCTTCTAGTCCAACCACACCAACATATGTCACTTCACACCGGCTCCTAGCTCATCTCTAAATTCAGAGCCATAATAGCATCTCCATCTTGTAAGTTGTGGAGCAGTATGTTGTGGTATCTATACTTTTTTAAATTGTATTCCTGAACCCTGGCCCCATGTAAGTGTTCCTATAGAAAAGGAACCAGATTACTGATATTTTTGTAAAGAAGAAAGTGTCTTGTGCTTTATTTACTGTGTTTGAGAGGATTAAGGGCACAGACATAGGATAACAGGCCTTGTACTCTTAACACACAGCCTTTCCCTTCAAGTCTCAGCAGTTGCATGCAGACTGCAAACAAGTACAACAGTCCTCTTTTTGAGGTTGCCACTGAGAAATCCAGGGATTAATCTAGATCAGTTGGAGCCATGGTACTAATTCAAGAGTGGGGAACATTTGGCTCTCCAGATGTTTCTAAACTACAACTGCCATCAGCGCTGGCAAGCATGGCCAATGGCCAGGGATTATAAGAGTTGTCATTCGGCAACATCTAGAGGACCAAAGGTTTCCCACACCTGTACTAAATAGTTCACTTTTGCCTTCCTCCTCCTCCTCCTCCTCCACACTTACACTCCTCCCAGACTCAATCAATATCTGTCTTCAGACTGTTCGGCAACACAAGGCAAAAGTTCAGATCCCTAAACACAAAGCTGACCCATTGCCCAAACAGGTGTTGACCCATTCATCAACCATGAGATGAGAGAAAAGGTTAAGTTCATTATGAAACACAGATTTGATATCATAACCCCACTAACTAGATGCAACAAGTTCATTTGAAGCAGGTTTCTCCAAAGCTGAGGGGATGTGGGGAGGAGGAAGAAACAAAAGTTATATGCAAGTTTAACTCTGCACTCTGTTACAGCCACCACAGAGATATATGAGGACAGAAGCAGATCCTCAAACATCAGATCTTCCGAGCACTCAATAAATGAGTAGCAACTGTTACTCAAGGCCACATCTTCCTCAGTCTTTTCTCAGAACCAGTCTCCCCATTACTGCCCCACAGCTGAAAATAGAACTTTCCATAGAATTAAGTGCAACTGTTTGTCTGTCTAGGGGTAGGGGTGGGGAATGCACAGGTCATTTCTAGGTCAGACTATGACACTCTGAAAGTAGGGAGTTTTCCAAACTCATGAATACTAAGAAACTGCCTTCAGGGAAGAGAAAGGCAGGTCTGTGCTCAAAGTAGTTGAGAAGGCCTAACAGGCCTATTTACGGTTGGCTCCAACCTCACAGAAAGAGCCTTGTAGGTAGCCAACAGCAAGATGACTCAGCCTCTCCACTTATTGTGTAAAAATAGGTTTGGAGTGTATATAATTAACTGTCTTTGGGAATCTGTCTTGTTCTTATGTACAGATTCAAGGGCAAACACTGTTCTCTTTCACTTCAACGTTAATCTAGTTCACAGGGTTTCAGAAACAGAAACAGAATAAATGCATTTATTCCTCTAACGAACTGAAGGCAGCAGCTTACACCATTTGTCCACTTGTGGTAGTTTAGGCTGAGAAACAGTGTGCCTGGCAATGGCCACACAGTGAGCTTCATGGCCGAAAGTTTAGTGCAACTACATTGCCCAACTGTACTTTTTTTAGCACCTGGGCACAGAGATGGTTGCAGGCTGCCTAAGGGTACAAACTGGTTTACCATTCTTCATGTGGTCACTGTATGTATGCATGTACAACTGTCCATGATGAAATGGGGGCGGAGGGAGAGAGAGAATGGCCTTGCGAATCTTTCCCATTCAAGCTTTCTCTGAACAATTCTAATTATTTTTCCACAACTATTGTTGGAGTGGGGTTCTTGTGCTTTGGAATCACTGGAATGTCACCAGTGAAGAAACAGTGCATGTACCAAAGTAGTAAGATCTCATTGCTGGTGACCTCTTAATTCACAGACAAAGCCTCTTAGATAAGAATATGTTTGGAGATGTCTTCTATCTGCAGGTTGATGGTATAATCACATCAATTTAAATGTGTGTGGGTGTGAAGGTTTCAAAGTTTCAGAAACAAAACAACATAGGATTCCAGAGACAAAAGAAGACTCCTAAAATTGTCCTTTATTTTCACACCTGCCCTTCAAAAGATGGAAATACATGGCAAGCTGAAAAACTATGGATTCCAAAGGAAATCTCATCCTTTATTTTCATCCACTGGGACGAGTGGAAAGCATATGTGAACATTTAAAAATAGGGTGAAAGACTCCTAGCTCAGGTACAAGGTAAAGAACAAAGGTCTAGTCTTGGTGTGTAAAGGTCAGCAGCAACCAATTTCAAATCAACCACAACACAGATATTCCTGCAAAGGTTGTCAGAGCTGAAATACAGAATCATAAGTTCATTCTCTTTTCAAGGGCTAAAAACTTTTAACTGTTAAAGAATCATCTAAGGAATCAAATGAGAGCAAACATATTTGTGGTGGATATTTTCCATTGCTGGAAGAAGAGGAAGGCTCACAGTTGCCAAGAGGGAAGGCAGCCTTTAATCCTTCACTTAGAGCAGTACTGTAATTTGAAGAGGAATTATGACATCACCAACCATTTTCATGCTACTCCAAAAGGGAGAAGTCAGTATTTTTTCCATCATAAATAACTGGAGGAAGGGCAAGACAGAAAAAAAAGATCTGTGTAAATAACAATGAGCATCAGGCCTAGTTCACACAACATATTCTTGCTCCGTGCAAACAGTCCCAGGTATGCAGACAAAGAGCTGAACTTGTCTGAAGGAACTCATTGGATATATATGGCCAGCAGAAATCTTTGGACATAAAATAAATATAGGTTCTAGAGCCACCATATCATTATCATCCTTATTTGCCTTGTAATACTAATGGGGGGGGGGGGAGGTATTTGCAGGTGAGAACCAGCACAGAAGGATGCTTAACCCTTTCCCTGTTCATCAGTTCTCCCCTGCAAATGGTTCTCTCTCTCTCTCTCTCTCTCTCTCTCTCTCCCCCCACACACACACTTTTAGTACACCCCCCCGCAGGGCTGCCCAATTGGAATCAACACTGATTAAGCTTTTTTCATTAAAAAAAAGTGAGGAAGAAATTTACAGGGCAGAATTCCTATTCCCACCCCAATTTTCCCATTGCAAGTGCTGTTTGAGAACACACATTGGCTAGCATGAAGTGTATTTCCCATCTTAATATTTGCTTCTAAAATCCAAAATCACAATTAACCACGCTGAGGCAGCTGGTGAGCAGATGGAAACCAAATGCTTGACTAGATGGATATTTCGGTCTGATGCAAGAGGGCAGTTTGTGAGCAAGCTGATTTTTCATAACACACAATCCCAGTGTGCAGGTTGCACACAGTAACATGTATGCAAATGCACTCAGTGGAGACCCACAAATTTGGTTTGGGTCTTGGTAGTCAAGCAAAGATTGGTTGTCAGGACCTTACCCTTAAGAACAATTCGGTGCATTTTCGCACAGGAGTCCCATTGTGCTCACTGGTGCTTACTCTCAGGTAAGCATGCATAGGGGATTGCAACACAAGTTCCTGATCTCACACTGCATCTTACTGGGAGGTTGGGTACAAGCCCCTTTTCCTCCTCCACCTCCAAAACTTTCAGAGCTGGGAAAGGAGACCAAGGAATTAATCTACTCAAAGGAAGGAGGGAGTGCAAATTACAGAGCTGATTTCTGCAGTAGCAACCATGGCATTTGAATTCACCAAGATACAAACAACTGCCCAACCCTACAGTCAGCTAGAAAGCGGGACTGCTTCATTTAAACAACAACAGGTCATTAGGGTATGACAGTGTTTTTCAACCAGTGTGCTGTGGCACCCTGGGGTGCCTAGAATGATGGTCAGGGGTGCCGTGGGCAACACTGGCCTCCATCCCTCTTTCCTTCCCTCCCTGCTCTGATGCCCTCTCTTGTCTCTGCCTCCCAAAGGCTTGCACAGCTGTTTGTTGCAGCAGCCCTGGCCATAAGCTCCATAGGTGAATGGTGCCTCTGGGAAACACCTCTCTTTGGGGCGGGGGTCAGCTCATGGACAAGGGACGGCTGCCCCAAGGACTCCCAAGGAAAAGGGAGAGAAGAGGCTGAGGGAACACTCCACAAGGGAGGGTCTTCAAAAAAGGGTGAGAGGCTGCCAGCTCTGCAGGCAAGGCGTGACATAACTGGGCTCCTGAGCCCCACAGGAGTGCCACAGAAAGAATGCAATTGGTTAAGGGAGCCGTGGACTCAAAAAGGTTGAAAACCTCTGGGGTATGATAATCAAATCTTATGTCTATCTGAACTGAAGAGCTATACCAAACTGATTCACTTCGCCTATCCTTCATTACAGGAAACAATTTCTTCTTGGTTTTCCTTCTGATTTAAAGGATTGTCTTTTCCCAAATGACTCACTTTTTCTCTTATGTTTAAGAGCCTACCATCTTTCCCCCCTTTGATTATGCATTTCCTCCATACTATGATGTCCCAGACAGAACTAGAACACAGCTAAGAGCATCTCTATCTGTAGTCACTGGCAGATCCTTCCAAAGATTAAAAAAACCTATTCCAGTCAACTCAGGAATGTATTTCAAAGGATGAATGTGGCCAGCACTATAGCATCATTTGGTGCAAAGGCAGCATTCACTTTTAAGAAACAAAAGAAATTATCCATAGTGAAGAGTAAAAGCAAGACCTACCAGTAATTCTGTCCCAGTCTAATAAGATACACAAGGAAATGTCATGCTATAAGCAAGGTATTTTAAAAAGCAAGCGTTATAAAAAGCAGCAGCAATCTAGTAGAAGAGGCTTTTAAATGTGTTTGTGGAAGGGGGTATTGCTTTTTTGTTTTTGTTTTAATTATTAACTGGTGTTTATACCTTGTATTTTTAACCTGTGAACCGCCTTGAGATCTTGTGAGGAAGGGTGGTATATAAATCTAATTAATTAATAATCATCATCATCAATATTTTTAAGTAAGTAGAATCTCATCTCCAACTACAGCCAGTTCTAAAGCACATGTCTGCAACTGCATTTTGGCTGAAATCCTAAACATATTTAACAAGGAGTAAACTCTAATGGACACAATAGTTTATTGGCATAGGATTGTACTGTAGATCATCCCCACTACTTGTTTCCTTTGTTTATCTTCCTCTCCCCACCCGCTTCCCTGTGTTGCCTTCTCCACTATCAAAATTTGGCAGATTGTAGCTGTGGTGCAGTGGTTAAAGTAGCCCTCCCCAACCTGGTGCCCTCCAAAGGTTTTTTGGACTGTAAATCCCCATCACTCCTGACTACTGGTTGTGCTGGCTAGCACTAATGGGAGTTGGGAGTCAAACAACATCTGAAGAGAACAAAGTTGGAGCTCAGAGACCAGGTTCAAATTTTTTCTCAGTAGCTTATTGAGTGGTCTCTGCCAAGTCCATCTCTCTCTCTCTCTGCCTAGCCTAACTCACAATTACATTGTGGTGATAAAAATGGGGAACCCTGTATACCACCTTAAGCTCCTTTGGAGAAAAGTGGGATATAAATGCAATAAAATAAAAGGTCAGATTGTTATGACATTCTAAAGCAAAGTGACAATTGTTGCTGAGAACAGTATAAATATATGAAAACTATCACAGTATCATAGTTTTTTTATCTCAAAAGGGCAGGGGAGGGATCATTATACCATTAGGGGTAGGTATAGTGAAAGATTGCTGCACCAATATGGAATTAAAAGACCTGCATTTTCTACTCATGTTTCATCCTATGCTACCATTCACTCCTTGTTCTCCTCTGCATCCTCCTGGCTGCCTCCTAACTTAACTCCTTTTTTCATTATTCTCAGAAACAATCAGGTTCCCATATGTGAAGCACAACCTTCCATCTCTGCTGTCTCTATTTGCACAGTCTCACCCCTCCAGCTCCGTGTGTGTGTGTGTGTGTGTGTGTGTGTGTGCATGTGTGTGTGTGTGTGTGTGTGTGTGTGTGTGTTGTGAATGAATTAAACATTGCCATAGATTCTTTAACAGAGTTGCCAGTCAACTCTTTGGGTAGAGACTGTGTTCCCTCGCAATCTATAATGCACGAAATATTTGTGTTAAGGATTCAGCACAGAACAGGCAGGATATTAAAAGTGGGAGAACAGACCCTGCAAGAAGGGGAGGTGTTTGCTATTCAGCAGGCATACCCCAGTTTAGGGGAAATGACAAGCTGCAGCACCCAACCTGCCAGTCACCAGCCCCAACGGATACACACTCCAAACAGAATCTGACAGTTCTGACACATTGCAGCCAGGTTCCCACAGCCTTACAATGCCTGTAAAGCATAGCGGGCACAAAAGCAGGGAGTACCAGAGGTCTTCTTGCCTGGGTATATCGAAATCTGAGCAAACTTCTCACACACCCTACAGATGCACTTCTAGGCTGCTGAACACAAATCTGGCAGGAAAGCCACTACTTTCCTTTCTGAGAAAGAAGAAACCCATGTAGATTTCTCTGCCAGGAGAGCAGCTGCTCTCCAGATCCCCTCCAGCAGTTTAACTTTCCAAGCAAACCATTAAAAGCAAACGCCAAGGGAGACTTATGCTTGCCCATCCCACGATGGGACCCGTCCAGAGCACTGGCCAGAGATTTAAAGTGACGGGCTGGTCAACATGCACAATCCTGCCTTTGTAATGTCAACGCTGGTGAAAGAAAAGAAAGAGCCAGGCGGCAAGAACTTCCTGCCTGGCTTGCTAGGAAGTTGCAGTGTGTGCACAGACAGACCATTCCAGCTACAACATGCACTCACAGTGGATCCAGGAGGGAATGGAAGAGACCGCACAGAAGCGGCTGCGGGGAGGCGACCCCATCGCCTCTCTGCTAGCTAGGGAGCTGCAGCCAACGCCCCCCCCCCCAAAAAAAAAACACACGAAGGGGGAAGATGCCCGTGCGAAATCCCAGCAAAGCAGCTGTATCAAGGGCAGCAGATCTGCCCCAGCATGTGAGGAAAATGAACGGCTGCAGTCCCACAACATCTGGGGACCCAAGTTTGAGAAACAGTGGGCTGGAGGATTTCAAGGCGCTCTCAGCAATTCTCCCCACCCGACCGCGGGTTACACTTACACACCAACACACATGCCACGCTCACTCACATAGTGTTTGTTGGGAATTCGCCGCTTCTGCACGTCCAGCACCTTCACCTCCAAGATACTCTTCCGGGGCATAGCGCTGGTCCTCTGCAACACGAACCCCAGAAGCAAGTAACAAAATAAAGCGGGAGGGGGGAGGGAAGGAGTGTAAATCTCGGAGACGGGTAGAGGGGAAGATAAGACGAAAGAAACCCCTCCTCCGGGAGGGTCGGCGCAGCCAACGCTCCTGGACCCAAAGCGCATAAACTTTTAAACGCAGCGGTTGCAGAGATTGCGCTGCTAAGGGATAGGCGAGCCTGAGCCCCACAGCACCCTCGGCGCCTGCCTGTGTCCCCCCCCCCTTTCCCCTTTCTTGCTTCTGCTTCCTCTTCCTCCTCCCCCCCCCCCAGCTCTACCCCCTTCGCTCTTTCCCTGGCCAGAGTTTGCAGATGCAGGAGGGCTCCTCCCAGCCCATCCCTGCCAAAGCAGCCTATCCCACTCAGGCGCAGGCGGTGTGGTTATGGCGCTCTCCGATCCAGCCCCGCTCCCCGGGCTTCTTAAAGGGCCACGACCACCGTGCGGCTCGCCAGCGCTTTCAGGCCAAACACGCAGAAGCGCCTCTCCGCGCCATGCCTGTCGCTTGTGCCGCTGAGAATGGGGGGTGCTTTGGGGGGCAGAGGCGGGTGAAAGCAAAGGCGCAACTTTTCAGCTGTGGCCGGAAGACCGGTGGGAAGTTGGAGCTGGGCGGCAAATCCACACGCTCCTGCCCACTGCCAGTAACACAACCAACCCGCGCACGATCCTTGCCTTTCTTTCACGTCACCCATAACCAAGAACAGCAAGGGGGAAATGGAGGGATTAGATTAATATGAGGAGCGAGTCTTTTCCACACAATCCCAAGGACCATTTTAACCTCCATTTGACCCCCCAACTCGCCCGCCTCTCTCTCTCTTTGTGAAGTGAAGGAAGAGAGCTCGAAAGCAGCCGAGGTCAAACGCAGGCGTCGCCTTTTTCTCAGAAGAGGAAAAGGCACCAATTAATCCTCGTCTGAATCTGGAATTGCCACACTTTGAAACGCTCCTTGTCGCGACAGGAGGCGGCGCAATTGGTTTCCGAGGGAGGCCGAAGGTCGCCTTTCGAGCCGTCGTCGCATAAAGCACTTTGAGCTCCTTTTCCACAACTCTCCCTCAGTCCCTCCTATGGAGTAAATATCCCCTTGCAAAACTTCGCCACCTCTCCTGTCCCCCCCCCCCCCCGGCTTCAACTTTACACGCTTGCCCCGCCCCATAAAGGCTGCAGTCCATAAAGGGGGCGGGTGGGTCTTGAGGGGTGGATTCAGCAATCCCACCCGCCATTGTGCACTCACCTAGGGGATCGTGTTGGGATCTGAAGGGAGAGGGTGCGTGAGGCCCTGGGAGATTAAAAAGCATGGCCCCGAAACATAAGCCAGCTCCCTCAGCTGCTGTGCAATACAAGAGGACAACGACTGGTTCCAACGCTGGATCTAGACGCATCGAAAGAAGCGTTTCAGTTTAAAGCGGCATAAATTTAAACGGGGAAAACAGGTAGAGAAAAAACGGAGCTCCGCATCGCCATCTGGTGGCACAATGTTATATCGCACATACAAGGCATATACAGTGGTACCTCAGGTTACACACGCTTCAGGTTACATATGCTTCAGGTTACAGACTCTGCTAACCCAGAAATAGTGCTTCAGGTTAAGAACTTTGCTTCAGGATGAGAACAGAAATCGTTCTCCGGCGGCATTAGCTAAAGTGGTGCTTCAGGTTAAGAACAGTTTCAGGTTAAATACAGACCTCTGGAACGAATTAAGTACTTAACCTGAGGTACCACTGTAAATTACTTTTTCTTTACCAGTCTAGCTGAGTCTTGGCTGTGCTGAACTGCTTGAGAGGTGGCCGGTCTGTCTGCACCTTGGCGGGCAATTTTGGCCACAGTGAATCTAGCCGCTATGCTAGGTGGGGGGGGGGGGAATCTGTGAGGCTGTGGCAACAAGTGCTCAAATAACTGAAGGTAATGAGCCAGGAGCCTGACAAGATTTTGGTGAAGACTGAGAAGGCGATAAACTTCCTGTTTGAAGATATGAACTGTAAATGCATGCCTACTGATGGCTTCACTTTGTGACAGAAGGCTCTCAGCCTCTAGGTACTCTCCCAGCCTTTTGCTGAGAATGGGCAGCCTGGGAAGGCATTCAAAGCCAGCCCCAGTTGGCTTCAAAGCTTTAAGATCCACTTTGACTTGGAAAATGTGCACACAACTGATGCTGCTGCACTTGCAGACAAAGAGGAGCAGCTAAGATCATGTACAGAAGACAAAGATGAGGATGATGGACAGGATATGCCAGCAAGTTGGAATCTGCATCAGTTTGCTCTCCCAAGCACATGAAAACACGCGAATGAATTGATTGCTGACTTTCATCCTCCTATTGAACAGAGACTCAAAATCGCATGCGGCTTTACAGACACTTTGAGAGCTTATCCAGAAATGCTCCAGCTGTGAGACAACAGTGGCAGTTGCCAATCACCATGTTTCTCACAACAAAAACAACCAGCAGCAAATCAGTTCACACAATCAACTTCTGAAGCTTAACGAAGGCTAACCATGTCATCTGCAAATCTCTATTGGTTTCCAAAGCCTGTCCGATCATCTCCTGGGGCAATGCCATGCTTTGAAGAGGATGACAATAACAACAACAACAACAATTTATTATTTATACCCCGCCCATCTGGCTGGGTTTCCCCAGCAACTCTGGGTGGCTTCCAACAAAATATTAAAATACAATAGTCTATTAAACATTAAAAACTTCCCTAAACTATGCAACACAGAAGAGGAAGAAGAGGAGGAGGAGGAGGAGGAGTTTGGATTTGATATCCTGCTTTATCACCACCCGAAGGAGTCTCAAAGCGGCTAACATTCTCCTTTTCTTTCCTCCCCCACAACAAACACTCTGTGAGGTGAGTGGGGCTGAGAGACTTCAGAGAAGTGTGACTAGCCCAAGGTCACCCAGCAGCTGCATGTGGAGGAGCAGGGACGCAAACCCGGTTCACCAGATTACGAGTCCACCGCTCTTGACCACTACACCACACAGTCGTCATGCACCAGTTTTTGTGTGGCATTTTCTGTTTTTCAGAGGGTTGTTTTGACTACACACAATTTTGGCTTTATGCACTATCCCTGGAATGTAATCCCCGCATAAATTGCAGGTTACCTGTACCCTCCACTGAGGGACTTGCCTGTGACACACAGGATGGCAACTAAAAATGTCCCTAGTCCCCACCCCTTGAAGCCTGCAACAAATAATAGGAGTCTGGATCTACATAGTTCCTTCATATATTATAGATTAATAGTGTTCACTCAGCTCCACATAGTGTATGAGGCAGCTGTTTGTATCTTTCATGCAAGTTGTAAACTCACTAGGGACGTGCTGCTTCACCACAGGCCAAATGAAGTAATATACAGGGCCATGGAGGGGTGACTGGCCGCCCCCAGAATATTCCAGGACCTCCGTTTGAACAGTCTGTTTCCATTAAAAGGTCTGTGGGCCTGTGACTTTAAAAATTCAGTATTAAGCACAGCTGAAACCAAATAGGGTGGGTCCTGAAAAAAATGCACCTCAGGTGTCAAAAGGCTGGGGTAAAAAAGTGCATCTTTAGCATTCCCTGAAAGCTGTCCAGTGAAGATCGCAGACACACCCCTGTAGGGAGGAGTGCTGTGGGAATGCTTAGTTACATTTTAAAGGGAATTCAGATTTAGTGCTGGCACATCACTGACTTTCAGATTAATTGGATTCTCTTATAAACATCTCATCTGTGTCCTTGGCAGCAACTGAAACACATCCCCCTTTCTTCAGCAGCAACAGCACTCAGCGCAAAACAGTATAATTTAATATACAGCAAGGCATATCTCTAGAACCTCTTTAGTTGCAGAGACTTAGTTCTGTTAGCATCCATTGGCACCGAGTAGTGTAATTGCTGCTACCTCTATGAGTTGCTTTTGTACCAGTTGGGGCCATTGGAAGGACTTGTGATCCAAGTGGTTTTTTTAAGAGCATTTACAAATTACATTCCTACCAAGGGTCTGGTACCACTTGTATGGCATGTTAGAAAGTGTTAGGAAAGCCTTTGGTCAGAACTTTGCACAGCCTCCAATAACACATGAACAAAAATGGAGGAAGCAGCAATTGCATTGTTTGGGGGACCATGTAAAGGCCTCTGCACATCTGCATTGTAACAGGTTGGAAAGAAGGGTGGGAAAAGAGCCTTGTGGTGTGGTGTAGTATGAGGCATGTGGCTGTATCATCTCTTAATGCCCTAGATGATTTTACAAAGTATAAGCAATGCAATAAACTTGACTTGAATTGTCCTTGAACTGTAACATTTGTACCAGCTTCAGTTTTAAAAGGACAGCTTTAAATTCTGGCAGGCAGCCCTAAGGACTATTATGTGTTTAACCCTGCCTGTCGCCTACACGACAACTGGAGAAAACTGGAGACACTCCCTATGTCAAGTAGAACTGCTATCCATTCTGGAATTTCAAAATTCAGTGCTAGCAAGTTTGGTGTTAGGGAGAAATGTAGTTTTCCCAGCTCAGACATAGGATGTACCGTAATTAATGGCATCTCTAATTTTAATTGGTCCAAGGAGCGCACACGCACACATATAAAATCAAGGTGGGGCTCTGGGGATTTACAAAAAAACTAGGCCCCAGTTTTTGTGTTCAGTCTACCTGATATCTGAATAGGAGACAGATGGCCTACTCTTGAGATCTGGAGAGGTGAGAGAAGCCAATCAGAGTACCTTGTACTTTCTGAAATGGCCTCAGCTGGGGATAGGGAACCTGGTGCCCCTCCACAGGTTGTTGGGCTGAAGCTCCCATCAGCTCCAGTCCGCATGGGCAATTGTACCGGGGATTATGGAAATTTAGTCCAGCAATATCTGGAAGTCCAGAGTCTTCACCCTGGCCTAAAGCAACACTGCAATCAGTACTTTATTCCGATGCAAATGCAAGGGAATTTAACAGCAGACCCCCTGAGCATGTTTACTCAGAGGTAAATCCCATGGATTTCAATGAAATTTACTTCTTAGTAAGTGTGCATAACATTGCAGCATAAATGAAGCAAAAAGGAAGAGAACCTATTTTACAGTCATCATCATCTCCAGATGAGAACCTGGCAACTCTATCAGCTAATAACACTGTACCATAAATTCCTGTGTCCTACACAACTCTTTCTGCAGGATACAGGACACCTAACAAAGGAAAAATATGGTTTCACTAAAACCTGGAAGACATACATTTGGACTTTCATTCTCACCGGCTTAGCTAAGAATTAAGGGTGTTAACAGTATGCAGTACTTTGTTCTTATGAAACAAAATATGCACCATTTTGTTCAATGTATTTTTAATTAGTTTTCCCAACTTTCATACCACCTGCACACTCATCCATAACTATATCCTTTCAACACAGGGTATTCATTAATTAATTAAACGAACATGTTAATTGCACCTAGGTAAAAGCTTCTGAAGTGTAAAATAACTGATTATAGACACTGGGTATTTAGTCGCATTTCTGCCATTATGAAGAAATCACTGTTTTTAACATTTGTTTCTATGAAACCTGACCAGTTTTGCAACAGCTTTCAGAGAATCCGCAACACCCTTAGGCAGCTTATTCCAGTAGGGAATTAGCGTTAAGAACAAAAGCGTAAGATCAATCTACCTCTCTCTCTCTATAGTTTAATACCACACAAACTCACTCACACATGCCTTTAGCCTTTGTTTGGTGACCAACATGTAGTCAGCAGTCCCTTGGTTTGTTTTAATATTAATTGAGATTAATAATGTTTATCCTCGCAGCAGCTTGTTAAAATAAATTCCCCTTGCATATCTCTGTCCTCCATCACAAAGCCACTCCAGTGCACCACTTACAAGAAAACTGGCGTGAGGCCAAGATAAAGCCAAAGATCAATGGGAAAGCACTTAAGCATCAGAATGCCTCACAGTGCTGATTAATCTGGATGAAATTTTATTTGTTAGAAGGACTGTCTTCCAACCGGGGTGGAAAGCATCCGTGTGTATCAGTACCATTATATGCCTCCAATATTTATGTTAACAAGCACCTAGACTCCAAGGTATATGGTACAGGAATTAGGATGTTCCCACTGCCTGTCAAAATTCATGTGCATTCGTTTTTTGTTTTGCATGAAAATTGCTTAATACTAATG